GGGGGTTAAAATAAAAATTTTACCACATTTGGTGAAAGTTTTGGGGTTGTTTTTAGTTGAATTTTAACGATATGTTGCCCATCAGACGGTTTTATTCTCCCCCCCCCCCCCCCCCCCCCAGGGGAACGTTTGTGTTTTTGCTCTGTGGATCACGCCGCAGCTGGCAGCCCAGGCACAATTGCTTTGCTTGGTGGGGGTCGGAGGCTTCTGAGGCGGTCTGAACTACCCAACTGGGCCATAGGGCTGGAAGAGTTCCCGTGTTGGGCTGTGATGCAGATTCCCTCGTGGCATCCCGGCTTTACTCTCATAGACGAGAGTCTAGTTCCCGCCAATCCAGAGAGGCGGGTTGTCTGAAACCTGGCGGCTAACTGAGGCTTACTTGCAGGTCTTTGCCGACGCCGTGGGTGGCAGGATCCCACATACGAGTGCTACCGCGACACCAGTGGCTATACCTGCCTGGTCCTCGTGAACGGCCGCGAGTACCAGACCGATCTTGCATATGAATCCAACACCCTCGCCCAGGAGAATGCGGCCATGCGCGCGTTTATGGTCTGCAGGAACTTCTCCGTTAATGGTGGCATGCTAGCCAGGAACGGGATCGTCCAGGGATTGCCTGCAGATGAGACCAGCCGCAGGCACCGGAAGAGCAGTAGACACCATGGATCACCTCCCAGTCACGGACATGGCCACCACAGCCGTCGCTCTGGACACCATTCGAGCAGCAGTTCGATTGCCTCCTCGGAGTGAAACGGCAGAGAACCAAAGAAGGGGGAAACCACGAAAAGGGAAATTCGAGGGAGCCACATATCTTCCTTGGACATGACAACGCATGGCCATTGGATCGGATCCGCACTTCTTCCAGACCCATGTCGGCCCAATTGGAGAGAGAAGGCGCTGAGACTACTTTTTTGACATAAACTTGGATTGGCTTCACAGCAATATCGACGAGATGCCGGGACTTTATACCCAGTCGGCATGCTTGCAGGGAGAGCATGCAAGCAAAAGAGAAAACAGGGGAGAGAGGGAGGGGGAGCAGCAAAGAAAGGAGGAAAACACCGCGAGGAACGACATGATTCAAAACGATCTCAAAAATTGCATCCGGGACATGATTTGACGACATAACGACCTATTAGAACCAACCTCCGTTTTTTTTTTTTTTTTTTCTTCTGACGACCTGTTAACGACCATCTCTCCACTGGAATCAGACTTTTTCTCTCTCAGTTAATAAACTTGGTCTATTTCACTTCGGTTTCCGTTTCCGTTTTTTCCTTTAACTTCTCCTCTTCGTCCACTTTTCCAGCTATGAGTTCAAGACTTGACGACCGGACTTTCTGGATGGGCACCACAGGACCACCCAGAGCCGACTTATGACCCGCGGACACTTTCGGAGGCGACTCTGTTTTGACCAAAACCCGGAGATTCCCCCTCCATCTCCATTCCATGGCCATGGGGAGGAAGGAGGCAACCTTGATAACCCAGTAAGGGGTCTTTGGAGACTCGACCCTTTTCCGCAACAAAATTCTGGAGGCTAGACTGGAGGTGGACTTTTTTCTTCTTCATTTTACAATTGTCTTTTAAAAAAGTGCCATGCATTCGTTGCATTCAGCAAGCGTTGGTTTGTTTTGATTCTTTTTTACTTTATATTTTGCAACGCCGGGTTGGGCGACCGCTTCAGCGCTGCCGTTGTTGGGTTACCTGGGAGGAAAACTGCTTTCCAACGGCCATAAGGGTGAAAGAATAACGCTATGATATGATAAACGAGGCTTTCAAGAATGCAACGTTTGATTCGCAGGGCTACCAGAGTAATGCAGACTCTTCCATCGCCACCGGAATCAGGCAATGTTGAACGAAGGTGACCTGAAGGTCGTAAACGAAAAACCAAAAATAGATCCGGCTCGGGCAAGCAGCTTTCCCGAAGGTACCCGGGCCCCACATACCGGATCCGCTCCGGACTTGGGGGTTTTGGGGTCATGTCTCCAGGTCCAGAGAGAACTGCCTCGCAGGTTGTGGCCAGAAGAAACCTCCTTGGCGCCAGAGCAGAGTGTTTCTGAGTCAAGTGATCCCCAATTGCTCAGCAAATTTCATTTCTTCAGAGCCTAGCTAGCCGTGAATGGATGAAGCTACGTCATAGGTATAACACCGATAATTTGGGGTATTATCACACATGACAAGCTGATTGCAGCTGTTCGTTCAGCTGCTGAAGCAAAAATAAAATAAAAGTGATGAGTATCGGCCGGCCTGTTGGAGCTGTTTGTCGATTGTTGGCAGCTGGTGACTGTCAACCAGAAGGAAGAATTTAAGTATATCTGTAAAGCATCAATGCCATTGATGTTTGTTTGGTGTTGAAGTTAACAGAGTCAACAGTGTGACCCGAAGATCAGTCCGCAGCCCCTTTTACTTCGTAATTGCATCAAAGGGCGACAATCTCGCCAGTTTAATTGTGGCTCGTGGAGGCTCTGTGAGATTGTGATTGGGTCTGCGGCTGGTCTAGGAGTTCCTTATTCATTTGCCCATCCCTTCTCGCGACGGGTGGAGCACCGACCACCCTGTCCCTGTACCCTGTGAACTCTCGTGAGACGCCGAATCTTCAATTTCTCTACCCTCCGCCGAGCCAAACCTTTAACACGACATCATTGAAAGCCTTACTCATACCTACATATATCTGTCTCGTCACTCCCAACCCAACGGTTGTCCATATTTTACTGGTGCCCTGTTACACTCGTGCCTTGACAACTGTCGTTATCTTGAAGACGCTTTCTTCCCCCTCTGGCTAGCTTCATTCCTTCAATCGTTTGACCAGCTGTTCTTCACTTCTCCCCCCACAATCAAGGAAGATGAAGGGTGAGTGCACAATCTGTTATCTTCAGCGACATGATTGAATTGCACCATGGCTAAACAACTCCCTTTCTACAGCTCTTATTCTTGTCGGTGGCTTCGGCACCCGCCTCCGACCTCTCGTACGCTCCCCTCTCCCCTGACTACGACCACCACCACCAGGCCTGCATCTAGATGCACCGCCGCATACCTTCCCAGCCTTTCTGAACAGCTGCTAATATGTCTGATAACTCAGACCCTCACCCTCCCCAAGCCTCTGGTTGAATTTGGGAACAAGCGCATGATCTTGCACCAGATTGAGGCACTCGCCGAGGCCGGCGTTACTGATGTCGTCCTCGCCGTAAACTACCGCCCTGAGATTATGGAGAAGTATTTGGCAGAGGTTTGTGGGATTGGGCCCCGAGACAGTCGAGGTTCATTACTGATAAGTATGGTTGCACTGCAGTACGAGAAGAGATTCGGGATCAGCATCACGTTCTCCATCGAGACCGAGCCGTTGGGCACTGCAGGCCCCCTGAAACTTGCAGAGAAAATCCTCCGCAAGGACGACACGCCCTTCTTCGTCCTCAACTCCGACGTCACCTGCGATTATCCCTTCCGGGAGCTAGCTGCCTTCCACAAGGCCCACGGTGACGAAGGCACAATCGTTGTGACCAAGGTTGAGGAGCCCTCCAAATACGGTGTCATTGTCCACAAGCCGAATCACCCGAGTCGTATCGACCGCTTTGTTGAGAAGCCCGTCGAGTTTGTCGGCAACCGGATCAATGCCGGCATCTACATACTAAACACCTCGGTCCTCGACCGTATCGAGCTCCGGCCTACATCCATCGAGCAGGAGACCTTCCCTGCCATCGTCAAGGACGGGCTGCTGCACTCGTTCGATCTCGAGGGCTTCTGGATGGACGTGGGCCAGCCAAAGGACTTCCTCACCGGCACCTGCCTGTATCTATCCTCCTTGACCACCAAGGGCTCCAAGCTCCTCTCATCCACCTCGGAACCTTACGTCCACGGCGGAAATGTCCTGATCGACCCGTCGGCCAAGATTGGCAAGAACTGCAGGATAGGCCCGAATGTCACCATCGGTCCCAACGTGGTGGTTGGCGATGGTGTCCGCCTGCAGCGCTGTGTCCTCCTTTCCGGCTCCAAGGTAAAGGACCATGCATGGATCAAGAGCACCATCGTCGGTTGGAACAGCACCGTTGGCAAATGGGCCCGCCTTGAGAACGTTTCCGTCCTCGGCGACGATGTCACCATCGGTGACGAGATCTACGTCAACGGCGGCAGCATCCTGCCGCACAAGACCATCAAGGCCAATGTCGACGTGCCTGCTATCATCATGTAATAGCGTCGCAAGCCTGGCTCCCGGTGCCTCCTCCTTTATTTTTAGCCGGCACCCTTCCGGTATATACCCTTTTAAACCCAATTTTCGTATCAGTCTTCATAATGCCGATCAACAACACCATCGGCCAAGTGTCGCAACCGAATAACCACTCGACTCTTCTCGCTTCGATTCTTTCTTCCACGGCACCCCGTTTTTGCGGCTCTGCTTATGCGCGTCGGAGAGGGGAATCTGGCGCCGGATCTGCGTGCTTTTTGTTACACCTGGTCGTTTTTAGATGCGTGTAAGGATAATGGGATTTGTTCGGATATCATCAGGACGTCCGTCCTCGGATCCGAGTTTCTCTCCTCTCTCTCTCTGGGATGGAAGGGACGATAGATGGACAACAGGAACAGGGGAGACACAAGCTGGCATGGTTTCGGGTCTGCATTGGAAGCATGCGAGGCAATCGAATTTCTATACGTTTCTGACTGTTCTTCTCACTCAGCTCCAGAGGACCCCTCGGTTGAATCCTCGGAAGCGACGTAGGGCGGGAGCCGTGGATGGTTTCGGCCCCAGCTACATTTAGTGTCAGCTAATCAGTCTGGCTGACTGGTCGACCAGGGAACCGTGAAGAACAATCAATGCTTTGGAATGAATGGCTTCCTTCCGTCTGAGAACTTCGTGACACGTCCGTGATTCAGTCTACTTTCATGTGTCAGCTACCTCCGCACGTCTGACCAGGTGTTTGTTTGGCCCTTCTAACTGTATTACTGGTGGGCTGGCAGACGGATGGATTGTGAAGTGAGCTTGAAGTCACGGTGAGGACTGACTGTCTCTACAGTCATATCGCGGTTTGAGAACTTTCAAGCGGAAATCTCAAAAATGCCACATATGTCCGTCGCAGAATGACGCCCCTTCCCTCAGAATAGATATAGGCGTTCTCCTGCACAAAGATGGCCCTGTCCCTGGGGTTCTTCCTCACCGACACCTAAACGAAGGAAGGATCACCACCCCTCCGCCGATGTCTCTACACACAGGCAGCCAAGGCTGGTTCGAACACCCCCGTACGCCACCATCACCCTCATCCCAATACTCCAGCCGCGTCGTCTCGACCTCCCCGAGCGTCACCGCCACCACCCCGGCACCCGCCTCCCGCGAAGAAGACGCGGGGGCAACCCATCATCCCCACCCACCCCTCGACGACGACGACGACGACGGCCCCCACCTACCACCCGCCACCATCGACCCCATCCTCGACACCCTCCTCGCCCGCCTGCACGCAGCCCACCTCCGCCGGCAGGCAACCAAGCACGCCCTCCACGAGGCAGAGCAGGCGGCCGAGGAGGCGACCTGGCGCCTCCTCCTCCTGGACCACCGCCACCGCCACCACCCGCCGGGCCGGGCGAGGGGCCGGCTCGAGTACCGGCTGGCGCTGGCGCGGGCGGGGCGCGACGGCGCGACGGCAAGGCGGAGGAGGGAGCTCGGCGCGAAGCTGGGGGCCGCGACGGCGGAGGTGGAGGATGACCTGGGGGTCCTTTGGAGGGTGCTACGGGAGAGGGCGCGGCGGATGAAGGGGGAAGAACGGGGAGGCGGCAGCGGCGGTAGCGGGCGGTGGGATGGCGATGCGGATGTGGATGCAGACGCAGATGCGGGTGGGGGAGGGGGAGGGTCAGTCGTGGAGCAGGTCCGCCGGCTGCTGGGGCGGGCGTCGGCCGGCGAGCTCGAGGAGGCCCGCGCGCTGCTGGACCGCCAGCTCCTGGGCCCCGCGGCGCTGTCGGTCCGGTCTCCGGCGGCGGGCGTGCTGACGCCGCCTCCGCGGTCGCACTCTGCCGTGCCTTGGGCGAGCGGCGGGGCGGGGCAGGGAGACTGGTCGGGGTCGTCGCCAGTTGCGCAGACGTGGATATGATCCCCGGGAATATCACCGTTTAGCAATATTCCTCAAATTTTACGCTTCTCGGTGGGCGTGTGTTCAGGAACCTTGGACATGGCTTGGACAGTTGAGACCTCTCCAGACGAAGAAGCCCCCCCCAATACCGAGTTTCTAAGTTTACTGGCATCTGATTACATGTTACCTACGCAAGGAAACAAAAGCGATCCCGCAGTGTCTGGCCTCATATCCGGTCCTGAACCACACTTGTGGGCTGTGGTTTCCCAGTAACAGCACCAACTGGACTTGGTGCAGGAGGGAAAAGGGGGGAGGGAGTCAGGGGGTAGGAGAATGAGGTAGGAAAGGGAAAGAGGACGGGGACTAGAAGATGTCCAGGGGTGTCCACATATTCGGAGATGGAATGTTCCCCGTCACAGGCTCTCCAATGCGGCATCCTTGCCACAGGCAATCCGACGTAGGGTTACTGATTTTGGTTGTGGTTATGGGGAGTCAAGGTCTAGTTCCGTGAGGTGGGTTTTGGAACATTCACACACAGGGCTGCAAGCCACTGGCCCGGTCAAATGATGTGTTGCATATGCAGCAAACGGTCACAGCACCTGCAAGGCAAAACGCCCAAAACCCAGGATACCTGGACAGCCTGTGAGTGGTCAGGGCTTTCCAAAATGGGATTGTGATTTATGCAGGCTGGAATCAGTTTGGTTGCAAGAAGGATGGGTGGCGCCGTGTAAAGATCCGGAAGCCCTGCCCTCGACTTCGTGTTTCTTCTCGTTTGCTCGTAACGACCCCATGCCTGATGATATTCCAAAACCACAACTCCGCCACTCGGGCCATGAAGTCGGATATCCTCTAGATTCCCCCAATCGCTCCGCGTTCGGCACGTCTCTGGATAGCAGACGAGAGAAAACAACAGAATTTTCTGCTCTTGTAATCGGACCATCTGCCGAATATTTCCCGCCCCCCAACAGCTCGTGGATGCTCAGTATGTCCAATACCACGAATCGGAACAGCAGCTAGTCAAACAAGACCCTGATGATGCCGCCCAAATACCCAGGCCCCAATGCTAACGATGCTAAGTGATGCGTGTAGATTATGCAAGATTCGGAGGAATGTGCTGATTCATCATCCCTTGCTTGGTTGCGCATTCGAGGAATTGCGGGAATTCCCTGCCGCAGTCTCCCCCTTGGAATTCTCCTGGCTGCCCTCTTGGAACAAGCCATGTTCCTCGATGTACTATTACAGTTAGCTGGCTGCTCGTAAAGGCATCTGTGAGAGGGCTAACTAACGGCAACAACTGGGTCGGGTATTAGGTAGCTGGCAGAGGTCAGTCAACGGTCTCCCACAGTATTCAGCTTCACGCCACATACCGGACACTCAATTCCTTTTTCTATATAGTCCATGGCGTCAGCAAGTGTCACGATAAACAGGAGAAGGGAGGGGGTCCAGTGTTGTGGCGCGACGACAGAGCACGCTGAAAGGTAGATATCCTTCTCGGCCTAAAAACATACCAGGAAGAGCCGGACTTTGGTCGAGCTTCAGAGCGTTAGCAACCTCGTGCATGGTTGTTTTGAGTTGCGAACTCACCTAATGTCGTTCTGGATCACCTGGCTAATAAGCCAGATGTTGTCCTCATATTGCCGCAACGCTGCAAGAGCCTCCTCGATATCTGTTCCTGCAGGTGTGTGAGTTATGAGGCAGGCGGTAGTAGCTGGAGAACTGACCGGAGCGCTCAATAATAAAGCAACCATAGTGGCCCAGAATGATGTCGAGGTCGGCAGAGGACCACAAATTCGGGGTGCTCATGGTTTGGATCTTGAGATGTGTGTGAATAAATGCCCTTGCGCGATAATCTTGACGAATAAGCAATTCTACTCACGAGGTCAGAGCCCGCCAGCAAACAGATCCTAGCCCGCTTTCCGCTGACACCTCCAAGCACATCGTTGATCTCGTGGTCGACATGCGCAAGCACACGGGCTGTCGGAACGTACTGAGGCTCCCCCTTGGAATTCCGAACGGAAGTTTCAAACGGGTCGACCATCAGCCATGACGACTGCTCAATCGCTGCTGCGCACATGTTGACTCTGATTGGAAGTTAGATCGCTGGTGCGGTTGTGATGTGAATGGCACACTCACCGGTGATAGCCTGCAGCAAGGCCAACTTTCTTGTACCCATCACTAATTTTGTGTTAGGACGCATGCTCGAGTCTGGTATCAACTGAGAGTTAACTTTCCTCACAGGGGAGAGATAACCCCCACAGACTTCAAAGCTGTTCGCAAGTCATGTTAGTAACCGAGCAGCATGTTGTGCGGCGAATGAGCGACGGTTTCCCGAAGCAGGTAGCCTGAAATGCCGAGGTTGGAAGGATACTTACTCGGTGTTGAATCGCACGAAATCGGATGCCATCTCGAACCTATGTTGCGCAAAACATCTCAGTCACTCGCCTTACCCCGTAGTATTCTCTCGTCGCAGCAAGTCTTACATGCGCAGGTGTAGATATGTCACAGGCTTTTCCAATGACTTTGGTTAGTGAGCTGGTATCGACGGGACTTGAGTGCCAACCTACCGAAAACGAGCCGCACGCCACCAGAACCAAGGGAGTCTTGCTCTCATCCACCAGGGTTCGTTTGAGCTTGTGGTAAGGGAAGCGATAGTCTTCTTGCGGTATCAGCTCGGCTTCCTCTGGGGTCGACTGCTGACGAAGCGCCCTGGGCCGGGCACCATCCGGTGTTTGCCCCTTGGAACTCATGATTGCGAAATGGAAGGTCGGGAAAGGTGTCGCGCGCCTTCCGCAATAGCAAATGCAGTCTGGACCACGGCAGCTGCGGCTCGGGTCGATGACGGAGGGCTACCTATTCTGTCGTGCGACAGGCGACAGACAGGCGAGAGCGATTGAGGCAGGCGATACCGGGCAAGGTGCGTCACAGTGGCAATAGCGCTCGCAACAACAATAAGTGATCAGAGAGGAGTCCCGGGCAGGACTTTGATAAGGATGAGTTGAAGCCGCAATCGAAGCCGGGGAAAGGTAGAAGTAAGTCTGGAGAAGAGAAAAAGCGGGACGGCGTGGGAATGGGCGAGAAAGGACGTTGACTAGAGTCTCGAACAGCTCTAGAAATAGGTAGTTCCTTTGCGCCTGGCGGGCCAGTGGTTGTTACTGTCGGTAACCCTGTAATGGGGGGATTAAAAGGCGCAATCCAGGCTGAGTACTGCCACCTGCCTACCTGACTATCTGCTAACTAATCACCTTAGTCTGCAAGTGCCGACCAATGTCCGATGATCTCCTTCAACATGATAGACGGGCGCGGGGCAGGATAAGTATTTGTAAGTACCTCGCTGAGTGAGGGGTTAACGAGCTGGCTGGGGAGTGAGGGGCAATCTTAGATACAAGGAAGTACTCCGTAAATCCGACTATCACATCGCCTGCTCCGTCTTACATTCTTAAAGCCTGGCCCTTATTATGAGTCAAAATTGAAACAGGCAACAACCCATTCTAAGCTTACCTGCTTTTTGCCTTTAGAGCTACATTGAGCCAAACGATAGACGTCATTGAAACCTTTTGACTTTTGATGCTTTGAGACAGACCGGTTGACAGACTTAGAAAGGACGAAACAGCGGACTTCCCAACTTCGTTGTACGTTCAAGCAAAAGCTTTCGGCCTCCTGCCGTCAGTAGTTAAAGTTTTCAGAAACAGTTTCCTGATCCCCAAGCCATCCCAATAACACTTTCAGCATTGCCGGATTGGTGCATAAATAGTACTTCTTTCTGGTTATCATCCCATCGCTTCCAGCCCCTAGAACATCACCCCTTTCCATTCTCCGCCCGAAGACTTGAGCGCCCAGGTCCTCAGTCTTCCTCGCGAAATCCCTCTCTTCCTCCCCAATCTTTCCCGTGACAAACAGTTTCACGAACCGCGCAAGTCCATCAACCTTTTCGAACGTATGAACAGCGAGGAACAAGTCTCCCGAACGGAGGCTCCAAAGGACACGGAACCCGGCGTCGCCCCTTTTCCCAAGGGCCGCCAGCAAGCCGGGCGCTTGCGCTAGCAGGGGGGTGATGCCCACCCCGCCTGCAACGAAGACGGCGAGCTTCTCGTCCTTGTCTTCCGCTGCTCCGCCATTGCCGGCGGCGGGGATCCGGAACGCCCCCTCGCCACCGAAGCCGAGGACGGGTAACTCCAGGGGCACCCGGATGTTGTGCTTGGCAAGCAATGTCGTGGCTGGGCCGTGCTTGCGCACCGTGATCTCCAGCTCCGTCTCGTCATCTAGCGCCGCATCGTCACGATCACCTTGGGCAGACGACGGCGGCGGGTTCGAGATGGTGAACGTCCGTACGAAATCGTCGTTCAGGCTCTGGGGGTCGTCATCGCACATGTGACGCCACCCATCATCCAGTTCCGCGCTGAAATCAAGAGTAACATGCTGACCCGGCTTCCATGCCCTCAATTGCCTCCCGCTAGCCCCAGGCTGGAGTTTGAACACGTATCGGCTCACTGTCGGGCTAATGACCTCCCGCTCGACTAGTGTAGCCGTCGTAACTGGACCTTGGTCCCTAGGAATAGCGCCGGTCTGCTGCTCGCTCACGAGTGGGCGAACCGGCGGATTGTACGGGGATGACTCCCCGGCTTTGCCCCTGAAGGAAAGCCCGTCTTTCACGAACCGGGCTTCCTTCACGGTGATCTTGACCGCTAGGCCGGCATGGGCAAGCAGCGCGGCGGCCGACCGGCCTACAAGAAGCTCGGTTTCGCCTCTTAGGAAGAGTACGTTGGACGAGTCAAAGTCTGGGATTGCAATGCCGACATTTGGGTTGGTGTAGAGATTTCCGAGAGTCTGGTACAAACGGTTGCCGGAATATTCGGGGTAAACTATCACGACACCGCCTTTCGCGTTGCTGACGACCCGTACAAAGCCGGGAGGTCCTCCTCTGTGGTTCGTATCCATAGTCTGTCCGTTGGTGGAAGATAAGAAAAACATGTCGGCCTTATCGATCAGCTCAAGGGCCCCCTTCGGCAAGGGCAACGTATCGGATACCAGCTCCGGCAACGGAACATGAGCGGTAACCTCCTTCTTGTTGAGATATTTGGGGCAATTGCCGAGGCTCTCCTGCACTAGCATCGCCATCTGGACTTCCCCAACAGCAGGATTATTCCCGTCTTTGCTTGCGACTGTACCGACAGCCATTCGGCCAGCTAGTTTGACCCGATCCCTTGTTTCGAGGTCGATACTGAGCGCACTCATAACCTTGCCTTCTATCCCACCTGTCATCGGACGCACTAGTTCGCCGTCCGCTGCTGAACCTAGCAACGCTTGTACGACTGGGTCATGACGCCTGTCAACAAGGCACTGAACGCCAAGAAGATCTTGGGCGACTGGTCGAGTGAACGTCCTCTCGCCCCCCCAGACTGTTGTCCAGGGCCTGCCTTGCTCGTCCAGAGTCCCAAACGCGACCAGTGAAGAGCTGGCTACTCGGTACGCATACGGAGCGGGCAGGCCCTTGGCGGTTGGGTTTTCTCGCTGCGACGTCGGGACACGGAGGAGGTTGTGGATGGCCTGCTCCCCGGGATGCCAGCCGGTCGAGAATTCGTGGAGGGTTGCCATAGCGGCAGCGATGGATGGTTTGGCTCCCGAGACAGAGGTTCAAGATGCTACTGGCATCGGCGAGGATCGTCGAGGAAGAAGTGGAAATGGGCAGGGCACAAAATGAACCCGAAACAGGGGAATGGTGCCCATCAAGGACTTTCTCGACAGTCGTTTCCTGGAATCTTAGACGGAGAGGGTTTGCAGATTGGGCTTGGAAGCCCTCAGGCAGCATTGATAATAATAAACCGATCCATCAGTAGGAACTGCGTGTTGATGGCTGGGCATTATATTATGGCTGGACGGGGCATCGCAAATCCCGAAATACCCATCGCTTTGACGACTCCTGACAAATCATTCATAAAGGGCGCGCGAGTGGCAAATCCAGTCGCGCCTTTTGCTCAACCCAACCCGAGTCTTCGGTTTAAAGATACCATGTCACGAAGGAGAATGTCGCTGGTGATCTTGCGAACCGTAATAGTAATTATATTCGAGAATTGGCAGGGCGGAGTATCAAGGAGTTGCTTCGGCACATTAGAATTGCGTCGAAAATGAGCTGACGGCGGCTGCCCAAAAGAAGCGACCTACTTTGGCTTGTGAAAGCAGCTTCAGTCGCGACGCAGTGGGGGGCTGCTGGGGTTGTCAGCAAGAACCTAGGGCTCCGCAATTGTTCCACCAGTAATTTAAAAGATCAAGCTAACCTAAATGCTACAGACTCTGCGGACTTCTGCGAACTCTGCAAGTGTAACGGAAAAAGTCGCCCATCATTGTCCGTGTCAAAAGCGCTCCAAACTCAATAATGTTTCTAGCTCGCTCCAACCGAACTCGGCCGTCCATAGCCAGCCTAGCTGAGGGATACTTATTACTGGCCCGGCGCAGCGATTGCCAGAGCTTCTCGTCCACCACAGCTGCTGTTGCTCGAGGGCGGCACAAAAATTTCAGGTTCTGCTAGGATCAGGCCTGCTATGACGTATCCCGACCCCGCCACCTGCGACTACTCCTTCCTAGTGTTTCCACCCCGCGATTCAAGACACACGCCTACGGCTTGGTCGGCTTTATACACACGCGCAGGAGATATTCTGAAATCCCAAGTCGCAGGGACCCTGGCACGGCCACCCAGCCGAGCACAATGGCTGACAGTCGCAACACCAAACCAGTCCAGACTGACAAGGTGTCAGTGACCGAAGGCGAGTACGTCGAGCAGACCGAGCATCTCCCTCCCGGCATCATGGAAACCAAGGAGGAAGTCGAGCACCAATGGTTCGTTGGGAGCATCGACCAAGGAACCACTTCCACTCGCTTCCTCATATTCAATGGCAAAGGCGACCCCGTCGCAGACCATCAAATGGAATTCGAGAATATGTATCCGGAGTCAGGGTCAGTCGAACGAACCCCTTCCCCCCTTTCGCCCATTCCCCTTGGCTCCAGCCCATAGCGCAAAATACTGACCCGTTGAAGATGGCACGAGCATGACCCCCTAGAACTCCTTTCTTCCGTCGAGGAGTGCATTGACAATTCCATGCGCCAATTCGAGAAGCAAGGTTACACCAAGGCCAACATTCGCTCCATCGGGATAACGAACCAGCGCGAGACAACGGTAGTCTGGGACAAGAATACCGGGGAGCCCTTATACAACGCCATTGTATGGCCGGATACCCGGACAAAGAATCTCGTGCGCGAGCTCCGCAACCGCGACTCCTCCGAAGAGCTCCTGCCGCTCTGCGGATTGCCGCTGTCCACCTACCCAAGCAGCGTCAAGCTGCTCTGGCTGCTGCAGAACGTCGACGCCGTGAAGAAGGCATACGATGAATCGCGTCTCGCCTTCGGAACTGTTGACTCCTGGCTGATATTCAAGTTGAACGGCGGCGTTAAGGCGGAGAAGCCGGTACATGTGACCGACAGCACGAATGCGAGCCGGACCATGTTTATGAACCTTCGGACGCTGAAGTATGATGACAGGCTCCTGAAGTTCTTCGGACTCGACAGGGAAAAAATCAGCCTTCCGCAGATCGTACCGTCCTCAGATCCAGATGTGTTTGGCAAAGTGACCTACGGCGCGCTGGAGGGGATCTCCATCGCCGGGTGCCTCGGAGACCAATCCAGCGCCCTAGTGGGGCAATGCGGCTTCAGCCCGGGCCAGGCCAAGAATACCTACGGAACGGGATGCTTCCTGCTGTACAATGTCGGGGACGAACCAGTCATATCAAAGTCGGGCCTGCTCGCAACCATCGCATACGACTTTGGCAAAGGCAAAAAGCCGGTATACGCACTTGAAGGCAGCATCGCGGTTGCCGGTTCCGGCGTCAAGTTCCTGATGAATAATCTTGGCTTCGTGAATGAGTCGAGCAAGATTACCGAGCTCGCCGAGTCCGTCAAGGACAATGGCGGCGTCTTCTTCGTCACGGCCTTCAGTGGCCTCTTTGCCCCTTACTGGATCGACGACGCCAAGGGAACATTATGTACGTCCCCAACTAGTCATTTAGTGAATGAAAATTCCCAACTGACGCCTCGACAGTCGGCATAACCCAACACACCACAAAGGGCCACATCGCCCGCGCGACTCTCGAGGCGACGTGCTACCAGACCAAGGCGATCCTCGACGCCATGGAGCAGGACTCGGGCCACAAGCTCGAGTCGCTCGCCGTCGACGGCGGCATGTCCAACTCGGACCTGTGCATGCAGACTCAGGCTGACATCAGCGGCATCCCCGTCGACCGCCCCGGCATGCGCGAGACCACCGCCCTCGGCGCCGCCATCGCCGCGGGGCTGGCCACGGGCGTGTGGAACGAGCTGGAGGACCTCAAGAACGTCAACCAGGAAGGCAGGAGGGTCTTCCAGCCTGACATGCCGCGGGACAAGGCCGAGAAGCTGTTCAAGAAGTGGGAGCAGGCAGTGGATATGAGCAGGGGGTGGGTTAATGGGACTGACTAAGAGGTGTATAGGGAAAGGGTGCATCCTTGGATTTGTGTGATGGTACGGAATCTGGGTCAGATACTCCTTGTATTTATGGTCAGACGTATTGACACTTGTCTTGGATAGAGGCGAGATCTAATGGAAGCTCAAACTAGAAATCACCGCACTGGGAGTAGTGAGAAAAGTAGCCTCTTGAATAATTGTCATGGCATGGGTCCCCAGTACGGGCCATGGTGCCATGATCCATCCATTTCACCACCTATCCAGCCTTCTATATACAATATAATCGGCTAGCGTGCTCTATACCATACCAAACCAGCTGCTTTTCATACATGATCGATCAGTGCAGTGTAATGCGCATCGCTTGCCCAATATGCTTCCCAGCCAAGACCCGTGTGTAAATCCATTGCGCTTGAACGCCGATAAAACCAATATCCCAAATCTCAAAATGAGCCCTCATTATGCATCGTCGTCAAGCCAATGTCGCTTCCTCAGACCATCATAGTCCACATATGGCCCTATATAAGCCCCCTCGACATACAGTCGTCGAGTGAGAATCTCCCTTCCGCCAGCGCACCGCCTTGAAACAGACGGCCTCGGGAGGAAGCAAGCGAAGCACCGAGCCAGGTATCATAACCCCATGCGAGGACAACAAGGCCCGCGGTTCAACCGAGTACAAAGTCTCGAAATAGAAGAAGAGAAGCCAAGCGGATTGAAGAAGGGGCGGGACGTCAGCCGACGTGACTGGCGCCCACCAAGGAAGCCGGGGTCAATTGCCGTCGTGTAGGTCGTCGCTGGAGCTGCTCCCGCTGCTCGACGACGAGCCCGTCACCGTGCCCGAGAAGTTCCGCCGCGCGACGCGGACGAGGTGGTAGATGCCGATTGCGATCAGGGTGAGGATGATGAAGAGGACGATGATGATGATGGCGATGGCGTCGTTCTTCTTGACCATCTTCGCCGCTCAGGTGCCAGGCGCCTGGAGAGGCGTCGGCAAGGCTGGGGGTTGGGTGGGTGTGATATGGGGGGATGGTTGACTCGGTGGAGGAGCCGAGGAATGTTGACTGAGGAATGTAGATCGCAGAATGTAGATCGAGAAACAATAGGTGGTTGCTTTTCGGGATCAACAGTGTGTCATGTGAAGGTGTCGTGGCGCCCGTCGTCTTTCGTCTTTGGAATTGGGCAAGTGTGAAGCAAAGTCCCTCCTTGGTGGTTGCGGGGTCAACAGCGGTGATACAGCAATGCGCTACTGCAGATGGCTGGGAAGGGCCGACAAAGAACAAAGATGATATATGGCAGATTGGAAGCTACAAAGAGAACCAAAATAAACAATAATTTAGGATTTCTCTGTGAATGCGATTCGGAAGAGAGCATCGATAAGACTGGAAAACTGGCAGAACTGGCGTTGGCATTCAAGAAATACGTGCCGTTGCCCCGCCACCTCATTCCAGAACAAATAAAATAATGTGCGAGGCTGGCACCCAGCCCCCCCTTACCCCTGTAACGTTAGCGCTTTCGCAAGGTGTGCACGGTCCATTTCAGTGGGTCGATTGAGCTCCAACCACCAGCCTTGTGAATGTCGAGCTCCTGATTCGACCAGAAAGGGGAGCTCGAAAAGAAGCCTGAAACAGGCATTCGTAGGGAGCCCAAGGAGATGGGACCATGACGCGCACCTCATTTAAAAGTTGTGATGTCGTAAGGTGCATTTGACTAAATACAACCCAACCGGAAGTTCCAGCTGTCGACGATTAGATGCAGAGAAGGGGACGAGAGGGAGGAGGTAGGGAGATAGTTGGCAGGTAGATGGAAAGGTACAGTAGGGATAACGCAAGGTAAATTGATATTGGGACAAGAAATGAGGAATTCAGACCAGAAATTCCCCTGAACTACCATTACCGAATCGCCCCGATGCGACAGCGCCGAAATCCAGCCTCTCCAGTAGAGCCATGTCATTCGTTAGGCTCTGCTAAAGAGAGAGCAAACATATAAAACAATACAGTAAGTCAATCCTTCCTCCGTTCCAATCAGTCAATTGGGGAGGCAGCAGCCAGCGCATCATCTTGGTCCTTCTTAATGATGCGGACGTGTCGTTCGTAAAATTGCAGCATCTATTGTCCGATTGTTAGTTAGAGTAGCTCCGAAGCTTGTGTTGAAACGGAGGGGTATTCGGCCAGCTTACCTTCTGAGGGCAGCGCTTGTAGATAACGCTGGTCTCATGTTGCGTTCTATGCCCGTTCTTCCAGGTCAGGTACACCATCAGCTTCCCCTTCTCCTCGTCCTCGCAAGCATCCAGGCTCGCAATGTCCTCCTCCCAGCTCCCCGCCGGAGGCTTCCATGCAGCCCGTTTCGCAGTGGCAGGCGGGCTGGTGTCTTTCGGATGGTCGCCGTTCTTGCGTGACCGTTTGTTCCCCATCGTGGGAGTATTCGTCGATGAACGGCCTCGCTTCTTGCCCTTTAGGCCGTTCTTCATCTCTTGGAAGATTTTGTCTCGACCACCCACGGCCTCGAAGTACTCTTCTAGGATTACTGAAGCGTTGTCCCTGCGTCCGACCGTTAGATCGATGGCATGGGGAGGGGATAGGACCAAGCACCGCATACTTCAGGTTGTCCTCGGGTTCCCAAGTGCGATCTGCCTTCTTCTCATATCCTTCCCATTTGACCTCAAACTTGAGTTCGCCCTAAACTCGCAACGTTAGATAACGAAACTGCCGTTGCCGTTGCCGTGATTCCTACGAACCCCTTGGAACTGGTGGGATATGATTTTCTCGACAACGTATCTGCTTTGATGTTAGGCGCATCACAGGGAGCTCATGGGGTGGTTCCATACTCTTCCAGCTCCTCGTCCTCCTCGCCATCGTCCCCTTCTTCGTCGTCATCGTGCTCGGACTCCTGACCGTTAGTCTGGTCGTTCGCATTATCCTCTTCCATCTCGTCCTCCTTGTACGACGCCGACTTCCTCTCCCTTTCCCTTTTTGTTACCGATGTAAGGGGGACGGTGAGCTCGTTGTCTGAGGCCTCTTCGTCGCTGATAGCTGCTACGAGTGTCAGCTAAGCGGGGTGTTCAATATCAAGTTGCTAGGTAATGGAGAGAAATAGAAGCGCGGAGGCGTAGAGATATTGGCGCAAAGTTATGGAGGTGTTAATATGAAGAGAGCGAATCACCACGGGCGAAAGCGACGGTCAGCGCATCCAGACGCGTTGCGATCGACTTCAATATTTCTTTGCGCCGGGAAATGTTGCAGGAGACAGCTTACCTGGAGGCATACTGGGCAGCCCTTACTCAGTTAGGTTTGTGGGGATGTTGCGAAACAGCCCTGCGGCAGCAATGCGTTGAATGCGTGAAGCTCGTCAGAATTGGTATGGGGATAGCTTCCAAACGGTGGCAGGCCAGCAGCGCGACCATTCGTTCCCATTCTACAAATGCGGGACGTGGCGGACGGAGCAACAATTTAATTGATCCGCTTCTGTCTCTTATGTAACTAACCCTAACCCTCGCTTTACCCTTTCGTATGAACCAGATGCCATCTACCGTAGAATTGCCTCCTCGAGGGCCCTGAGCCTCTCGAAGTGATCGAGGCTGGGTGAATCCCGGACAAACGGCCCGCTCTCAACAGTGCCCCGCTGACCCTCCACGTAGATACGGGGCTCCGCCACAGCATACAGCGCGGTGGAACGGCCACTCTCCATCTCCTCGATTTGCCTCATGTGGGATTCTATTGTGGGCAAGTCACCGTCGGCTGCCTCGTCTTCGCCTACCTCCGAGGTCAGTATCCAGAGGAGCTCACCATCAGCGAAGGCGCCGGGCATGAATTGGTGCTTGGTCTCCCCATTGGGAGGCTGGCTCTGGACTGTTGTCTCTACCTTGACAGTGGAAGCCTTGGGAGTCTGCGAAAACATCGTGTTGTCGAAATGCTTCTGGTCTTTCCTAGGAACACCGCTTGATACGGTAATATTGAGCGTGGGTAGCGATGCCTGAGGACCAAGGAAATAGAGTGTTGAAGAGCTTAGGATGGCTGCTTTCTTTGGTAGACAAGTAGGATGACGATTCCCCTGGGATGGTTCCCCCTCTTATAATAGCCTAGTCGTATAGAGACGACCGAGGACGAGGAGGCTGTCAAAGGATATCGTGCGCTGTCAAAGGGAGGGCGAGATACCCATTGTCTTTTTGTGCGCTGATACTGACTGCAAGAAGACAATCGTAAAGACCAGGGAAGGCTCAGCCTGCGAGACCCGTCTATCTGGCAATTCTTTGTGCCACACCCTGAATGCTTTCTGAAACTCCCAGTAAATACAACGTCAGTTGAATGAATTCCAGTTAAGTGATAACACGGGGGCTTTCTTTGTGTGGGCCGTCGCTCCAAGGCCGGGTCGAACTCTGGTTTTGAAGCATGATGAACGGCAGGACTTATGGCGAGCTGATCCCGCGTGGGTCAATATGGAATACATATTTGATAGTTAGTGTACATGATGATAGTATACACAAGCGGCGTAAGACACAAAAGGCAAGAAAGTCAATAACAAGGCAGGGAACACGTGGAGGCCTTGCCAACCTGACTCAAATGCCGAAGGATTGCCTCGGTTGTTGTAACCTCTTTCCAGCAGCAACTTTCGGAGAGTTTTCCCGTTCCTCGAGAGCTGGTCATGTTCAGAATACATCAAAACTCTCTTCAGGTATGGGATTAGTGTGCCGGGGCAAGATAGTTGTCCAAAGCCCCGCTAGGACTGGCCCAGAATGCGAGAGCAATGATCATATAGAGGCCCAACAGCTGGAGAAGGAAAGTTAGAGTCTGTATTGAGGTCGCAATATATATTCTGGCTTGGTGGCAACTCACCATTGCTCCCTCGAGATAGTTAGACTTGCCGTCCTGGACAATGTATGTAACAACCAACACCGAGAAGGCGAAAGCAATTGTCTCGACTGGGCTATCTGTCAGCGCCTTTCATTCAATCCTGTCTCTCCGGGGTATGTTGGCACTTACACGTCTCGAAGTGAAGGGTCATGGGTTGGCCGATGATCCAGCCAAGGATGACCAAGAAAGGTGTGACGAGAAGGGCAATCTGTATGCTGGAGCCAATAGCGACACCCATGGCCAGATCCATCTTGTTTCTCAGAGCCACGACACATGCCGTGACATGTTCGGCAGCGTTACCAACGATGGGGATAAGAATCAACCCGATGAAGTTCTTGCTGATATGATGACTCTGGACAATATCGTCAATGCTGCCGACAAGGTAGTCGGCACAAATGGCCACGACAACGGTAACAGCAATAAGAACTGCGCCAGCCGAGAACGCGCTCATGCTCACTTGTTCCTCCTCCTCCTCCTCCAGTAGAAGGGGAGCCTCAGGGGTGAACAGGTTCTTGTGGGTACGAAGCTGGAAGTATAGGTATAGAACGTATAGCAGCAACAGGATGATGGCAGTACCGCGCGACAAGAACAGGATGCTCGAATCCTTGTCCTGGTCATTGCTGGTGTGATCGAGGACGGCATAGAGCGCGGCCGGGATAACCAGCGAGGCAGAAGAGAGTGTCATGAGCGAACATGTCGTCTGGGCGGTGGCTGTTGTGAAGGTCTGCTCGATGCCCGCGCCCTCGTCATCGCGCATGTGCCGTATGCCGCCTAGTAAAAAGCACATGCCCAAGACAAGCAGTAGGTTCGAGAGGATGGAGCCCAGCATCGAGGACTGCACAACCTCGATTTCGCCCGCCTTGAGTGCGACGATGCTAACCTGTGCGGCAACGAGTCAATGAGGTGTAACACAAGCCGGACCGAGATTGGAAGCCGTACGATAAGCTCCACGGCATTGCCAAAGGTAGCGTTTAGCAGACCCCCCATAGTGTCTCCCAGGCGCACCGATATCTCTTCCGTTGCAAACGACAGCACCGCTGCTAGCGGGATAATGGCGAAGAAGTTGAGCGTGAAGACGGTAGTGGGATCCCATTCATGAGCACCAGCGAAGATACCGATTGGAACAAATACAAGGAGAATGTTGATAGGGCCTTGCGATGCGAAGTTAGTATATCAAGCTTCCAACCACTTGCGCCACACGATAGAACCTACTACTCAGGAGCGTGACTTTGGTCACATTGAAGGCTCTTGCCGGCCATTTGACCAGGGGATTGGGGCTGTCGATGCCGGGAGTGTGTCTCCGATCGAGGAAAACATTCCGCCAGAAGCCGGTACGGTCTGCTTCTGCGGACGAGTGGCCCAGGAGCGGGCTGTTCTCGTTTGCATTCATGACGCCGTTTGTGTGTTCGTCGTGCGCAGGCTTGGTCCAAGTCCGGCGGAGCTGCTCCCGGAAATCGACCGTAACTGGCAGATTTGTTAATCACTGAAGCCTCAAGGGGAGCGAGAATTTGCGCTGTGGTCCATAGCACGGCAGCCAATGGCCATCTTGATGGAAGCTCAGATCTGGTGGTCGTGAACAGGGCCGACGGGAAGGAGAGCTGTGATGTGAGAGAGAGGGATAGGACGAAAGCCAAGATGGTAGCAGCACTCACACACCATGGCTCTCCACTAAAGCCAACTAATTAATGGTTCGAACAACTAGGTTGATACAACAGAGGTCATCAAAGTTTCGGGACGTGAAGTGGATGCGGGAACATGCCGTCAAGAAAGAGACTCAAAACTGTACCCAGTACATCCATACTGGCGGGGTGTAAGTACTTAGGTACAGGATCTTAGCGCATGCACGTACACAGATGTATGAGGATGGTTGGGCAAGCTCCAAACAACAACCGTTACAAGGATAGGAATCATACAGTCTCAACTCCCTCAACGCACGAACCACCAAAAGCCAAACGCAAGCAAATCGCATCTTATGCTCCCTTGCTCAACTTCCATACTTATCGAGTGTTTCTTCGGTGCTGAGATCGCGGACGCAACCTCCCCCACAAGGTCGCACAATGGATCGTGGCGGTGTTGGCAGAAGGTTGCCAAACTCGGCGAGTCAATACCTTAAAGCTACCCCTGCAGGCCACAAGTGCCGGAGGCCTCCAAGCAATTAACGAAGCTTTGCAGCTGTGGGGAAAAGCCGGACACGGGCAGCTCTGCCAAGACCAAACAACACGCATCTCCACCTCAGACGTCGACGGACTTCAACTCCTCGACGACGAGCTTGGAAAAGGCTTCCTGTAGTTTGGTGCCCACCTCGGAGTCCTTTGACTGATTCTCAGCTTCGTCGACGCCCAAGCCCTTTTCTCCGTGGGCCTCGAGGCATCTTGCCACGGCGCCCCAATATCGCTCTCCGGCCACGTTTCGCAGCTCTTCCGCTGGGTTGGGCCCTTGGAAGTGTGCGTCCGTCTCGGTCCCAAGCAGCCAACCGCGCACCTTTTTGGAATCCGGCAGGGATACGTTGGGCCAGCTTTTCAGGGCTAGGATCTTGTGAAGGGGCAGCCAGTGAGCGATTTCCAAAAGCACCAGTCCCAGAGCGTAGATGTCGTAGGTCTTCCTGAATGGGCCATGCCCCTGCCCGTTTTGCTGGACATCAGGCCATCGGTAGATATTCCACTGGTCATCCACCTCCCGAGACGTCGTACCCGAGCTCTGCGGTCTCGAGTAGTCGAACCCGGAGAGCACAGGCTTCTCCGGATCAAACTCGTCCTCGCGGTCGAAATGGAATATCACATTGTCGCTGCGGATGCCCTTGTGCAGCCAGTTGACGGTGTGAAGGTAGAGCACCGTCGATGCGAGTTTGGACGCAAGCGAGATTCGCTGGGACAAAGTCGGCTTATACTGACGATCGCCAAGTATGTCGTAGAGAGACTTGATCGTTGTTGAGGTATCTGAGTCGTCGGGCATCTGAAAGACCCAGGCGTGTCGTCGGGCACCGTAGACCTGCAGGTCGTCGAAATACCCAATGGAAGAAGGCAGGCACAGGGCTTGCGGCTTGACTTTGTGCAGCATCTCTGCCAGCGCCTCAGTTCGCAATCTTGCCTCTCTCTCCTGAGAAGACCCTGGTACTATGTGTCCCAAGTTCTTCCATTCGATCCAAACGAGGATGTCGTCGTCGTCCTCCGTCGTTAGGACAGCTCTTGGTCGGGATAGTGCTTCTGGCTCATATTCTTCGTTCCAAAAAAGTTCGTCGTCGAATGCGGTGGCAGGGAACCGCGGTACCGTCATAAGGCTGGCGAGGCTCATTCCCGGGTCCAGCGATGAGTTATCCTTGAGTTGGGACAGAATATCTTCCGACGCTTGGCTGATCTCTTTAAGCTTAAGCATATCTCGAAACACCTCATCGTTGCGGCGAGATCTTCTACTGTCGCGGCTCGTGGGTGACGCGTCTATCAGGCCGGTCACAGCACCCAACATGGCCCGGAGCTCCTGGATTTCGTTCCGAGCGAGGACCATCTCTCTGTAGGTCTTGGCGGTGATCTCATCAATGGCTTTCTCCCTGTGATCCCCCATCAACTCGCGGAGACGTTCGGTTAACGCATGGAGATCTTTCAGGAGAGCCTCGAAGGCCTCTTTATCAACCGCTGCCCATCTGACTCGGCGGGGGTGGGTGACTATCTCCTTCGTGTTGTGGGTAACTCTGGAGAAGAAACCGCGGAGATGGCCGGTCCCCTTGGAATATTTGCGCCCTATCTTCTCCTTTTCGTACGAGACAGCAAGGCCAGATACCTGCTTTACCAGGTCAACATCTGTGGCTTTTGCTTCGACGACGTCACGGTCATCTTTCTTGTAGGGGTTGAGCTCGTTCTCGTAGCGGGCATTGAGGTCCCTGAACTCGGCCAGTAGCCACCCGACTCGAGCGACAATGGCGCACAACTCTGTTGCGTTCGTCCCAAGTGCGACTCCCAGGTGGGATCCCTCGGGGACTTCAACAAGACCCGCTGCTTTCCCCCAAGCCAGAATCCGATTATACTCAATAAGCAGCTGTAGCCTTAGAGTCTCGCAATCCTGGGGCATGTCCACAAGGGTTCCGATGAACTTGAACACTAGAAGCGGGTAAGAGTCTGGGACTTGTGGTAAGACGTCGCACCTACTTACACCTTACGGCATTGTCAAACAGATCGAAAGCAAGCGGGACTACACCGATAACGAAGCCTGCAACTTCCATTATGCCTCTATTGCCCGGGACGCAACGATACTGAATGGGAAGAAAGGAGCCTAAAGGCTGATCCTACGAGATCTAGAGAACTGTACTTCTCTAAAGCGGCGGCCAGGGGTTACTGCGGGTCCTTAAGTATGGTAAGTACTACCAGTAGGTAAGATAACCCATGATGGGAGGCTGATTTGAGGTTGCCTCAACCTTGAGCCAGCCTTCAAGTTGCATTGGGCTGAGCCGCCGAACAGAACGAATGATAAGCTGGCCTGGCCAATCGCACAGCTTTACCTAGGTACGTACCTATGCCTGGCGACACAAGGGTCAATCCATCCTTGAGGAGACGAATATGCAAAGTAATGAAACTTGGAAGTGAGGCTTCGAACCACTCTTACCCAGGACCTAGGTATCCATGTAAATACATGCCAACATTGGATTGATGCCCGAGTGTAGGTATTTGGGATATAAATCTTATTTCTACTTTCTTTCCAAGCCCAACAAACCAAGTAAGGCACCCTGGCCCTGTAATCGATGAGAAGTGCCAATGAGGCCAGGCAGATTCTTTTTCAACTTCACAAACTCGGTGGTGGGCAAGGCTCGGCTGCATCCGGTGACTCATTCAGGTACCTACGGGTACCGACGGAGGAAGGAACGTGTGGTGTAGAAAGGAAAAGCCACCCATGCTTGCCATGCTAATAAGCTGAAGGTGGCTGAGCACGAGCTACCACCCGTTCACAATCCAACGAGTGCACCTGTGACGCAGGGCGGGTTCCACAGATTACTGCAGATTATGGGTTGCGGGTCACCTATTTGTGGGTTATTTACAACAGAGAGTCTAGGTGCGATGTCATCACTTGATAACCTAGAGACGCCTGCCACAATTAGCAACCAACTGCTCAATTTTTCGAAACCGGACGGCGCCTTTGAGATTTAAAATATCCCTGGAGGGATCTGTGCTAGCAGATTGGCCAGCGGCATCTTTCGAGGCCACTTCTCACTTGAAATGACAGAGACTCTGACACCTAGAACCGAAGCGCGGCCTCAGCACACAAAACGGGCGCCCTCGGCTCTGAAGACCGGCTCGCCACGCAAGCCATCCCGACGCGTATCGTACGCCGCCGAGGAGCCTGCCAAAGCAGCCTCGTCGTTCACGCCCGCCCTTTCCGTCGCATCATCGCCATGGTCGAGCAAGCTCCTCCTCACGCTCGACGGCGGAGGTATTCGAGGCTACTCCTCGTTGATCATCCTTCGCACCCTGATGAAGGAGGTCGCCGAGATCGAGCAGCGTCATGAGAAACCGGCCATGTCCAGCGCGGATACGGACCGGATACCGCGGGGCTCGATCCCTTCGCATGTCTATCGGGAGGGCCAATATCTGCCGTGCCACTACTTCGACTACATAGCCGGAACAAGCTTCGGCGGTCTGATAGCCATCATGCTGGGCATGCTGGGCATGAGTGTGAAGGACTGTATCGACGAATTCAACAACCAGCAGGATAGCATACCCCTAGCCAACTTCAGGCCCGCAAACCTCGATTTCTCCCTCCTGCGCAGGAGGACAACTTGGCCACCGAAGAGGTCGAACAGTTTCTACGAGACCTTTGCCCGTTTCAGCGCGACGGCGACCGCCAATTTGAACGCGAAGGCGGCTCCTGAACCGTCAACTCCAACTTCGACGTCTACGGTGGAGTCCGAGTTCAAGCAGGACTCTTTTCAATGCCAAACGTGAGTTGTACCCTCGTTGAAACACACACATACATTTCCATATCCCCTTCTCGACAGGATGCTAACGAATATTCTCCTTACAGGCTGGCATGGTGCACCGAGATCGAAAGCCGGAAGCCGTACGCGTTTTGCTCATACGAGGACTACGAGAACGCCAACCGGGCGATATCGATACCGGAGGTCGCAAAGGCCATCACCGCCCCGACCTCGGCCCTGTTCAAGCCGTTCAAGCTCGGGGCGGCGCATTTCGTGGACGGCAGCAGGCAGATCCGCGACCCGACGCTCGAGGTCCTGAAGGAGATCTCGGGCCTCCTGGAGAGCGACCACCCGGCCATCGGCCTCGTGCTAAGCCTGGGCACCGACGAGCACCGCAGCTGGATCTACGAGGTCCTGGGGATAGGGTCGCAGTCATCGTCATCCTCGTCGCAGTCGTCCGGGAGAAAGTCCGCCGCCGCCGCCGCCCAGGTCGACGCCGAGGTCAGCAAGGAGAAGGGCCGGTCGTACCACGACTACCACCGGTTCGAGGTCCCCGACGTCCGCCTCGGCTTCCGCCGCAAGTTCTTCCTGCGCGAGATCGAGGACTTCACCGCAAAGTGGCTCGCCGAGGGGACCAACATGGCCGACATCCGCCGCTACGCGGCCGCACTGGTCGAGAGCCGCCGGGCCAGGGCCGCGACCCCCGGCTGGGAGACGTTCGCCCTCGGCGCCAGGTACCTGTGCTTCCACGACGTCTGCCTGAACAAGGACACTGTCTTCGACAGCAGGGGTAAGTTCTACGGGCACCTGGACCGCAGCCACGGACTCTCCAAGGACATGACCAAGAAGGGCAAGCAGGCCATCGAGGCCGAGTTGGACAGGGGACGCAGGATCGGGCATGGGTTGGCGTTGTAACGTTGTTTGCCCCTTGGGGGATGGATGATATGAAGTTACGGTTTACTGGGGAATGATAATGCAATGGTTTGCAGCTGCCCTTGGGGCCATTACAGCGAGGGAGTTTCGGTCAGCGTGGTTTTTTTTTTTTTTCACTTTCATAGATCAACGCTTTTTTCCTCTAATTTCTCTCTTTCTTGGTATTTAAGTCGGATAAGTCATAATTCGTACACATCATCTCACATGCCACCCATTCCCACGTCAACATCTCCCGTGCCCGAGTACTCGGTATGCCAGCTCTGCCCGCCGTTGCAGGCAGGCACGCTACTCATCCGCAACAGCTCATCGGACGCCAGCGGCTGCGAGGGCTGCGAGTGCTCCGACTGGTCGTAGCGGGCGCGCTCGCTCTCGCAGTACGCGCAGCGGCTTTCCTCGTAGACGTCGCAGAGGTGCTCGAAGCGCGGGTACAGGGACCCGGCCTGGGGCCGCTGGTGCAGGTCCTCGCTCATCATGGTCTCGATGTGCGGCAGCGCGGCGAGCACGGCGTCAATGGACCTGCCGCGGCCGGGCTCGCGCGCCCGCAGCATCTCGGCCTCGCGCGCCAGCACCCCGAGGTAGGCCGGCAGGCCGTCCAGCGCGTCCGAGTACTTGAATTCGACGCCCTCGCCCTCGGCCAGGCTCGCCCGGAGGCACCTCTCCGGGTAGACCGGGCGGTTGCCGAGCAGGACGGTGGCCATCTCCAGGTAGACGCAGCCTAGCGAGAAGACGTCGGAGCGCCGGTCGCGCTTCCCGTCCTCTTGGTTTGCCTCGGGCGGCGCGTACTTGACCGTCTTGGCGGTGTGGCCCGTCGACGTGCCCACGCCCTGGACGCTTATGCCGAAGTCGGTTAGGATCGGGTTCCCCCAGTCGTCGATGACGACGTTCTCGGGCTTGATATCCTTGTGCCGTATCTTGACCTTGGAGCCGTGGAGGTAGGTGACGGCCTGGGCCAGGCAGCCGAAGAAGCAGTGCATGCGCACCAGCTTCCAATCGTTCCAGCGGTGATCCGAGTCGCGAAATATGTCCGCCATGAAAGTGCGTAGGTTGTGTGAGGCCGGAGGGTACATGGCGATGCAGAGGTTGTGGTCGGAGATGACGGGCCGTGTAAAGTGTCTCTGCCGCCCATTCTTGGTGAAGCGGACCTGCTTCCTGTTCTCCATGCAATAGTCTTCGAACGAGGCGACGTAGACGACGATGTGCGGGTGCCGCACCCCCTTCATGTTGTGGACCTCCCTCAAGGCGTTTGCCCTCGCCGGGTTCGCGGGGCCGAGAGGATTCGACCCATCGCTGCAGGGGATAACCTTGAGGGCCAGGGGCCGCCTGTACAACGAGCTGTGGACGACCTTGTAGACGACCGTGCCGCCGGACTCGCCCAGCTTTCGCTTCTTGGTGAGGGGTGCAGGAGGGGCGAGGAACTCCTTGTTATTGTGGGCGAAGACCTTGTGCTTCGAGAGGTCGAGACCCGCTTCGTAGACCGGGTCCAGCCACTTGGGATCACTCTCCCAACAGTCGTCATCCCATTTGAAGCGTTCGTCGTCACGTTCGTCGAGGAAGTGGCCCATCTCGATCATTCGACTGCTGACCGTGGAGTTGCTCTGCTGGCTTGCGTACTGGCTCTCGCCGTTATAGTCGGCATCGTCAACGTCGCCCAACTCCTCCTCAAGTGACATCACGGAGGGTCGGCGGGGGTTTGTAGGCTCTCGGGTTGGGCTATCAAGTAAGTAGTTTTGGTGATCCAGCGTGTGACAAACATCCCAGTTCTAGATCTGGAAACTAGGGCCATATGCACTTTAGTCTATACGAAGACTTGCACATGCCGGAACGGTATGAGAGCAGGGAGAGTCAGAAAGAGAAGTTACGTCCGTGACACAGGAGTACGTCAAGAGTACCAAAGAGAGAGGAGAGGAGAGAACAGAGCGTAGAGAATGGCCTGCTGCCGGAGAGAGGACAATTGAGGCACACCGATTAAAGGCCCAGAGGAGGCTGAGCTGCGTGTGTACCCATGCCCCATGGCGCCTCGACAGGGGGTCGGGCGCCTGTGCCCTCGTTTGGCGCGCAGCCTTGTGGGCAAAATGAAAACGGAGGCATCCATGTCGTTGCGCAGGGCGATCAGTTCTGAGGAGCAGGACACCGAAGGGCGGGAACGAAATGGGAATTTCGGATACCGGGTCCCTTCAAGTCTGAGTACCCGACATACCACCTTCCTACTTACTACAGAATACCTGTAAAGCTGCTCTGAGGCGGCTCTAATATTGTCGAAAAGGATGCGGGAACGGGCCGAAGACTTCCAAGTGCTTGGTCCGGCATCGATGGCCAGTGGTGTGGGTCCCCCCCTTTCCTGCATCGCTGCCTTACCGACATTGCACCCTTGCCACCTCAGCCCCGAAATATGGTGTCACGTGGGAGTTATAGGGCGCTAACCATCATCTGACAGGTGCTTAACGGTAGGTAGTGGAAGTAGAATGGAAACGTCGATATATAGGTGTGTCTAGGGCTTGGACTGTTGACCGTTACATTGGCCATCATTGCTATTTACAGAGCTTGGCCAGGATGCATTAATTACAGAAACTTTTCTCAATAACAAAATTCAATGCTGAGCAACGCCATTCTCGTCTCATGGTATAGTCATGACAATTCCATCCACCAGCCAGTTCTCCCAGAGCCCTGACTAAGGTCATAGACCACCAAGAGCTAGTAACAGCCACAGGTCAGCAACGGAGCCAGAAGGGGGGATAGGAAGGAAAGAATGGAGCTGGCATAGAGCTGGCATAGAGAAAGAGAACTCACCAGCCGAGTAGGCAAGATACCAGGTCAGGCTCGCGCCTCCGTCCAGCCAGCTGGAGTCGAACTTGGGCGAACTGAAGAACTGGTACGCGGCCTTTGGGTCCGCGGTGGCGTAGTTACCATAGAGAATCCCCCGCCAGCCACCGGCGACCTGGTCGGCCCGCCCGTTGCTGAACAGCGCCGCCCACTCCTCCTTGACGAACTTGGCGCTACGGGTCAGGGGGCTGCTGGGCAGCAGGGGGAGCATGTGGATCCCCTGGATGTACTCGATGTTGGTGCCGAAGTAGGTTGTGTGGTCGATCTTGTTCTCGAACAGGATCCCGGCCACCTTGTTTCCGATGAACTGGCTGGGCTGGATGGTGTTGTCGCTCGTGTAAAGGTAGTAGCTCGGGAGGGAGCGGGCTAGAACGGCTAGCTGGAGATTGCTCCTGTGATAGGCGTCGTGTAAGCTCACTGCCCAGACGGTGGCAACGTGGTAGCACGAGAAGTAAATACCTTGCTAGCATGTTCTGGTCGCCGATGGCGGTACCCCACATCTTGATGGCATACACGTGCATGACATCCTCCGAGCTGGATTCCTGATCTTTGCCGTCAAACACCTCGTACAGGCCATGGGCCCAGCTGTGACCATGATACCAGTCAAAGTTGCGCCACTGGGGGAAGAACTTGTCCTTCGTGCTGGGGTTGGCAACGTCACGAACCAGCGTGTTGACGTAGTCCTTGTTGGCAGCGATCCAGGAGGGATCGAGATGGGCGATCACGGCGGCGCAATATATGAAATAGCCGTAATGGAAATGGTGGTCGTTGTAGTATGTGTTCCCAAAATCGGAGCCCGAGTCGCCTGTCACGTAGCTGGCCGAGGACACGACGCCTCCCCAGGCCTGCTCGTACACCAAAGGGTACTGCTGCTTGTTCTGCGCAAAACGCGCAAAGGCAGCCTTCAACTTGGTCAGGCCGGTCTGGGCCAGGGCCTTGTCTCCCAGAAGATCATTAATGGTCAGGATAATCGTGGCAAATTTGGCCAGTGCCTATAAGCAGGTCAGTAGCAGATCCCAGATCCTGCCTCTGCAGCAGGAAGGAATTACACGTTACCTTGCCGCCAAAGTACATGGACGCCTGATTCGTCTGCTGGTCCATGTTCTGCGAGACTTCTTGCAACGCGACCTTGTGGATGGAGTCCTTAGTGGCTTTGCTAATTGTCGTCATACTCCCTGACGTCGGCGACCAAGGGGCGAAGCCCATGCCCGTGGGGAGGGCCGACTCGACCATTTTCCAAGAATCACCGAGAACGAGAACTGCAACTCCCTTGGTCGTGGTCTGGAGTTTGACTTGGGTCATGGCTCCCTTGGTTGCGGCATCGAAAGATGCTTGATGGTGAGGCAATGCAAACATGGCAAGCTTCGCTGTGGCCATGCCCGCTCTCAGGAACTTGAATGTGTAAGTCCCGGTCGTGCCGCTCGCAGTCCCGGATAGCTCAACGCCGGTGGCATAGGCACCGGAGGCTTGGTCGTACACCGCCTCGGCGTTTCCGGGGTCCTTGGCAACTTGGATGATGCCGTAGAATGGTCCCTTCGCCCGGGCCAAGCCGTTGTTGATGACCTGGAGATCCAGAGGGTTGCCTTTTGTGTGGTAGGCGTAAAGGACCCAGGTGTTTCCATCCTCCAGGTTAAGCTTGTATTTCACGACGCCCGGTTTAGGTCCCGTGCCTGAATGGACAATTGACTTGAAGAATACACCCGATTGAATGAGCGGCTGGGCTCCATTGAAGGTCGCAGTGACAAAGCCCGCTCCCTGCACCAGAGGGAACTGGACGGCAGGCGCAGCCTGGGCGTTTGGGCGTAGGCTGACCCTGACCGAGAAGGCGGACAGCTGGTCGGTGGTCAAGGTCGTGGCCGATCCCAGCTCCTGTGCCGATATGCAGACGGACTGAATACCGATGGGGTTGATAAAGTACGAGGCAGCCCCAGTCACCTTACTGGTGGGACCAAAAACCCGCTGCTTCGCGTCAACGTGGGAGATGGTCAGACCCCAACTTGCAGCCACCCCTTGCCCCTTTGCCCAGGCGACCGAGTAGGGATGGACAAAGGACGGGCAAGTCTGGCCTCCTAGGAATTTGTTTGCGTAGAACTTGTTTGTCGAGATCGGAGGTGTCCATGCAATTCCCAGCCGAGGGACTGGGTGGTCCTGCCTCCTCGCCATACTAGCGGGCGGTGCTCCAGTGGCGATGGCATCCGCGAAGATGTCGGGAGCCGCCATGTTGACTTTGACGGCAAATTCGGCAACGGGTGCCGTCGCAGTGGCTGAAAGCAGGGAGGTTGGTTTCGGGATGGAGCTAGTCAAGAGGGGAGGCTCAGTGGCACGCCCTTCTCTTTCAAGGCTCGTGTGGATAGTTCCTGTGGTGCACGGCGTCCTGTCGCTTGGGCTGGGCAATATCTGTGCTGTCCCTGACGGAAGAACGCTTGTGATCACTTGGACGGTCACTGATGCGTTCTCAGCGAGGGGGTTCTCGGCATCGAGTCTCCTCTGGTGGATAGAATGGACAAATTCTAGAGCCTCGTTCTGTGGTTCAGTCAACCCCTGGGCTTCCGGAGCTTGGTGATGGCCGACACGCTGGAATAAGTGTCTGTGTAGGTGGTTTTTGACGGTGGCCTGACAAGTCCCGGCCTGCAGGACAGTCAGTATCAGAACAGTTAACATCATGCTGACGATGACAACGATGAATGATAATAATGGATGACAACGATGAATGTCTAGTATATAGGATGAGACGTCTTCAAGGGCTCTGATAGACCAGTCCAAACAAAACACCACTTGGAGTTCCTCTACCTTCATCAACTTGAGTACGCCGCCGCCCTGGGGCGGCTTCATTATAGAGGATATTCTTTGGGCAGGGAAGGAAGAGTGGAGAGTCGAGACTTCGACTCCTGCGACACTGGCAGGCATGATCTGTCTCTGGGAGAGGGCCAGCTCTTCGTTGGAAGATGCCACGCGAAGGCGCATGAAGGGTGAATATTGAGTTCCGTCGCCGGTATGGAATAGATTCCTTACCTCTTGGAATGCGGTCAGGGTCCCGGGTGAGGCTACCGGTGGAGTGGATAGAGGTGAAAAGGTCTAGAACTGGCAATGGAGATGGGACTGAGGCTCCCCACCCTATTATTACATTTGAGCTAGCGAGGAATAGGAAGTCGCAGGATGCTCGAGGAAGGCAGGCACAGGCAAGGCTGAGGGTTCTGAGGATGTCATGTCTCACTCCAAGACCAATCCCGTGATCCCTGGTGATGCTGAAAGAATAGCGAGTGGTGGCAAGGGCAGGTTCATCATTTACACGTATTGGGGCTGGGCCGACCAGCTCTGGTCAATCAGGGTGCAGTTGCGTGGAGAGGCGTCGAAGTTGGTCTCAGAGGAGAGACAGGCCGCGTCGGTTCATACCAATCATTTCCAGAAGTGCCAGGGATAAGAAGGTGGACCTGCGCTACGAGTGGATCTGCGAAGTAACCAAGATTCCGGATTTTTGGTGGAGGGATAAGAGAAGCTGACATGAGCACGCTGACGATGCCCTTGCCGAGCACCGAGACATGGCTGTGGCGGACAAGCTTCCATGTTTTAGACAGGAGAACGTGACAACAGCCCAACCTCCCACCACTTCTAGATCATAAATGGAACTTGATCTAGGTACTCTTTTGTGGATGAATTGACTGCCGGGAGGCTCTGGCCCAAAAAGGAGATCTCGGCAATTCGTGAGATGTTGTTCCTCAAGTCGGTGACACAGCAACCTGCACCTTACCCAAGGATACAATCACTTCACCAACCTTCCATTTCCCCCCTGAGCGCCATTCCAACGTGGTGGAGTAAGGAATGGAACCTTGAATAGTCAATAGTCTAGATCAGATGCCCAGGGCGCCGTATTTGCCTTCCACCCGAATAATCTTGGGGCCTCGCCTTGCCCTCTTCTCCAGCCCCGTAGTTTTGGACCTGCGGGAAGAATCATCATCATCGCACTTGATGGTGCCGTTTCCTGCTGGTCCCCTACTCGACCTCTCGGCCTCGGCAGCTCTGCGCCTCCTCCGCTTCCTGCCCTCCACTTCATCCTGCCCTTCAGCCTCCTTTCGGCAGCGCCGAACCTCCCGCTTGTCCAGAGCCCAGGGCGTGTTCAGGACGTCCATGCGGAACTGTGTGAGCTTGTTCCAGAATCGCATTTCCTGCTCCGTAGACCGAAGATGAATGATCTTCTCCACCCGGACTTGTTTGGCGTTCCTGAAAAGCCTGATGCTGCCTCTGGCGTCTAGAATGTCTCCAACGTCGATGTCGGCATCGATATCAGGCTTTGTAGTCGCTGCCGAGGTAGAGGCCGAGGCCGAGGCTGCTGTAGCCTTCGCGTCTTTCTGTCGTGCCAGCGCTGGGGGCCCTGGAGTGTTTAGCTGAGTAATGTTTACAACACATTCGATGGTCGCGCCGCTGCTGTCATCCACCGTGTATATGCGTCGGGCCGCATATTCGTCGATGGCGACGACTATCCCCACGATTCGGACCCATTTGATCGGGTGGTTGTCGTGGAAGTACAGATCCTGACCTGTTGATTGGGTCTTTTGTCAGTCACTCTCGCGCGCGCTACCGCAGGGTGTCGTCGCAAACCTTCAAAGCCGGGGTGCTTCTCCAGAGCCTGGATATCGGCTGCTCTGAGGGGACACCACCGATTGATGGTCGGGGATAGATGAAAACAGTACTGCGGATAGATATTGTTTGGGATATTGTTTGGTGGTGGTTGAGCTCCTGTCATGGCATGATAGGCTACCGTGTGAGTAGCGGGTATACTTCAACCTCCGTGTGGGATGCAATCATTGCCATCTCACTCTGCTCAATGCGAATTGATGTTGTGTTCCAAGAAAAGGGACGATTGGACGCGTCGCGTCATTTCCCTCTTCCAAAGTTTTTAGCTGACACCCAGGGAGCATTCTGCCCCGCATTCAAACCCCTCAGCGTTGACCTGGTGATCTTCCGGGCTTATCTCAGGGGCCAAACAGTTAATCGAAACTCTGAACAACCTATTGAGCTGCTTTCCCAATCGATACACCAACTACGTAGTAAATCAAGATGCTAAGTCGATGTCTTAGCATATCCCAATTGCTACACAGGTTCAAGTCCCAGTTCCCACCTCCTCAATGCAATATCGCGATGGAACAAACGCCTGCTAAAGCAGTCAATCTTGGCCTATTCCTGTCTATCCCTTCGCGCCTTGTACGCCAACGGAAAGCCCATTTGGGTTCATCGCCTCGTTTTCTTTGAGTCGCTCGGCTTGCTCTCCGTCGATCTCTTCTTGAGTCGAGTCGCGGCAGCCTGGAAAGCCTCTTCCGAAGGCTCATCCTCCTCCACCGCCCTCTTCTTGGCCCCTTTACCTTTGGCTTTGGGAGTTGCCCCGTACTTCTCTGCCAGGTTGTCCAAGAAGTTGCCTCGATCCTGCTGATTCCGTCGGATCAGAGCCGCGAGGTCTGCCTCCGAGTCCTTCTTACCCTTCTTGTTCCCGAACAGCTTATCGTGCACGCCTATCTCCTTCGCATACTCCTCCGCCTCTTTACCTTCCCGCTGGGCAGCCTTTACCCTGGCCTCCCTCGATTTCTTGCTCTCCCGGGCGTATGCCGGAAAGCTAGGCACATCGCCGCTAGCAATGGCCTCGTCGATAATCTTGCGGAACCGCTCGTCATCCTCCAAGACGTCGCTAAGCATCACGGTCGAGTAAACTTTGTCCATGTTGCCCTTGCACTTCTCGTACGCCATCAGGATGTCGTCCTTCTCCTCATCAGAACCCTTGTACTTCTGGGCGAATTTCTTGATGGTGTCGCTGGAAATTGCGTCGCGATACTGCTCACGGTAGAAGTCTGACCAGCTGAAGCCGTCCGAGTCCACGATGGACTCGGAGGTAGAGCCGGTCTCGTCATACCGCTTGCGCCGGGCTGGGTCGGAGAGAACTGCGTATGCGAAAGCGATGGACTGGAACTTCTCGTGTGCTTCTGTTTTCCGATCCTCTGGGACCTTGTCTGCATTGGGCTGGTTAGCATGGCTGGCTTTACAGCAACACGGCAGGCATGCTTGGCTACCTGGATGGTTCTTCAGTGCAGCCTTCCTGTAGGCCGACTTTACTTGGTCGGCGGTAGCTGAACGTTCGAGACCCAGTACCTCATAAGGGTCAATTATAGGCGGCTCGCCTTCCGCAAGGTCTTCAAAAGAGTCCATGTCGACTTGAGGAAGCGATGGTAGTATGTTGATTTGGAAGTCCCAAAATGGTGGGGACGCGCTCGACGCGTTAAGTGATGTATCCCTGTTGAGGGTGGCCGGACAGGTGGCGCCAGTTGGCAGCTAGCGTAGGTACTTTTGGACTCGGGAGAAATTTGGCCGAAATTTAACATGCGCCGCCTCAATCCACAGGGGAACCGAAATAAACATCAAGCCAAAAGACCGCGATCAGTTTCGAGGTCACGATTTACTACCTGAAGGGATTTCCAACCTCTCCTGCTGGTCAAGAAGCCATGCGTTGGCTTCCGCAATGCCGCCGTCAATATGGTCAAAATGCCATGCCAAAAGGCTATCAAGTGCGCCTCACCATGGCTTAACCCCCTAATTTGGTACTGATGTTACGAGGCAGTCAGTCTCAAAGTACCCGCTTGATTGCTTCGAATTTTGGAAATGTTTATATGGATAGCTGGCTGACGCTTCGCTTGCTATATCATCCTGAGTCATCGTAATACACCATAACTGCATCAATCCAACGCCACAGCCGCCCATCTGCCACAAATCGCGAATTCATCTCGGCTACGAGAGTCACCTTGTGCGCTAACGCGAGTCTCTTAGCACCAACTGCATCGAAGTACTCCTTCTCCTGCCACCGGACCTCGCTTTTAGGCTCATCGTCAGCTGCTAGCTCGTCGGCTAGCTCGAGCGCCTCCTGGGTCGTGGCCCGTGTTGCCAATATAGCTGGAAGGCTATGGCGTCGTCTCCGTCATATCTGGGAGTTGCAGGTCCCCAGGCAAGTGCACAGAGCGCCTCCAGGTAGTGATAGTCTTGTAAAGCATCCAGGTTCACCAGGCGCATAAAACGTGAGACCATCTCGCCGACCCTCCAGTAGTCGGACTCGATTACACATCCACCGATCTTCCTATTCTTAGTTTCGAAGCCGGAGCGGAAAGGCGCTTATCAGGGACGATTCCAACACCAAGTCCCTAGGATGCGGCAGACCCGGAGTGGAGAGCAGGTGGGCGGGCGGAACAGTAGAGGAGAACGCCTAGTCGATGACACATGTGATGTTCAAGTCATTGTCAACGAAGAGGTTCTGGAGGCTGATGTCGTGGCGGTAGAGGGGAAAGCCGGGAGCCGACTGACTGACAGGACGGATCATGCAGGGGATGATGGAGTCCCGGAGGAGATGGCTCGCGAGGCTATACTGCAATCGATTCTTGCTCGAGTCCACCGTTCCTCCAAGGGTCGCAAAGTCATTTCAGCGATCTGTAGCGGCATAGTACTTGGCGAAGTTTGGGTATTCTTGCGGGACGGGAATAGGCGCACGGAGGACATGGTGTCCCATTGGCAGCTGCTCGGCATGTAGCAGAAGGGCTACGGCGAGGGAGGAGTAATAGTCTGGTTCGTGATGAAATGGACGCCGCGGGAGATCCTCAATCGTTTCCCGGTCTTGTAGAACGTGCCCGGGGGAAAGACATTCGCCGATGCAATAACCCTCGTCCCTTTCGAAGAGCAATTCGATGGTGGGAAAACGGAGGCTAAATAACTGGCGAGCGTAGCATCCAAGCTGTCGCATAATCTTCCCCTTTTCTTCCTCTGTCAAAACTCGTGCCGGCGTCGCAGGACTGTTCAGCCCAGAGAGTTCATGGCTCTATGTTCGCCAGTCGTACGTTGCAAGGGGATGGCCAGCAGCTTTGCTCATTAGGATATATGGAATTCCGATATCATTTTCGTAGGAGGGGCTTACAGCTGTTAGCTCAAGAGACATGACCTAGCCTTAACGCCTCGGAAGATACCTGTAATGGAAAACCTCTGGTACAGGAATAGAGGTGTGCTCTCGGATGTATTTGAGGGTAGCGGCCTCGCTAGCCAGGAGACGCCCAGTGACGCCTTGGGCGGCAGTGTATGTAGAGCAGGGAGCCCGAAAAACCCACTCAACGCCATCATCGAACTCAAGAAATATCGTCCAGTTTAAAGCTTGCTTTGGGGGTTTGAGAGTCGTTACAGGTACACGGTTGATGTCGCAGCCGTTCCGCTAACCTGAGAAGTGGCGTGAGGTTGAAGGAGGCGTGGAAGAAGATGTTCCTCTTTTGGCGCTTAGCAGGCATAGAGATGCCTGGCATTTCAGATAAGCTGCGTCTCGAGTAGAGCCAGTTCTTTACCAGTTCTGGGAGAAACTGACTAACATATGGAGAGTTAGTCAATCATCCAGCCATCGGGATAAGAAAAGGGCTGCGAGTCGCGGACTGCAAGCCCGGCAACATGCGCAATATGCAGCTATACCCTCATTTTCATGGCAACTCGTATAGAATTCAAGGACGTATTATTTATTCTGTTCGACATGCCTCCCCGACGACCACCACAACCATCAACTCCCGGAGATCTTCCTTCTATCCCTGCCGGCGCATTCAAAAAGGAGTACTATCCATCACCCGATAAGTGAAGTTGTACGTATGAACTGGCAAGCGAGTTGGGGTCGAGGGAAGAAAGCGGTACGGAGGTCGCTACTGGCAGAACAAATCCAGTAACTTATAGAAGGCTTAGGCGCTATGTCCACTAGCACCGATCAAAATTGGTAGGGACCCCTCCTTACCTAGGTACCTACCTAGGTATATAGGTAGAAGTCCCTCCAAAGGCGGTGAAGGACCTGTATGGGCAAGGCGCCATGCCGAAAATTGAAGTGCTGCTAAACAACCTGCGGCGGGTTTCCCCCTAATGATATTATGCCTCCAACCTCATCCATACGTACCTATCTTGCTCCAAAGCTACACCTTTAACGGGTTCCAATAGTTCTTACTTTTGTCTTTTCAATTGACTCAGCCCACCACACGAGAGATCTTATCTGTACCTGAAGATGAAATCTGAACCTGGAGATCACAAAGCTTTGATACTAGAAGCCTTGGAATTGGCGAGGAAATCCCCCCCAAAGCCAACAAACTTCAGGGTTGGGGCTATCCTCTTAGACTCCTCTTCCAATGAGATACTTGCAACGGGATATACACTGGAGTTGCCGGGTAACACCCACGCCGAGCAATGCTGCTTCATGAAGCTGGCAGAGAAACACGGGGTGGCGGAGGAGAGGCTATCCGAAGTCCTTCCTTCTTCCTTGGCGTTGTACACCACCATGGAGCCCTGCTCGGAGCGACTGAGTGGAAATCTGCCATGTGTCGAGAGAGTCCTTCGCCTCGCAGGACGGATAAGGACAGTCTATGTCGGCGTGACCGAGCCGGAGAAGTTCGTCAGTAACACTGGCAGGAAAACTTTGCAGGATGCCGGGATAGACGTTGTTCATATTCATGGACTTGAGAAGGAGATCATGGAGGTTGCGACAGCTGGCCATGCCAAGGGCTAAACGCAGGTTGGGGGCGATGCCTTCTCCAATTCGCGGCAAATCAGTTCAGAGCGGAGGTGTCAAGTAAGAAGCATCTCCCTAAAGCAAGTGATGCGATATAAATGCCAAGACGCTGATGTAAATATTCTAGCCATCTATACTCCATAAAGGGATAATGATAATATACACTATACAGGATGCCATCGTTGCCCTGCGGACCGACCAACGCCGGATCGGACCCCCTGATGCCTCTTCAGATCTAAGTACCATTATTCAAACAACTAGGACGCCATTATCGCCCCGTTGAGGTCCAAAATGATGGACTTCACCTGCCATTTTATTTTGCGGCGACAGTCTCCAAACTCGGCGACGCCAGGCTCAAATCTTGACGCCTTCAAGAATCGGCTTGGCCTCTTCGCTTTTCCACCAACCCCCTTCGCTGCCGGGGAAGCTGAACTTCTCCATGCTGTCCGCCTTCATCTCCACGCTGTAGCCGGGTTCGGTAGGCGTCTGGTAGTAGCCGTCCTTGATGACTGACGGGTGCAGGAAGTGCTCGTGCAGGTGGTCGACATACTCGAGGACGGACAGCTTCCCGCTGACGACGACGTAGTCGATCGTGCTGAGGTGCTGGGTGTACTCGGGCAGCCCAACACCGCCCGAGTGCGGCACGATGGGGATGTTGTACTTCTTCGCCATCAGGAGCACGGCCAACACTTCGTTGACGCCCCCCATGCGGCAGGCGTCGATCTGGCAGACGTCGATGGCGCCGGCCATGAGAAGCTGCTTGAAAATAACCCGGTTCTGGCACATCTCGCCGGTAGCGACGCCGATGCCGTAGGGCTGGAGGGCGTCGCGAACCGCCTTGTGGCCAAGAATGTCGTCAGGCGAGGTGGGCTCCTCGATGAACCAGGGCTTGAAGTCGGCCAGCTTCTTCATGTACTCAATCGCCTCGGGGACCGACCAGACCTGGTTAGCATCCACCATGAGGACATTCCCATTGTCATAGCCGATGACATCTCTCGCAATCGTCAGCCTCCGCCGGTCCTGCTCGACACTGCTCCCGACCTTGAGCTTGAAGTGCTTGTACCCCTTGCTGAGGGTCTCCTGCAGCAGCGCCTTCATCTTATCCTCGCCATAGCCAAGCCAGCCTGCGCTGGTCGTGTACGCCGGCACGGCCCGGCTGTTCTCCGCATCACGGATGCGCTGTGCCTTGCCCCCCTCCGACTCCTTGAGCATGGCGACCGCTTCCTCGGGCGTGATCGCGTCGGTGATGTAGCGGAAGTCGATGCAGTCGACAAACTGCTCCGGGGTCATCTCGGCGACGATCCGCCACACGGGCTTGCCGAGCACTTTGGCCCAGAGGTCCCAGATGGCGTTGACGACGGCGCCGAGGGCGAGGTGGATGACGCCCTTCTCCGGACCGATCCAGCGCAACTGGCTGTCGTTGACGAGGTGGCGCCATGTCTTTCCCCAGTTGGCGGTCAGGGACGACAAGGTCCTCCCCTTAATGCGCTCGGCGACGTGTTCTATTGCCGCACAGACGATGTCGTTTCCGCGACCAATTGTGAATGTCTGAACGAAGCAGAGGGTGTTAGTCTCCGCCTAGTCCAACGAGGGGCGCAACGAGGGGCGCAACGAAGGCCCGCCATGGGGAGACATACCATTCCATGGCCGTTATGCTTCGAGTCCGTTTGGAGAATGCAGTACGCGGCAGAGTAGTCGCCAGCTGCATTCATGGCATCTGAGCCAGTCTTGTCAAGGGAGGTTGGAAAGCGCACATCTCGTGTGGTCCAGCCGGTGATGGTGATCTCTGCCATGATGCTGAATTCTTGAGTCTGGCTGTAAAATCACAAAATGAAAAATAAGTAAAGCGAGACACACACGGTATCCAAATGAGGGAAGAAAATATTCTAAAGGAGGAAGACCACAAGGGTAATATACATGAGAACTACTGCCTGGACAGCATCTCGTCAATGTAAATGCTGGGCAGCAGGAATGAGGGGTATCCCACAGTGGGGTGATTTTTGAAGACGGGGAACCCTTGAAGTCGCTGTTATTCCTGGCTGTTGATTGGTGGATAAACCATCCCGACCGCTGGGACCACTGATCAAGTACCTTTGAAATTTCCCGTCGGGACATCAGCTGCTGCCCGGCTTCGGCGCCCACAAGCTAGCGTGGCTAGGTAGTTGTCTCCATCTCTTGAGTCTCGACCGCTTGGTCGGCCGACGGATTGATAACCCCAACGAGAACGTCACGCACTTGTGGACTGGTGGCTGCATTGGCGACGAAAATGTATCGAGTATAGGGCCGACAAATGGATGCTTTGAAATAGGGAAATGGGTGAGTTGAGCAGTTGGAAGTCGCAGTCGTTTGTGTTGGATAGGTACATCAAGAACCGCCAATCTCCGCACTTCTTTCCGCACCTATGCAGCCTTCAGAGATTGCATGGCAGCTGTCAGGAAACATAGCCAGCCCGGGAAGTCGATGAATATAGAACGAAGAGCGTGAAGCCTCAACCACCTCTGCAAATGCTTCCAAATATCCCCCTTGTTTTCGCCCTTGATCATGGCCGAAATGGCCTTCGACACCGCAGGCACGAATAAGAAGTGTGCTGCCGTAAAGACCGCCCCAATTCCATACCAGCGCGATGTTCCAGCCGCGGCGTAGGTATTGGCGATTGCAGCTCCGCCGGAGAGACCGTAGAGTGAGAATATGCACCCCAGTCCCGGCGCGAGAAATGACTTCCAGTAACTAGGCAGGATATCGTTCCCCTTGGCACGGTTGGTCGGGATGATGAAGTTGTTGTAGAACATGTGTTGGTCCACGCAGTACCAGAGCGAGAATGATGATGTAACGAGCGGGGCGACTCTCAGGAGCACCAAGGGGTCGAAGACTTGGCCAGATGCCATCGTGGGCCAGCTTGCGAAGTTGTCCAGACACGATGATAGTGGTGGTCAACAGCAGGTTTGAAGATGGGTCAACAGCAGGTTTGAAGATGGGTCAAGGAGCGAGAGATCTGCCAAGTACCTCAACAATAGCTCTGTACGAAGGTAAGTTAGTACTGCGAAGGGGAATTTACGATAAGACTCTGGAAAAAAAGTCAGGAGAACTTTCACTTCCTATGGATCTGAGCATTGCGATCCTTCCGACTCGTCTTGTATTTTCCCGGCCAGTCATTACAAATGTGTCTGTGCAGATTTGATAGGGCTGGGGAAACAATAGCCGAAGGTACCCGTAAGTGCTCGCTCGTGCGGATGCCGAGGAGGTTCCGAACATAAATCGCTGAGAGATGATTGGTGACGAAACGTCATAGAGAAAACCTTCTTTCGCTTCCCATCGAGCAACGTGAAAGGCCGACCTTCAGTCTTCGGACTCCCCCCCAGCTCCGTGTGACCTCCGGAAACTATAGGATCGCAGGGGATGTTGTTGCTATAGTTGTTGCATCAAGATGTCTGCCCCAACACGGCTAACAACGTGCATTGGTCGACGGGCAGCCTCCTCGGCAGGAAACGCAAACCTCCGCGCCCGACCTCTCCAAAGCATATCCAGTGCCTCCCTGCGTGCGCTGCACAGCTGCCGGCCTAGGCGACCGGCATCCTGCAGTCCGCGTGTCCCAATTGCCGCACAATCTCGATTCTTCGCCTCCACCACCCGCCGTCCCTTAGCCGAGGTCAATGACTCCTTCGACCCCAACTCCATTGAACGGGAGAGCGACGAAGTAGATGTCTGCATTGTCGGCGGTGGCCCGGCGGGTCTAGCAGCCGCTATCCGCCTGAAGAAACTTGCCAACGAGGCCGGCAACGACGAGTTCCGGGTGCTGCTGCTCGAGAAATCCGGCGAGCTGGGCGCGCACATCCTCTCCGGCGCCGTGATTCAGCCGACCGCGATCGAGGAGCTGATACCCGACTGGCTGTCGGAAGACAATGCGAGCCGCTTCGAGGGCGCGACCCCGGCCGGCGAGGATCGGATGCGCTTCCTCACCAAGGGGAGCGCGATCCCCCTCCCCGCTCCGCCGCAGATGCACAACCACGGCAACTATATTGTTAGCCTGAGCGAGTTCACAAAATGGCTTGGGGAGCGGGCTGAGGAGGTTGGCGTGGAAGTGTATCCTGGTTTTGCGGCGAGCGAGGTGCTCTACAAGTCGGACGGCAGCGTCTTGGGTGTCGCGACGAACGACCTTGGCATGGCGAGGAGTGGGAAGCCCAAGGATACATTCGAGCGAGGCATGGAGTTTCATGCAAGAGTGACGCTGTTTGGCGAGGGCTGTCATGGTAGCCTGAGCAAGCAGGTCATCAAGAAGTTCGACTTGAGAAGCGACAGCCAACCGCAGACATACGGACTTGGGCTCAAGGAGGTCTGGGAGGTGCAACCTGAGAAGTTCCAAAAGGGAGAGATTGTCCACTCCATGGGATACCCCCTCCCCTTTGACACGTACGGTGGCGGTTGGATGTACCACTTTGGCGACAACCTCGTCAGCGTTGGGCTCGTCGTTGCCCTGGATTACTCGAACCCCTGGCTCTCCCCCTACGGCGAATTCCAGAAACTTAAGCAACACCCCCTTTACAAGAGTGTTCTTGAGGGTGGGAAATGCATATCTTATGGCGCGAGGGCCCTTGTTGAAGGGGGCTTCCAGTCGATCCCAAAGGTGGCTTTCCCCGGAGGTGCCTTGATCGGCGACTCGGCGGGCTTTGTCAACGTCCCCAAGATCAAAGGCAGCCACAACGCCATGAAGTCTGGCATGCTTGCGGCTGAGGCGGCTTGGGACGCATTAAAGGGCGGCGACAGTGGATCGGTATTCTTGTACGACTACGAGGACAGTCTACGGGAGTCATGGATTTGGAAAGAGCTGAAGGAAGTTCGCAACATGCGACCATCGTTCCATTCTCCCCTTGGACTCTACGGCGGCATCATGTACTCCGGCCTCGAGGCGTTTATTCTCAAGGGGAGGGTGCCATGGACGTTGAAACACAAAGTAGCCGACCATGCGGCGACGAAGCCTGCTGACAAGTGCAAGAAGATCGAGTACGAGAAGCCTGATGGCAAGATCTCGTTTGACATCTTGACGAGTGTTTCGCGGACTGGCACAAACCATGAGGAGGACCAACCTGTGCATCTACAGGTCAAGGACTGGGACAAGCATGCACAGGAGACATACCCCACGTTTAAGGGCGTCGAGAATCGGTTCTGCCCAGCTGGTGTCTACGAGTACGTCGAAGACGAATCCAAGCCAAACGGCGTGCGTTTCCAGATCAACGCGCAGAAGTAAGCCTGTCCCTTTCGCTGACGCAATCTGGTGCATCTATGCTAACTTCTCGGGCAGCTGCATTCACTGCAAGACATGCGATATCAAGGCTCCGAACCAAGATATCAATTGGCAAGTACCTCAAGGAGGCGAGGGACCCAAGTACTACATGACATAAGCCAGAAAGGGCCTCGCGCACTTGGTCTCGCTCTTGAGCTTTTTTGGATCATTTGTATATATTATGGAAGGCAGTGAGTGGGCAGGTGGATGGCGGAGTTTTAGAAAACCCTAAGGGGGCCATGGGAGGATGGCAAAGGACCACACGGGCCTTCTATATACTATAAAGACATATGACTTGTAGGAAGCGAAAACGCGTCGACGACGCGATGCCGTTGAGTCGACGCGCTCCTGGCTATCAAGTTCGTTTGCAACAGCCAATCAACACTTCAGATGAAAATCTTGCTAGTCACGAGGAAGGTCACGATACGACGTGATAAACCTTAGGCTCACACTACCTGGTACCTAACCTCAGGTAGGCAAGGTACCTAAACTTCCATCTGGGTGGCGTTACACAAATAATGAATCGCGCCGGTTATCCTACCGACTTTACTGTGGTGCATGTGAAAATTGTGTGCCATAACGAGTCCCATCGCTGACTCGGGCGGTCGTGGCCTGAAGAGACACCGCTCGCATTTTATGTGCATTCCGGCAACCCGAAACTTTAGAGCGACATGACAATGCTATTTGCTCTTGGGTTATTCATGCATAAGATGGTTGGGTTGGCTTGTAAATTTTGCGCAAATCTGTGAGTGTGAGTCATAGACGAGGCTGGGCTGAACTGAAACGCACAGGCCAGGGTGGATTGGCTGGGCATCTCCAGCCAGTGAAGTACCTGTACTTGCTACCCCCGGCAGACTTACGAGGCCTGGGAATCGGGCGGGAAGGGGGTTGGCCGGGTGAAAGTACCTCTGGATGTTTTACTCGAGCTTTCATGAATGAGCGAGCCAATCCGTCCTAACAGTGCCATTCCCTCCCTCGGACGTGAACGCCGTTGTATGCATCATACAGGACATGCCCAACGCACTCGCCCATTACTCCGTTACCTATATGTAGGTTAGGTCAGGTAGGAAACAATTACATCTGTACTTATGAAGTTGGTGGTTGCCGATAGGCTGCCTCAGGCGTGGAGACCAGGTAATGAATGCACTGGTGGCAGCAACTTGTCGCTGCCATAATGCATGAAGGACGGGGAATAGCACCCGGCGTTAAGCCATCAACAAATTGGGGGATGCCTGGGACAGCTCCGCTGGGTTTCGGTCCACGGATTACTGCATGCTGTGTGTGAACGAACGTCTGCCCGAGAGGAAATGCAAAAGAAAAGAGAAAAAAGGAACTTGCACTGCCTGAGTAAGTCGATGTTTGATTACCGACTCGACGGAGAATCCGAGAGCAAGTAAAAAGATGCGGCGGGCAGACTAGAACAGCTGGAGCTTTGGAAGCCTGGCTCAGCCTACCGACGTAGGCCAGTTGGTACACCAATACTCGTCGTTGACCAGCAATGAATGCACCAGCCGTTTCCAAGACTGGATAAGACGTGAGAGGGCAATGAGGAAAATTGACAGTAGACGCTGATATGATTCCAGCACGAGAAGAGTGCTTTCCTTGATGCAATCACGGAGCCATTTCAAGAAAGGAAGCAGAGAAGGAGGGCAAGAGCAGGAAAATAGGGGGAGACAAGCGTTTCAAGTCGAGATATGGGTGTGCCGGGTGGGTGAGATTACGAATGCGCGAGATGGGAACATTCGAAATGCAGCGACTTGAGTGGCTGCGTTGGACAGGGATGAAGTAAAATTTCTGTGTGGTAAGTACCGGTACTTGCGCTTAGTTTGCATAGTACACGGGCTGGGGGCAAACGGACCAGGCAGGAAGGGGGGCAAAAGTGAGAAAAGGGATATTTTCTGAGGGCTTTGGGCGATTTGATTGGCCCAAGCCAGACTTAAAACCACAAAGGCCAGAGCGACCCGCCGCCACATATTAGTGTCCATGCCTGAGGCCAACGGCACAGCAGCGCCCAAAATTATAAGAAGCCCACCTCTCCCTCCAACTCGGTTGTTTTAGAAAGCTTTGCGCGGAAGTCCCGATCCGGCCCTACGTAATTGATACATACGTTGGCCTTTTTTGATCTCCACTCTCAACCACCACACACCTCATCATCACCCTCACCGCCCACCGACGTCAGCCTCATCCGCCGCTGACGTATTTCCCTTCCCATAAAAAAGATCCTCTTGCGTTGTGTGTGCGCAACTCTCCTTTTAGATCTAATTAGGTCGAGTCTGCCAGGAGACGTCGCTTCTGGACAAAGGATCCTGCCGAATATTCATCGCGGCGACTTCCTTTGACGAGACCCGAGCCTTTTGTGGGCGGTCGACAGTTTAATCGTCGAGGATAATAAAAAAAGACTCTTTATTTCGCACAGGATTCGGTGCGCTATTGCTATTCAAGGCCCTGAAGAGACATTCCTTCTCCGTGAGAGCTGAAAAGGGACCATCGCGACGTGCCGAGGGTATCGCTGGTCCGGCCACTTTTTTTGTCACCGTCACCACTTCGGGATATCCAGAAGGAAGGTCACCGTCGGCAACCGACATCAATTACTCTGGTTGTGCGGTCGAAAGATCCCGGCCATAACCTTGATCCGCGAGCAGTCGCTGTAGGGGAGACATTCACTTGTTCATCTCCCACAACTTGGTAAGCCACATTGATTCACCAGCTGCCAGTTTTCTCTTCCCTCCGCAGCGCAAACATACTCACCTGGCTTGTGTGTTACCGCCCTCCCCTTCACTTCCCACCCACCTCTCACCTCTATAAATTTCTGCCCCGCGCCTACCCTACTTGCCCCCGATCACACTCTGTTTCGCGCGCCGCGCTCTCTCGAACAAACCACCGTCTTCGCCCGCGCCTCTCTCATCTCAAGGTCTAACGGGTCTTTGGTTTTCCAGATCTGCTCGAACGAAAATTTTTCTGGCGACGGTCCTCCCACGATTTCTTGGCCATCAAGATGGAGGCCATTCAGACCCACCCTTCCAATGCGGCACAGGCTAAGGCCTTCACTGCTCCCGGGTCCCTTTCGTTCCCCGGTGGTGCTGGCGAGCTCACGCCCCCTTCCACTGCCGGCGACAAAGGACCAGCAATGAATGGCGGTCACCAGCTAGGCTCTCAAGCCTCTAACGGCACTGGGGTGATTCCCGCGACTCCTGCTGCGACTCCTGCTGCCACGCAGGGAGGAAGTGGTCTGACACCTACTTTGCAGTGAGTATACACTAGCACTCGGGTGCTTCAAGAGGCTTGGGGCTGATCTCAAATGTTAAGGAACATCGTTGCCACCGTCAACTTGGATTGTCGCTTGGATCTGAAGACGATTGCCCTGCATGCGAGGAATGCTGAATACAATCCGAAGGTACTGCTGGCTATCTAAGATTCTATTCTTTGCCAGCTGTGGCTAACAAGCAAAGCGTTTCGCGGCCGTCATCATGCGCATTCGCGAGCCCAAGACAACTGCCCTCATCTTCGCCTCGGGCAAGATGGTCGTTACCGGTGCCAAGTCCGAAGACGATTCGAAGCTCGCTTCCCGCAAGTACGCGCGTATCATCCAGAAGCTCGGCTTCAACGCCAAGTTCACGGATTTCAAGATCCAGAATATTGTCGGATCTTGCGATATCAAGTTCCCCATCCGCCTCGAGGGACTGGCGTCCAAGCATCACAACTTCAGCTCCTACGAACCCGAGTTATTCCCTGGTCTCATCTACCGCATGATCAAGCCTAAGATTGTGCTTTTGATCTTTGTCAGCGGCAAGATCGTCCTCACTGGCGCCAAGGTGAGGGAGGAGATCTATCAAGCCTTCGAGATGATCTACCCCGTGCTGCAAGGTTTGTTACCCCTAGCCCGATCTTTTCTGTGTGTGACATGTTTGTTAACAACGTCCCAGACTTCCGGAAGATGTAAAACCCTTCTCAGGTCGTATCGCGGCAGCGAACCTCGCCACCCTCCTTCCGACGAAGTTCTTTTTCCGACCTGTATACTACCTTATTCACGATACCACGACTATCCCCAACAACACCACCAGCCTCACCAACCTCTCCCCCTAAAAAACTGTTATGGCATGAAACTTGGTCTCGAGGTGGGCCATCTGCCAAGTATTGTACCATGTTTGCTTTTTTTTTCTTTCTCTTTTTTCAACAGCATTGCAACGGCGTTCAGGACGGAAACTACAGGAGCCGGTTAAAATATCAGGTCTGGAAGCTTTGGAGGATCGGTTGGTTCTCCGCACATCAGAATAGATTGCGCATGACATTGCTCTGCGGCATGTGCACGGCGGATGGTGCGCAGGTCGAGTTCGCCGTCTTAATCTCTGCAGACCCACGAAGGAGGGGAGGGGCTTTGCATCAAAGGTAGAGAGAGGTGGATGGTTTTGGCATAAGAAGACTGCGACTGCCTCGACTCTTCGGGTCGATAGACAACGGCAGTCTTTCGCAGTGAGGAATCGATGCCTGGGGAACAAGAAACCAAAAAAAATGCGTCGACCCAGCTTAGGGTCACGATGGCATATCATCTATAGCTGCTGCTGGGATATCTCCTCGGGCTGTTTTCCTACCTCATGGTATGGGTTGGCTCAGGAGGTCCCTGCTTTTGTAGCTTTTTCTAAGAAATGTCATCCACATCATGCAAATCTATTGCCTTCTCTAGTGCCCAGTGCTCATACCTGACATAGCATGATCTGCCCGGGTTTCCTAATATCCACTCCAAGGCCGCACACGTATGTCAAGTAGCGTGGTCCGGTTTGCGCAACTCTTCCGCCAGAATCAGCCCGGGCTCGCCGCCTCGACTCCCGTCCTCTGTGGCCACCGGGTCCCAGACACTGCGCACTTGCGTGGTCCCCTTCCAAGCCCACTTCTCCCTGAACTCGGCTGGGCAGCGTCCTTCGATGCTATCGACGATCTTGTCTCCCAGGACAGGCATGAACTTGAACCCGTGGCCACTCCCGCCAGTCGCCACAAATAGGCCGTCGTAATGCGGGTGATACGAGATGATGAAATCGCCAGCAGCGGTGTCGGTGTACCAGCAGAGCCGCGTGCTGGAGAACGGGCGGTCGTGCAGGGCGGGCAGAGGGATCATCTCCCGCAGTGCCTGGCGGAGGGCAGCGGCGCCCTCGTTGGGGATTGAGAGCGCCGGATCAGAGGCTGCAGTCAGAGGGTATGAAATGGTCCACGGCTCATCAGAGTCGGGCGTGTCGGAAGACGGCAGCAGTGGGGCCGTGGCCAGATCTGTGGGATTGAGATAGCCATATGCGTGCCGCGCGATCTTGAGTACACGGTTGGAGGGCGGGATGATGAATAGACCTGTAGTCAGGTTGAGTAAAGTAGGCATCTTGGCCAGCTGCTGCTCCTCCTCCTCACTGATGTCCATGTAGGCAAGCACTTGCCCCGTAGCGGTAGCCTGGCCCGACAGGTCGAGCAACGAGGCAGTCCACGCACCAGTGGCAAGGACGACGAGGTCTGCCGACAGGGTGCGCCCGTCAGAGAGCATAGCACCCGTGACGGTTCTGTCGCCGTGCACAAGGCTGGTCACTGTCCCCTTGATGAACTCGACACGGCCGGTCCGGAGAACTCTCTCGTACAGCCAGGACATGCTCTTCTCGGCATCGGCCCATCCTGCACAGCCATTCAGATACCCCCAAGAGCCAGATGAGCCCCCAGTGCCAACGGCATCGCGGATGGCCGCTGCATCGGGGAGTTCACGGATCCGGCTGGCGAGCTCGGGGTCATGGGCGGACAGGGCGACCACGCTCTCCCAGCTTGCACGCACATAGCCCAGGCCATTTTTCTTGGCCTTTTGCTGCTGGGCAGGTGGAGCACCTTTCTTTGCGGCGGGAGGGCTCTGGGCCGGGCTTTGGGATGGTATGTCATCAGCTACCAATACCAAGCCACTCTCGGTGTATCTGCCTTCGGCACCGAGGTCGTCTGGGCAGTCAGACTTTCTCCATTGCTTCTGGGCCTCGGCGGCGAGGGCCGTGTAAGCGGGATCGGCGTAGTCGCTCCGGATTATTCGACTGCTGTCGATGCTAGACGCGTCCCTCGCCGGGAAGACGGGGTCACAGTTCGAACTGTCTCCCGCAGCCCTATCGACGACCGTTATGGAAGTCCGGGAGAAGACATCTCTACGGGCGAGGGCGTAGGCGGTACTGAGGCCAAATACACCAGACCCGATGATGAGGATGGAGGATGGAGGAGGGGAGTTGGAGGGGAAGGAACACTTAGTCATTGGAAAGGGAGACGAGGAATGTTTAAACTCTAAACGTGATGAGCAGGCACCTTGGAGAGTACTGGAGGTAGGACAGTGCAAACAGCGGAGCCGATAATCTTTCTTTTCAATAAGGTGTTAACTACCTAGGCACTATACTTACTAATTTATAGAGATCGGTGATCCTCCTAGTTGTTCCTACCTCGTACCATTCAGGTTACCTGCCAATTCCCGTCAACTGGAGCGGCGTGAGTGGAGATATGACGCACGGGCCATGTTGAGTGGCTGGCCCCATCGCATCGCGTACTTCCAGCCGGCTCCATCAAGCCTTGTCGAGACGGAACTCAAGGAACACAGAACGCTTGCCAAATCCTGCCCACCTCCAAAAACACACGTCCAAACCTACTCGTCGAGATGCCTATGCAGAGGCACAACTGCTGCTATGTCGACTAAGAAGATTTCCGAGTTTCCCAACGTCGAGGCGAAATTGCAGAAGCCCACCAAACAGTCAGCCTTTGAGCGGAAGAGGGCAGAGGCTGAAGCAAAACGGCAACGGGAGGCTGCTGAGACAGCCGCCGTCTACAAGGATTTTATCAAGAGTTTTGATCACGATGGCGATAGCACAGGCACTTCCGACTCGAGACTGGCGGAATCCAGATTCGGTTTCGGGCCACCGGACAGGTCAGCGGGCTTGGGGCCCCAGGCGCCCTTTGGTGGAGGCGCTGGCAAGAGACACTTCGGTATACCGTCTGGCTCATCGATGAAGAGCGGCCCTGGCAGTTTGGGGCCCCCACCATCTTCTCAGGGCAAGAAACGGTTCTACGACGGAACACCCGCAGGCTACCAGAGGGATCGGGATGAGGCAGGGAGAAGATTCGGCTTCGAAGATCAGGGATCGGGATACAAATCAATATCAAAAGTCTTTGATGCGAGCGACGACGAGGGCGAACCCACGGCGGTTGATCGCGCGGAGGAGAAGGCCATATCGAGGCCAACTCTTCGTCTCGCGAACTTGCCCCCGACGACATCCCCCGCGGTCGTGAAGGCATTGATGCCCCCCAACTTGACGGTCGAGAATGTGAAGATTGTTCCGCCGTCGGGTCCTAGTGGTACCGAGAGGAAGTCTACCGCCGCCATCGTTACTCTCTCCAAGGAGACTCCCGCTACCGATATCGATGCTGCCGTGAGCTCATTGCAGAATCATTACCTTGGTTTTGGCTTCTATCTGTCCTTGCACAGGCATTTATCCTCCGCAGCCATATCATCTTCAAGTCTCACAACTATCACGTCGTCGTCGGCAGCAGTATCGCACCCGTTTGGGGCGAAACGGGTTGCTACGCCTACTACGAAACCCCAAGGCCCACAGCCCATGGGCTATGGACGTGGCTTTGCACCACCATCATCATATGGGCCACCTGCAGGTGGCGGTGTCAACCGATCTGGCATCCTCCATGTTCCCATCCAGCCGCCAAAAGATATCAAGAAGCTGCGGATGATCCACAAGGTGATTGAAGCTGTCCTAGAGCACGGACCAGACTTCGAGGCACTTCTAATGTCTCGCCCTGACGTCCAGCGAGAGGAAAAGTGGGCATGGATCTGGGACGCGAGAAGCGAGGGCGGAATTTGGTATCGCTGGCGCTTGTGGGAGATCGTGACTGGGATACAGTCCAAGAGGGGGCAAGGAAAATACCTTCCCTTGTTCGAAGGGAGCCACGCCTGGAAAATCCCCGAGCAGCCCTTATCATACGAATACACGACCGGAATCGACGAAATCATTTCCGACTCGGAATACAACTCGTCGGACGAAGACGAGTTCGAGGATGAACAGAACCGCCAAGCCGAGGGTCCTGGCGCAAACCATGACCAAGAAGATGTGTTCCTTAATCCTATTGAGAAGTCCAGAATGGCGCATCTTCTAGCCCGCCTCCCCACAACACTGTCAAAGGCCAGGAAGGGGGACATTGCCCGTGTGACTACATTCGCTCTCACGCATGCGAGCAAGGGTTCCGATGAAATCACCGAAATGATAGTCTCCAACATTGAGAGGCCGTTCGCCTTTACCTCGGCCAATCCTGATCACAAGCAAGAGAGCAAGGCCAAGGTCAGCCATGACCGCGACTCTCACGAGCCAAGCCCCGCGCAGGACGACAAGGCGGCGGCTCATGACACACAGGATACAAGTCCAGCACGGTTGGTGGCGCTCTACGTGGTCAGCGACATTCTGTCCTCATCGTCCACGAGTGGGATCCGCCATGCCTGGCGCTACCGTCAACTTTTGGAGGGCGCCCTTCGAAGGCACAAGACCTTCGAAAACCTCGGGATGATGGCAGAGAAGTACAACTGGGGTCGGCTACGCGCCGAAAAATGGAAGCGCAGCATCGGACTTGTGCTAAGCCTCTGGGAGGGGTGGTGCGTCTTTCCGGCCGAGACGCACGAGTTCTTCGTGGACAGTTTCGAGAACCCGCCAGGACTGAAGAAGGAGAAGTCGGACGAGACGCAAAAGAAGGCCGGACGCTGGAAGACTGTTGAGGCATCTTCGGCGGAGAAGGTCACTGAGAGCAAGTTCCTTCCCGTCTGGCAGAAACCTCCCAGCCGCCAGAGTTCGCCGGCCGCCTCGGGAGACGGCGACAGATTGCAGGAGACCTTGGAGACTGGCGACACAGACGGCGAGGTTAACTACTCCTACGGAGTAGGCTCTGACTCGGATAGCGATGAGCCGCTTTTCGAGTGCGATATAGACGGAGAGCCTATTGGAGGGTCTGTTGAGAGACCAACAGGTGAAGATGTTGTTATGGGAGCAATGAATGGTGCCCCATCGGTGACACCCACGCTGCCGACGACAAAGGTCACGGCTATGGGGGCGTTCCAGATATCAGCATCAAAATCTGCACCGTCTAGGAAACGGGTGCGGGCAGTCGATATGTTTGCTGATTCTGGCTCTGAGGATGGGGAGTAGGAGTGAGGCGGCGTTCTGGTTTCGTGGCTGATAAGATTAGATCGCCAAGAGATCTGGCGGCTTGAGCAGCAAATGATACCCTCGTCAATTACCTAGTGTGCATGAATGACTGACGCCCCAACCTGCCCCAATTGACACTCGCTCAGCCAACGACAATCCTCGGGTCTCCTCGGCTGTCCACGTCCTTTCTGTCCACGTCCATTCATCGAGCCGCACCTTGATCGATATGCACTTGCTATGCAGTAACTTGCCAGCGTCTCAGCGCCCCACTCCCCCGGGCGGATGGTACTGCACTGGAATTTCTAATTTAGCAACGTGATTGGAAAATGCCTGTCGATATTTGGTCAGAATCCAGTCCTAGTGTGCCAATGTATCCCACGGTTTTCTACATCCCGCACACCACCTGCACTTATCACTTGCAGGGGTCGGCTCTGGTTCCATGGGACTGAGAGATCAAAACAGGGCTCTACAAGGTCATAAGTTGCCAATTAGGCTGAGGGTTCTCCTTTTGTTCCATGTTGGTCGTTGGCTTTTGCTGCTAGCAGTTGGCTAGGTTGTTGCAGATTCGAGGCTTCCAGGGCCGGGCGCGGGGTTGGGCCAAAAAATACCAAATTCTGAGGTACTTCGATGTATCATTATTGTCATGCCGTATTTCTGGACTGCACGAGCTGGCGGTGGTGGGTGGGATGGAGACCTTTGTCGGATTTTTTTCTGTACCACCTTGGCCCCATTCCGGCTGTCTTTGGGAACTGAGCAAGTTTTGATTGGTCGGAGTGGCCCGGTGTCTGGGCCACGCCGCATCCTCAACCACCCCCACCCCTCGCGCATCCACTTGAATTAGTCGTCGAGGAAAAGCCCCTTGCGCCTTAGTCCGTATTGCGTTCATGGATTGGTAAAGGATTTGTCCAGGGAAACGATGAGAGAATCTGATTGATCACCGAGGGTTATCCGTTGCATCCCGTCGTAACCGCGGTCGCTAACTGACCGACTCGATTATTCAAACTCCACCATCTCGCTGCTGGCCGTGGGAACTGGGAACCAAGCAGGACCTCAATGCTGCCTCCGCGCTTCAGAGTAGACCGTTTTCATCACTGCGCTGGGCTGATCCCCGGCCGAATTAAGGTTCGACTTCGCCTGCCAGGCAGTGCCCGTTCGCACAAGTTCTAAAGCTACGCAAGACCTCGCTTGACTTTTAGCTTCAGTCCACCAGGAACCGCTCGGGCTTTGAGTCACACCACCCAGCCAGGCACACTTCCATCGTCTTTGGGTCCAACAGCAGTTGTGCGTTGTGTGTTGTGCGTTGTGCGTGCGGTGTTCCAGCCTCTCCTTCCTCTGCGCCTCTCCCAGCCAGCTTTTGCGACCTGCCCTGGTACCCAGCCCTGCTGGACGCGGCCAGGAGGTTTAGTCCCGACTGACTGGCCATCGCGACTCCGACTCGCCAGCATATCCTCCACAGACAGAACAGAGCGTCGATACCTGCCGAGTTTCTGCCGCCTCCCTACCATCTCCAAGGTTCCATCCAGCATTGACTGGACCGTCTTACCCCAAATCGGTCCCCCTCCCCCCTGCTATCGGGATCGACATTCCTGGGCTGCAGAGACCCTCCCTCTCCCGCACTTGAAGGACCAACGAGTTCCTTTACAACCTCTTATGTCTAGCATATCTCAGAGCTTCAGCTTGCAGCCATGCCCTTGATTAACGGCCAAAAGATGGCCTGGTGAGCCTCCCCTTCCACTTGTCGGACACTGCCCTTAGCTCCCCCTTTATTCCCCATCATCGATCGGCTCCTTGCAGCCCGCCGTGTTTGCTATAGCTCTTGACCACCACTCTGCTCCCCTTGCAGCGACCCTGCCAGTGACGCGGGCTTGCGTCGGCCGTTTACTAACCTCGCTCCCTTCCTAGTGCGCCATGCATTCGTGGCCATCGTTCCACCAAATGCAACCACGCGGCCGAGCGGGTAATGGTCCCGGTCCGGAAGCCAGGCCGGCCGCTCAGCACTTGCCCGTGTGCCCCAGGAAGGCCATGCGCATGCGGTGGAGTCAAGGTGGCAATCCCGCGGAAACAGAAGTGCCATTGCGGTCCGGGTGCGGATGCCGTAGAAGACGAGGTGAAATCCGAGACGCCTACGGCTGAACCGCCGCTTTCGCCGACAAGACCCATCTATCGTGTCCAGAAAAATGGCTCCGGGCCCAGGCAAAACGGCAACAGGAAACTGTCCTTCGACCCAGTAAACCTCGACAGGGTAGATCCGAGCTCCATCAACATCCTCAACCAATACAGAAATCTGGAGGCAAAATCTCTGTCCATTACCAGCAGTGACTTGCCAGCTCAGGTGCAAGTTCCAGCAGGCTTCCGACCCGGTTTCGCTCCTCCTCCTCTGCCGACCAATGGGTTTGATAATGTCAACAATGTCGGTTATGGAGCCCCTTCGCATTATGGTGTGCCGGAACTACATCAGATGGCGCAATCCCCCGTGCTCACGACAGGGAAATCCGAAATCGAAACTCGGCCATCGCAGCCCCAGGCGTCTTCCTCGGCGCAAAGCCCTACTTCTCCAGCCAGCGGCTCAGGCCGAACGCCCCGGACCTCGAGCTTCCCCTATGCCGTCGCACCGAAGACCCATGAGCCTGCCCCGCGAAGCTGCTGCTGTGCGCCGAAGGATGATTCGCCAGAGATCAGAACCCCTCCCATGGCTCCCCAACATGTGGCGCAGTCCAACGGGACATTCATACCGCCATTCCCGCCGCCGCAGATGGCTATGAAGCACCAGCAGTACGGTCTTCCCTTCCCTCAGCCCGGCATCTTCACATATCCCGCAAACTACGGGTCGTGGTCACATCCTGTGAATCAGGCAATGTGGACACGAATGCAGCATTTGCAGCCGAATACGGTGCCCTACCCGAACGTACCGAACGTGGTGCCCGTCACGACAAATGGGAGCGGTCCTGTGCTCGGTACAAGCCACGAATGCAACTGTGGGCCGGGTTGCCAGTGTGTAGGGTGCCTGGCCCATCCCTTTAACCACGAGATGTTACAGTATGTTGGGGGCGCTTGGGATTATGATATCGATGTCTCACAGACCGAGGGGTACGGCAGTAACGTCGGCTCCAACGGAAACTCCAATGGTATCTCCAACGGCAGCTCCAACGGCAACCCCGGCGCCAATACCAGTGCTCGAGGCCAGGCTCAGACACAGAAACCGGAACCAGGCTCTCCAGCTCAGGCTCCAACACCTAGTGACGCCTCAGTATGTAGCGACGACCAGGCTCTGTCGACGAGTGACTACTTCTTCGTCAACCTACCTCTATTCCCCGGTGCGGATGCCGAAGGGGACTCTTGCGGGGGCAACCAGGCTCTCTGCCCTTGCGGCGACGATTGCCAATGCGATGGATGTGTAGTGCACAACACTAGGCCGCTTGACCATTTCGGTCCCCCCTAGAAGCGGCCGGACGGCCTGGTGTGGGCACGATCGGTTCTCTGATCTGGTGATTTGCGAATTACAATCACTACCGGAGGTGAGGTCGACCCAAGTTAATGAAGAACCAATACTCTGCGCGGGAGGCTACCCGCGAGCGAAGTGGGAATGTCGGCCGATTTCAGGAGGTTTCGGGTTTCGATTGAACAGAGGGCGCAAGTTGAGGAGTTTGGTGGGAAGGCGCATTTGCCCGTGAAGGAATAGTTGTGGAAATGAATGACGCCATAAGATACCCAGCTGTAGTAACAGAGTGAGGACAGATGCCTGGCATTGCCGAGGCACATATTTCTTATATGCTCCCCAGGTAGCCAGCGAAAGGTCGTGGAAAGGGAAAACAGAACTAGATGCTCCTCACTCAACAACAATCATAATTAATGTACCCAAATGGTCAGAGGACCGGGAATTTGTCATTGTTCTGCCTTGATGCATGAGTCATACAACACCAGAAATCCCTTCACCACCAGGGAATGGAAAAGACGGAGACATGGAAGTGACCCTACCGGTCGATCGTCATGGTTGAAGTGAGCTTCGGGACATTCAGGTTCGCTCTCGGATGGTGCCGAGAGGACCAATCAGACGGGCTGTTTCAACCTGATTTGAAGTTTTCCCACCCAGGCTTCCAGAAGCCTTACGGTGCTGTAGCGCTCGCTTATGGCTGACAAAGTCCCGCAAAATGGGCTGTGGATAGAGTTCTTCGGCCGCCGGAGCCCCGTCTTCTTCATTGGCTAGTGCAGATCATTGTGGTACCAAAACAGCTCTCAAACTAACGCTTCATGCTTGCCCAGGACCTCAAACAATATCAACTTGTCAACCTCGACACAATCAGTAGACATCGCAGACAAGGACTCTTGCTGTGAACCTACTCTCGGCCTTCATTGCTCAAATACTTCCGGCATCTTTGGCTTTATCCCTAGCTGCTGTGCAAGCCCATTACTCAAATATATTGGGACCGAAACGAGAGCCATTCTTTATCGGTTGACACACAGCACAGCCATCGCATCATCGGAACTAGGACCGAAGTGAATTAGGAAACGTTCATTAGCCCGTAAGGCAAATGGAAAGGGACCTTACTGGTCGAAACTCCAGGTCTCATTCTGGAGATGGTAACTACACCTCTCGACAGGTAGGCTCCCGGTCTCGGTCGCCCTCTGCGAATCCAGTGGTGGGTTCGCGTAGGCAGTACAGGGATAGGTCGCGGTCACCTCGTCGCCAATCTCCAAGGGCTCGTCACAGCGAAGATTATGATCGGGAAGGTCGTGACGGTTACCAGGGCGAACGTTCTCGGCATCGTCGTCACGGGTATCGCGACGAGGCCTTAGATGGTCAGAAGGAGCGGCCGTCACGCCGTGGCCGTTCTGATTTGAATCACCAAAGGCGGGAGCATTCTTCAACCTCCTCAAGGGCGTGTCGCTCAGGTGACGGGAAAGCTCGACGGCCCTCTCCCGGCCACCGCCATGTTCATGGCCGTCATTCCGCGAATTTATCCAGATCTGGCCCATCACCAACCCCTACGCCCCCAAACGCCTCAGCCCCACGGGTTCCCCCTTCGGAACAGCAAAGGTCGCAATCCCCCATCCATAGGAATCACCACCGATCCCATAAACGCAGTCCTAGCCCGTCTGGAAACTCCCGCCCTCACCGTCCTCATCGGCATGCCCGGCGCCGCTCATCCATGCATTCTTCTGCATCCGTGGACGTCACTCGGGGCAAGGACGTGGTAGCCCTCCCGCACGGGGCGCGCGCGCTATCGCGGTGGGATTTCGCCGCCTTCGAGCCCATCTTCGCGTACTACCTCGAGCTGCAGAAGCAGCTGCATATCGCGGACCTAGACGAGCGCGAGGTGCGAGGGCGGTGGAAGAGCTTTGTGGGCCGGTGGAACCGCGGCGAGCTCGCCGAGGGCTGGTATGAGCCGGAGATGTTCCTGCGGGTGGTGCGCGCGCGATCGCTAGACGAGCCGGAGACGGCCGCGGAACCCGATGAGGCCTCCGCTCAGGTCATGACGCCGCCTACGACCGGGATGAGCATGGCTGACTTGATCATGGAGACTGCGGCTGCCGGAGTGAATGGACCCCGCACCGCTGTTGGTGGAGAAGCAAAACGGGCCGTTGACGATGAGGAGGAGGACGACGACTGGGGACCCTCTTTACCCGCGCCGGCTGGGCATCCCAATGCTGGACCACGACCGGGGGATGCAAACCCGGCATCAGCAAGATCCGGCCCCGCGATACCAACCCTGCAAGACCTCGAGCTCCAGCGCACGTTGGAGGCCGAGGCGCAGCAAGGCCGGATCGCGGACCTACGCCTCGCCCGCAAGGACGACCGCCGGAAGCAGGCGGAGCAGCTGGACGAGCTGGTGCCGCGGGCGGAGCCGGGGACGCGCGAGCGGCAGCTGGAGAAGAAGCGGGCGGTGGCGGACAAGATGCGGGAGATCCGCGGTGCGGCGGGGGGCGGCGACGGGCTGGAGGAGGTCGGGGACGGCGAGCTGATGGGGGGTGCCGAGGACGGGGCGGGCGACTACCGGCGCGTGCTGGAGTCGATGCAGCGGCGCAAGACGGAGAGGGAGCTGCGGAGGGAGGAGTTTACGAGGGCGAAGAACGCGGAGAGGGACGAGAGGATCAGAGAGTATAGGGAGAGGGAGGAGGGGACGGTGAAGATGTTGAAGGAGCTTGCGAGGCAGAGGTTTGGGTAGAGGGTCTCTGTTTGGATCGCCTATTTTATGTACGGATGGAATTTACAGGCGAATTTGGGGTGAAGCCCAGGCAGGGGTTGATTCCACTGGAAGTTGTACTACGATTCTATAGATAACGCTGCAGATTCTTGTCTATATATAGCTCGCAAGAAGATGTTTCTGGATCGGTCCGGACTTCTGGTTGATAGGGGTTTGCTTGCAAGTGACTTGCAATTGTGATACGAGTACAGTCGCATGAGTAGCCGGAGGCCCAGATTGATGGTCACATGATGGCTAAGCAAGAGTACATCAATTTTTTTGTGGGTTAACTGAGCGGAAGGGGAGAGAGTGCGGACCGGAGCTTGGAATTTTGAACATCCATACAAGAGCGCCTAAATTATTCTGCTCTAACGGCAAGTGCCAGACGTAAACTGAAGCAAGACGTGAGAGCGTTGTGTGTCACCAGTTTTGTCAAGCCTGAAGACTGGAAGGGGTCGAGATACAACCGGAGGAATAAAATAAAAAAACCCTCCCCAAAGAGGAAAAAAAGAAGAGAGGGGAAAATGTCCGCAGAAGAAGCAGACCAGGAGACCAACACGGCCGGCCTCTTCGACGACCCGGAGGGCTTCTACCCGCCGACGCCGCCGCCGACAACGCAGCGGCACGCCCTCCGGGCGGGCGGCGAGCTGACGCTACACCTGGTGGGCCACTCGCCGCTCGAGGGCCACCACCTCTGGAACGGCGCGCGCGTCGTCGCCGACCACTTCGAGGCCGACCCGGGGGCCGTGGCGGGACGCGCCGTCCTCGAGCTCGGCGCCGGTGCCGGCCTGCCCAGCATCGTCGCCGCCCTGCTGGGCGCCGGCACCGTTGTCGTCACGGACTACCCGGACCCGGACCTGCTGGAGAACCTGTGGAGGAACGTGGCCGAGGCGGGACTGGCGCCGCTCGGGGACGGGGAAGGGGAGGGCGGCAATATTGCCGTGGAGGGGTTCATCTGGGGTGGGGATCCGGCGCCGTTGCTGGCGAGGCTGCCGCCGGCGCCCGAGGGTGGGGACGCGGGGGGCCGGGGATTCGATGTCTTGATCATGGCGGACCTGCTCTTCCGGCACTCGGAGCACGGGAGGATGCTCGACACGATTGAGGCTACGCTGCGGAGGAGGAGGGACAGCAAGGCATACGTGGTCTTCACCTCTTACCGGCCCTGGCTCCAGCACAAGGACCTTGCCTTCTTCGACGTCGCGAGGGGGAGGGGATTCGAGGTTGAAAAGATCCTGGAGCGGAAGATGGACCGCCCGCTCTTTGAGAACGATCCCGGCGATGAGGAGGTCCTCAAGACCGTCACGGGATTCACGGTCAGATGGCCGGCCGAAAAGTGCGAAAACTGAAGACCAAGACAAGCTTGGCCTTCTATTCCCATGACGGTATGATACTATACTCTGCCTTGGTTGATTGATATTATTACATACCCCCGGCCAATCCACCCCGCCGAATGTTCAGGGTCTCGGTCCGTGTGTGTCGCCAAAACGAACCTGACTGATCCATATGCCGAATCCCAAGCAACACCAATTTCCGATACCCAAACCAAGAAGGACGTCACCATCACGGAGAAACTCCGAGTGACAGTCCCTGCAAGCCGGCCCTCGAGGGGAAGCGGTTTCTGGATTATCCACCAAGCCCGAGCAGGTACGCCGGAAAATAGTCGCTAGCAAGTAGTATCAAATAGGACAGCCGCTCACAGCACAGCCCGCTGGGTAGCCATCAACTCGAGCAAGCCCAAGGGAGAAGATGCTGTCAGCAAGAAGTGAAGGCCCAGAGGACAATAAAAGGTATCCGTGTCTGCAATGTGAACGACGCCGGTGTTCTTCCTCACGCCCGCCTGCTCGAGGATTTGCCGACAGAAAGCGGATCAACTGCATCATGCATGATCCATAGACGAACAGCGATTCTCATCACCTGTCGGGCCCATTTCTGATTCGCACCGCCACATGGCGATGCTGGTTTGGGATGCCACTGGTTCCCTTGCCTAGACTTAGAATCCGCCATGCAGACTTGAAGGCCGACTCGTATACGGGGGAGGATCCTCGGGAGCGCGGAACCCGTCCGAGACCAGAAAGAGGTCCGGGTTGAAGGAGGAGGTGGTTTCCTCAGACGACCTGGCGATAGCCATGCTGGCGATGATGCCTTCTGGCATGTTGGCATACTTTGGATCTTCGTGAGACTCGGTGGTCGGGATCGGGGCCCGGCCACGGCTTGGCCCGGCCTGGGCATTGGGTCTCGGGGCCGGAGGGCGCTCGACTTGTGTCATCACGGGTCGATATGTGGGCTGCGACACGGCTTCTACTACGTGGCCTGGGTGAGGTCCAGCCTCAACCGTGGAAACGGCTGTGCGGTAGCGCCAAAGCTGGAGCACGGTGAACAGAATCGACATTATGTATGAGAGACTGCGAAATGGTTAAACCCCTTCCGCTATCACCCATGGAGATCCAGAGGACAGTAGATGAGACTTACATTGCAACGATGCTGAGGGAATAAAGTTCTTTAGGGAAGTGGCACTGCGGGCGGCCAGGCGTTGCGGGTGGGCCACCGACCAAGGTCAAGATCTTCTCGCGAGTACTCTGTGTCATGAGATCTTCGTAGCCTTCAAATCAATGAGCAAGCGGGCACAACATATCAAATGCAAGTTAAGGTATCCATGCTTACTGTCCGTCCTCGATAGCACAGAACATTCGAAATATTCAATGCTGAGCACGGCGACCTTGGCAACGAAAACGCTGAGTATCAAGAGGTCGCCCGGAATAGAGGTCATGGCGAAGATGTGCCATGATGACGTCCTAACTTTTTCGATCTTGCTGAGAAGGCAGATGCAAACGAGGATGAGGGTTGAGTATCCCAAGCTCACGAGCACCTGGGCAAGCACAATCAATACAAATCGGTCGGCATAACATAGCAGTAAGACATGCTCACCAAGGGCTGAATTGCTTTCACACGGGAGCTGTAAATGTGCGTTTGGTGGAAGAGGAGGTTAACGGTGAGGGAGATGAACACCGAGGAGCCCCATTGCCAACATCGTGTCACCGTCGCGCAGATGTTGAGCAAGTCGCGAGGCGCCTTGGCAACCTTCTCGGCGGATTCCATGGCGACGATAGGCTTCCCCTCTACGCGGCCGCAGGCATCGGGATAGCGAAAGTCAAAAGAGGAAGAGGACAGCGGAATCCTGCTGCCTGGCTTGGTCAGGTGGCCCGACGGCCGCCCATGCGGAACACGGAGCGCGGAATAGCGCTGAGTCGTGCGTAAGCTTTGAGGCTGTGCAACCCCCTGCATCCCCTGCATGGCCCCAACCACCTTGATCGGAGCTAGGCTCGATTCAGGGTTAGGGTTGTGAACAGACGGGAGACATTGAACTAGCTCGGCGCAAACAGCATGGCTGATCAGTCAAAAGCGACGACGGGACTCTGTAAGATGCGAGGGATCGTGTTGAGCGTCCCTAGAGGCATTGTAGCACCACGTCTGAAGTGGACCAATGACTTGGCTGCCATCTTTCAATATCTACTGTTCGACCGCATTACACGATCCCAGACAAGCTGAACTCGGTACAGCCTCGAGACGCCAAAGAAAACAAAGACACCCAGCCTAAGCGTGGAAGTCTCATGTACTAAACACAGCGACATACTTGACGTCCATCGCGGAGTCGGCCCCGCCCACCGTCTGGGACGTCGGCGTCTTGACCTTGGCGATGGCGTCGGGGAACGACCCCCCGATGGCGACATTGAGCAGCAGGAACTTAGGCGATCTCGCTACGTTGACCCACGCGCCCTGGTCCCCGATGGTGGCGCCCGAGACGCTGTACACCTTCCGGTCGTCGATGAGCCACGTCATGGTTTCTTTGCTCCAGTCTCCGCCGGCGTTTGTGCGGTCGATCTCGACGGCGACCGTGTGCCACTCCCCCCTGCTCAGCGTCGCCGTGGACCCGATCCCCGTAGTTTCGCGGCAGGGGCCCCCCGACGCCACCCCGCAGTGCACCGTTTGCCACGCCGTGGGGGCCCCGTTGAGCGACTCGAGGATGTCGATCTCGCCCACCGACGGCCAGTTTTGGTAGTTGCCACGGTACGCCGAGCCGAGAGACCAGAACGCAGGCCAGATGCCCATCTGCGAGCTCGCGGGCGCGTTGCCCAACCGCACGCTCGCCTCCATGCGCAGGCGCGCCCCCGCCGCGCAGGCGAAGTCGTTGGCCGCCGTCGTCTCGATGCGGGCCGACGTCCACCGCCCGTCGCGGCCGACGATGGGCGTGATCCGCAGCGTCCCGTTGGCGGTGATGGCGACGTTGGTTGGCGAGTTCGTGTATGTCTGCACCTCGTTCGTGCCCCAATGGGACGGCCCGCCCGGGTAGCCAATCCCGGTGTCAATAGTCCACTTGGAGGCGGACGGGAGAGAGCCTGCTACCTGGGTCGAGAAGTCGTCCTCGAAGAGCACCTTGGTAAAGCCGGCTGGGGGGGTCACACTGGTGCTGACATTGGGCTCGGCACCGATGGGTGCTGAGTTGGCGACATCCGAGAGGACTAAGAGAAGCGAGACAAATATCTTCGCTGCCATGGCTAGTCGTTATCGTGAATCACCGCTCACGGGATACAGGACACGAAGAGGGTAGCGCTGCCTACAGTACTGCACATTCTATGAACGCATCTCGAACATGCCGTCGGTGTTATATAGACGCTGGAGAGGGCATGGAAGCCGATCGGGAGAAACTCCTTAGCCAGCCTTTCACGGGGCACCCTGAGCCGTGGGTATGTTAATTCGAAACAGAGGATATGCAGGGCAGGCAGTCCGGGTGTTCGACATCAATATTAATCGATATAACGGGCGTCGAAACTCCCGGCAGCGTTGCTACGAACCCGGATCCAAATGAGGCGCGGGGGGTTAGAAAACCCCACTGCCGGCCCATGCCGATTCACAATTAACGCATTCTCATCTTAAAGAGCGCCATGATATTTCTGGTTCTGGCAATAATATATGTTTCTTGCCAAGCCGCTGCCCTCCGACCCTCCATGCTGTGCCTTCGTTTGACCTGGCTAGATGCAACCGCTAGGCTAAACACAGTTCATATCTCTCCGCAGTGGGAAAGACTGTTTGCCACTGCCATTATTTGAGCCTCAGTGATGTCGATCTCTGGACTGAGTTGTCGGGAACGCTTGAATCCAGGTGCGGCTAAATCGCTGACGAACATATATTAGATTAGGAAAGTGTCCTTCCCGCCCGCATGGCTGTTCATGCAGGGACTCCTGCGGGACTGTCGATCGATCCTGCAGAGCAACAGCTGCAGAGAACAGTGACAGTAAAATACCTAGGTAGACATTGCGATATCTGCCCCTAACGGGAGGCTGAACAGTTGTCAAGCTTTCACGGTAAGCCAGCTTGCCGTACGCCATGTCACGCCGAGGGGCCAGTTGGTACAGTCAAGAGTCTTCTCAAAAACGCTAATATACACAATACACATGCACAATGCATAATATCGTTGGCCTGTCTGTCTGACATGACGCCCCAGAAGCCAGTCAGTCACCACTCCCACCCATTCACCGGAGCGTCCCAAGGAGGGGGCGTCTCAAGGAGAGGGCCTCTCGCCTCAGCCCTTTCGCAGGTACACATCGCACCCCTTTCTCACCACCCCAACCCACCTTGCCGTTGCCTGATAAGTGAGCGATACGAAGTTTCAAAAAAGCGCCGTCCATGAACCCCACGCCAAATGCCTGTGATATTTTGGTCGTCCGAGAGTGCCCCATGCTATGCCGGAATGCGATGCCCGCGCGTTGCTATGCTGGTGTTCTGACTACAAGCCACGTACGAAAAGGAATGGTATAAAAGGGGGTTTGAGCAAAAAAGGGTTGGCTTATAATCAGGTTGCTATCATTACCGAGCAATTGGTGTCTGCGACCAATGCCGGTTATATATATATAGGACGGCGAGGGGGTTTCGAGATCAAGAATGCCGATGTCTGCGATTGCTGGCAGGCGATAGGACCAGTAGAGACTGCCTACCAGTGCTCTTCCTCTTCGCCATCGAGCCGATATTTCGGGGGGCGCTTCAACAGCGACAAGAGGGAATCGAGTTGGGCCCAATTATCATCGTTATCCGCAAACTTGCGGTGTTTGCGAGTCATGGTGTGCTGCCAAACATGTTAGCTCCTCTGGGTCTCATTCTGAAAGGCCAGCCAGCAACTCTACTTACTTCGTCAAAGTCATCGAACTTATCCTGACAGTTCTCACAATAGCCAGGCTTGGGGTCACGCTTCCGTTGCTTGGTCTGGGCCGGACCAGGTGCGCTCTCGGTCCTACGCAACGTTGCCTTCCCACAAGCCACATCGTCTTCGTCGACCATGTCTGGTTTGCGATGCGCTGTCCTTCCCAGACTGGCCGAACGGATGAACGTGTTGCTATCATGACTCATCTCACCCAGGCGGCGGGAACTCGGGTCCTGAGAAAGGGCCGGCGTGCTGTTCTTTTGCAGGACTTTCCGCTGCAAGCCATGGATCTCCTTGCTCGTCCCGGCCTTCGCGCCAAGCGTGCCCGACGTGGACGAGACCATCTGGGATCGGATGGCGGAGGTAATGTGCGACGGCTGGACGCCAGATGCAACAGGCTCTCCGGCAAAGAAGCGCCCGGCCCTTGCCCGGCTCGTGAAGGCGTTTTCAGCACGGAATTCCACGGTTGGGGGATTCGATGCCTTTGTGAGATCGAACCTCGCCGGCTGGCATGCAGCTGGTGCAGGTCCACGATTATGAGCGTCTTCCATCTCGGTCAAAGTACGCTTCCCTGTGACAGGTTTCGGCGGCGGAGCTTGTGGTGGTTTGAGGACCGGCGCCTTCGCCTCAACTGCCGCCTTCGAAACTCGTTCCTTCGCTCTTGCATGGCTACGCTCTCTCTCTGCCGGCTCGACATCCTCTATAAAGGGGCAACGGCCCTGGGATGCAACCCGGAACTGAGGCCAGTCCCCGTTTTTCTTTTCCGCGACCTTGGCGTATTCGCGTACCATGATGGGCTTTTGCTTCTCTTCAATGTCATACACATAGATGTACGGACCTTTGAAGTAGTTGAGCTCCTTGGTGGTGACCGAGGGATCTCTATCAGAAGGACCATGCACGCGCTCATTCTGAAGAAGCTGAAGCAGGTTAGATGACTCGGCTCCTCTTGTAGCCGAGCTTTCCTTGACGGCCGCACTCCGCAACCCTTGGCCCAGCAGAGCACTCTTGTAGGGATCTGGTTCCAGGACCATGTCCAGAATCTTCTGGAGCTTGTCTAGTGACCATATTTTCTTCCCCATTTCCCGAGCCCTGAACAAGACATCGGCATTGCGCGCCTTTGGTCTTCTGACGGTATCCTCGTGGACGTGGATTGGCAGTCGCCTGCTCGACGCGGTTTCAAAGAGAAGTTTTCTCTTTACAGGTGGTGCGCTTGCCGTAACTTCGGTGCTCCGGTTAAGCAAGGACGGATCAATGGTTTTCGGCTGCTCATGGGATGCTTGTGTATTGGCATTCGATTCGCCATCTTCCTGCGCTGCTTTCTCCGAGGGAATCGAACGTGTTGTGACGACGTGGGTGATGTTGATGGAGAAGAATTTTTCCTCTCGCTGATATCATAGGCAGATTGTAAGCAGAATATCTAGAGCCTGCCTGGCGGGGAGCACTTACAGCACCGAGATGCGTGACCTGCTTCGTGAGCTTCACGCGTTGTTCATCTGGAAGGCTCTCAAAGTAGAAGACCATCTTGGGGAAACGGGCCCGAGTCTGGGCTTGCCATTGCCGCACATTGTCAATCTCTTTCTCTGTCAACTTGTATGAGGTGGACTGGGAGGACCGGTCCGTCGTGGAGGCTCGAGTTGACGGCTTTTGAATGACAAGGCGAGTTGTCTTCTGGGCTGCGGGAGACCTCAAGAAGCGTTGGCCTCCATTGTCCAGCATCTGACGTTTTGGCGGCGGTGGCTGGCCATAAGGTTCCTCTCTCTGGAGCTCGGCATGGGAGCGGATTCTCTTGGAGCCATGGGTGGTCAAGACTCCTCGAAGCGGCGAGTTGGCGACATTGGGGTTGCTGGAGAGGGGCAATCTCCTAGTCGACATGGCAGAAAGGGAGATGGGCGTTGGAGATAGAGATATTGTTGCCATAGAAATGAATGCCCAATCAACATACTATGGGTGACGGTGTGTGGTGGTGAGGAAGGTGAAGGGTGACGGGTGGAAGAGGGAGACGGGTGGTGGAGGGGTTCTGTGGACAGCACGCGACGTGCAGCAAACACGTCTCTCCGCGTGGGCTGCTGGAGGGATATCTGCTAAAATCGAGACATAAAACAGGGTATGAGAGAGTGAGAGACGGGAGACAAGCCTGTCAATGGTACAGAACTTGGAATAGCAGCTACCCACAGGTCAAAGGAGAGGCATGCTTTTGGTTTTGGCAATGGGACAAAGTCGTTGCTTCGTGAGAGTGGGAGGGCTTTTTCGGTGGGCAGAACCGCGCTGCAGCGAGCACGGACTCGAAGCTCCAACAAGCTAGTCCACCTTGGTTGTTCATCAACAAACTTCCCCCACTTTTGCCCCACAGCCCTCGTCGCACACAGCAACCGCTTCAAGCTGATGCCGGCTTCCGGAATTCCATGCACCTGACGGGACCTTCTCACACGCCATTGCCTGCCTTTCCAGAAGAGGCGCTGTCAAAAGTCCAGTTTCCAGCCGCTGCCTCGGACCTCTTACGGCGGCCAGTCCAGCGTGCTCGCAGGCATCACGTGTAGAATATGAGATTGCTTTTTGTGTGCAAAAACTGAGATGAAGCTTCCTCGAGCTGTACTTCGACAGTGCAGGTATCGCACTCCCCGGCATGGGCTTACGTTTACGCCTGTTAGTTCTCTCTTAAGGGGGCCAATATGCCCTCTTCGGCAGAATAGCAAAAGGGCTTCATCCTGGTGGTCATGGGGCGACAGGAGTTATGCAACTGTGGCCGCGGGTGAGCTTCAGTTCGGCCAACCCGTGCATGAGACGCATCCTCACGTCCTGAAGGCCGGCGAGAGTATGTTGACCTTAAAACTTTCATAGCCCCCGTAATATGTGCTGAAAGGGAAGGTCGCAGTAACTCCGGGTATCACCGCTCAAGAATATTTCGATCGGCGAGCCAAGCTGGCGCTCAGCCTACCCGACAATGCAGTGGCCGTTCTCGCAGCGGCCGACCTCAAGTACCGCTCCGGTGCCGTCTTCTTCCCATTCCGCCAGGAGTCCAACTTCCTCTATCTCACCGGCTTTTCCGAGCCGGAGGCCATGGCCGTGATCCAGAAGACTGGCGCAAACCTTGGCGACTACGCCTTCCACTTATTTTGCCGGCCAAAGGACCCCAGGGCTGAGCAGTGGTCTGGGCCTTGGAGCGGTCTTCAGGCCGCGCAGGATGTGTTCAATGCAGACGTGGCGGGAGACATCAACAAGGTTGACACGCTCCTGCCGCCCCTTATCAAGGGGGCCAGCAAGATGTACACGGACATCGAACTGAGCAAAGGCGGCTACCCAACCGCTTTCGCGAACCTGATCCGCCAGGCCGACAAATCCGCGGGGACACAGGCCCTCCAGCCGATGGTCAACCAGCTGAGAGCGATAAAGTCGCCCGCCGAGATCGCCAACATGCGGAAGGCAGGCCAGGCGTCGGGCCGAGCCATCACCGAGGCAATGCGCCGGGAATGGCGGACGGAGAAGGATCTGGCAGCATTCCTCGACTACCAGTTCATCGTGAACGGCTGCGACGGTCCCGCATATGTGCCCGTCGTCGCGGGTGCGCCCAGAGGCGGCATGATACACTATGTCCAGAACAGTGCCACCCTGAGGGAGGACGACTTCGTGCTGGTCGATGCCGGCGGGGAGTATGGCACCTACGTCACCGACATCACGCGGACTTGGCCGATGAGCAAGAGGTTCTCTCCCGCGCAGCGTGATCTGTACGAAGCCGTTTTAAAGGTGCAGCGGGCGAGCGTGTCACTGTGCCGAGAGAGCAGCGGCTTGACGTTGGATAGGATCCACAGGATCACCGAAGACGGGCTGCGCGACTATCTGAAGCAGCTGGGCTTCGACATGTCTGGGAACGCCCTGGACGTACTCTTCCCCCACCACGTCGGCCACTACGTCGGCCTCGACGTCCATGACGTGCCGGGATACGGGAGGCATTGGCCACTGAGGTCGGGACACTGCGTCACCGTTGAGCCGGGGATCTACGTCCCTGACGACGAACGCTGGCCCGAGCATTTCAGGGGAATCAACATAAGAATAGAGGATAGTGTCTGCGTAGATGACGATTCCCCTTTCATCCTTACTACGGAGGCGGTTAAGGAAGTCGATGATATCGAGGCGCTGAGGGACTAAAAGCAAGCTGTATATGTAGGTAGTTGTACGACTGTATATATCGATATTGGAAATGTAGTATTAGCATATAATGACGACCCGAGGTAGCAGCCGGGCGCCCGAGGAGAGATCTATTCAGTAGATTTTGCCCCTTCTGCTCGGTGAAAGGGCATCTACGGCGTGGGAGTGAACGGAGACAGATACCCATGGAATTGACTAGATACCGAGTCTCTCACCCTTATGAGCAGACAGCCCGAGTAGGTATATACAGTGGCGGAGCACAAAGCTAAGAGGCAGCCGTGCCAATAGAAACAGTCGTGGAGGTGGGATTTGTGACCAGAGAATAGTTACCCCAACGGTATGTCAAATATCCTCTAACCCGCTCGCTACGCCAGCAAATGATACGGTTAGTAGCTTGAAGTAAACATGGTGACCTTCTCCTTTTTCTTCTGCGTGATGTAGAAATTTCACCTAGCCCCAAACTCCCACGAGCGCCTCCTTTTTCGAGCCAAAACCAAAGCATATTGCGAGCCGCCCACGCCCATGAAGCACAGCCAGGTGGCGTTATGGCAAGCTCTCTGCTCTGCAGCAACGCCAAAAATAAGGGGGGTTCGTTCGTATGTACAAAGGAACAGCGATATTAAGATAGGTATCAACAGAAGGCTCTTGGGTCGAATAGTGTTCGGCTGTAGTTCGGCATCTGGAAGGCGGGCCGCGCTGTTGCGTTCAACAACTGTTCGAATGCCTGGATGCGCCGGGAGAGCTCCTGGTGTTCTTGCACGATTTGCCGATTCCTCTTCTCGAGGTAGTGGATGTAGTCCGTTGCTTTCGTCAGGACGGTGCCCTAGAAATATAATAGTTCAGTCACCCCGATCGCATGGGAAAAACCTTGCCAAATCTCGCTCGCGACTACAATAACAGCAACACTAACCTTGCTGACCTTGGGCGTCCTCGCTGGTTGTGACGGCGACTCTTCACCCTCAGCCCCAGCTTCTGATATCGTCTGCAATGACGGAACTGCACTCCGCAACTCGGAAATCTTGTCCTTCAGGTTGGTGCGATACTTCCGCTCGATATCGTTATGCGCCGTCCTGTCCCCCGGCTTTACTTTCTCCTTGCCTTTGTCCTCCATGATACTCGACTGCCTGGTCTGTGTTGGTGGAGCTGGTCGTGACTGAGATGATGGTGTGGGTTGTAGCAGCGTATTGCTTGCGCCAAAGCCGGTTCCCAAGCCCGAGTTGACTCCAGAGTTCTGTCCCCCCAGGTTCAGGTTCAGGTTGGATCCCAATCCACCCATGCTCGGACCCGGATTCATGGCGATGGCGATCAGTCTTCTTTGTTCTGCTTCGTTCAAGGTAGAGGTGTTCAGGCCGAGGATAGTGTCCATCCGCAGGCCAGGCTGCGGTCTTTCCCAACTGAGAGGAGTTGAATATAGCCCTTCCCGCGGAGGAATGTCTGACGGGGGGGCTGAATCCATCTTGGAAAGCTGCTCTGCAAGATTTATGGACGAGAATCCGTCGTCATCGTCGGACAGAGCGTTGTCCAAGGCGCTGTCGTCCAGGTACTGCTCTGGCTTGAATACGACCGGCGGAGCTTGGGCTGAGGCAGAACCTAGGGTCTGCCTTGGATTGATAGGCCTGGTTCCATGCCATGTCAGTCACGGCTCTATTTGGGGATGGATTCCAAGTGGCCACCAGGACGAGTCACTTACCGTTGCGCCGAGGGAGCCTTTCCTTTTAACCTGGGATCCGGCCTCAAGGTGGCTGCGCCATCTGAGACATTGGGAAGTGATTCTTCGTTGTCAAATTGGATCCAGTAGTCAACTGAGTCAAACGGGTTCGCTTCTGTGCTGAGCTTCGATCTCTTCCTCTCATGGCCATCCCTTAACCTTGCCGTTCTCGTTGGTAACACTTGGCCGGGTTGGCCAAGCATCGGCTGCCGCGCCATTGCAGGGTTCATTGACAGGCTGGTGGGTGCGGTAGAAGGGGAAGATTGAGCAAACGATTCGAGAGAAAGACTGCCAGGGCCCGTTGACGACGACCCGGCCGCGCCCGGATCGGCTGCTAATGCGTTCATATCCCACATCGACGATAGCTGATTCCCGGTGGTTCCCGTCAGATCGAAAGTTTGGTCAACTGGATTGACTGTCTGATCATTGTCAGTAGCCCAGCGAGATGACGACGAAAAGAGGCCTGGGACATCTTGGGATGCCCGTACCTGGCTGTTGGGTACTGAGAAGAACTCAAGGTGTCTAAGTTGATTCGAATCCATTGCCAACGGCGCATCCCGACTCCTGTCTCTTGTGAGGCAGAGTCCGGAAGTTTGATGGCAGCGACAAAGTTAAACTTCGGGCTGTTATCGAACGGATGCTCGACACCCGCTCCTGCAGGCTTGCTTAATGGTGTTGTTGATTGATAAGGCAAAAACTGTGCGGGGGACGGAGAGATGTGCTTGTTGCCGTGACTCCGGCCTTGTTGCCTGTCGCAGGCCGAGTTCGAGTTCGAGTTCGAGCAAAGATGGGCCCACGAAATCAATTGGCGTTCCTCGAGGCCAGACGACTCCTCGTAGAAAGGCAGAAGCTCAGTCTGGGGTTACTCCTTGAAACCCTGTCCTGCGCATCAACGACCTAGGGGAACAGAAAGCAGAATTCTCTTGCGACGTGTCGACCAGGGACAAGACAGCTGTGGTTTGGATGACAGCTTGCGCGAGAATGGGTATATTAGAGACAAGGGCCCGCGGTGCTAGAGAGGGGAAGTCGGTATTTGGCTTTTCTACCTAGGCAAGAAATAATGCCCGATCTTGCAGCTGAATGCTAAATGCTCGGACCGATCTCGACAGTTGGGGCGGCACACACGCGGATTCCGCCGGTTCAGTCCCGGGTGGCTTTCGATCAGGAAGAGGAAAGATTCAAAACGGGGAGTTGAACCCTTGTGGCCACCACGGGCACAGGGAAAGAGGGCGGGGGGGGGGCTTATCGTTGGACGGTTGGACGGTTGGACAGAAAATGCAGAACAAGTTACAGCAGCCACTGCCGAGGGTGTACGGGGGCAAGAAGAGACCTGACACTGCTCGTGATCTGTTCCTGCGGGAGAATAGATTGTTGGCAGAAGCCCTTGCGGGCTCAGTGGCCTGAGGTGTCGGATGGGAAGGGGATATCAACTAAGTAGGTCACCATTGCAGGCGGCTACAAGGCTTAGGCTCGCACTCTCGCACTCACTCCCGCTCTGACTAGGGGGGTAAGTCAAACAATGGACAATGATGGGAACTCAAGGGAGGTGTCTAGGGAGTAAAGTGGAAAGCTGGAGCGAGCTGATTGGTGTCTGACAGTTAAAAATTCCTCGAAAATGGGCTGACCTTGCTACATCTTATCCAGCGGGTGGCTAATATCTCTCGCAAAATCATTAGAACCATCAGGGGTCCTGTTGCAGAAACCTCTCGATTTGCATTGTAAATCGTATGATGGGAAGGCTGACGAGGGGCCACCCGATCCACTGCCAAGCAACCGCAGACAGGCATCTCATTGGCCATTATGTCATCAGCCTTGCAGCAGACCCGGCCCAGTCACGGCATCTAGACCCAATGGACCCCGGAATAGCATGATGTTTACCTCCAGAGACCACGCATGCCCAGATAGTACTTGGATTATCTGGTTGTTCCGTGGCAGATTCTCTGGTAACACATCGGGGCTAGAGGTACTTAGGTAATTATGTGGATGGGTGTGTTGAGGCTACATAAAACTAGTGGGTGAAGCTGTTCAAATTCTCTATATATTTTCCTCTGCACGGCGATGACCAGGCCCCAGCTAGGTTTAGACTCCAACTCTGGATAACTCCCGCTTGTGGGCCTGCGTGTAAATCTAATCTTCCCTTATCATGACACCTATCGGTATGTATCTGGCATACTGTGTATAGTATCGGGGAATTTCGCCAAATGTTTAGCAACGCAGAGGTGATTGAGGACGGGTACCTGCCGACCTCATATGGACCGCTTGATAGAAGCTGGGGAAATGCTTGGCATCGACAACCCTAACCCTTGAATGGTATTTGTTTGGGCGGGGTGGGGCGTCGAAGTGCAGGCGACAGCTCTAACTCCCCTCAAAAGCTTCACCTTGCAAAGCCAGGTTAACAATACCTCTTGACAGAGGAAGAGACGCAGTATCCCACAGCAGCGAAGAATAAGACCGCATCTAGTAGACGGTCGCCAGAATGGCGCCCACATCGCCTTCTCCACACCCGGCGATGGCGAGCCCGCCGCCGGCCTTGCAATCTGATGCCTCCGAGCCGGCCTCGCCGATTCCGGAAAGACCCTCGTCTCCCGATCTGCCTCTGACCATGACCGCATCTACGGTGCTGATGTCTCTACCACGCGATGCAACCGCGGCCCTTGCTGCCGCCGGGGGGTTCCCTCAGGAGAAGATAGTTGTCCGGTTCAAGCCCGTTGGCTCCGCACCCCATCTTCGTCGCGATGTTGTCAAAGTCACCAGCTCGCAGAAGTTTGAGACCGTGGTGGCGCACATACGCAGGGCCTTGCGCGTACAGGACACAGAAAGCGTCTTCCTATACGTGAACAGCACCTTTGCTCCAGCTCTTGATGAGGTCGTTGGCAATCTATGGAGGGTAAGTTCTCCTCATGAAATACAGCGGAGGGCAAGACACCAACTCATGGATACAGTGCTTTAAAGATGCAACGGGCCAGCTTAATGTCTCTTATTCGCTCACCCCTGCTTTCGGATGAATGGAGCCTGGTTAATAAACTGCCGGTCAAATGACCAACGGTAACAGGGCAACCCGTATCAAGAGCATAGGTAAATATGTCAATCTGCCCTCATACTATCTAAGTTTGACAACGCTAAGGAGAACAAGATTATGGTATCCAAAAACAGACGCTATCACGCGCATAGGTACCGTCCAAAATGCCACCAAACGCCACTTATGCAATGAGACAATTCCGTCTCTTACCCCACGGAACCCAGCTGCAAAACTGGATAAAAACCGATGGGTCTGGGGCGATGAAGTGCTCTCACGCTTGTTCGACTGACTTGGCAAAGGCATCCAACTCATCCTTGGGAAGAGGATAGGTGTGCTCTGGGGCGGGGTATTGTCTGCTTTTCACCTCGTCTCGATAGGTTTCGATGGCTTTCAGACTCTCCGACCAGACATCACCGTACTTCTTGACAAATTTCGGAAGGAATCTTCCTGGTGGGAAGTTCCCCGACATGTCAACCTGGACAAGAACCTGGCCCGAGCAGCCATTTCCAGCGCCAATGCCGATGGTTGGAATCGACAACTTTTTGGTGATTATGCTGGCGACTTCGGCGGGCACAGCCTCGACGACTACGGCGAAGCATCCGGCTTCCTGGACAGCCAGGGCATCCTCGAGGATTTTCATGGCGCCATTAGATGTCTTGCCCTGTACCCTAAAGCCACCTAGAGCGTTCTGTCTTTGGGGGGTCAAGCCGATATGGCCAAGGACCGGGATGCCGGCTTGGGTGATTTTCTGGATAGTGGCAAACATCTCCTTGCCGCCTTCCAGCTTGACGCCCTGCACCCGCCCCTCCTTGATGCACCGGATGGCGCTAGCCAGAGCTTGCTCTGGAGAAATCTCATACGATCCCATTGGAAGGTCGCCGACCTGGAAGGGTGTCAGCATGCGACAGGCTGAGACAAGGGATAATGAGACCAACTTACCGTAAATGCCCCTTTGGTGGCCCGGGCGACAGACTTGCAGTGCAGCAACATCTCGTCCAATAGGATTTCACTGGTGTCCTCCATGCCCAAGGCTACCATAGCAAGGCTGTCTCCAACGAGAATTACATCCATGCCGGCATGATCGGCGACATGAGCACTCGGGAAATCGTGTGCTGTGATCATTGTGATGGGTTCGCCCTTCTTATGCAAGGCCCGCAAGGTACCAAGGGTGACTTTCTTGCGTGGGTTGGCCAGCGGGGTGCCCAGGGGAGAATGCGAACTTTGCCGGGTCTGCCGTGCCGATAGGAGTGGCCTGGCGGCGGCGGCGGCGAGGGTTGTCGGTCGTGCGCCCCGGGCCCGGGATACACACGACCTTAGCAGAGAGGTAGAGAGGTACATTAGGTACTTCAATGCCTATAAAACTCTTGTCTGTACTTTGGAGGAAAACTGTGGGTACAGTTGGCGAGAAAAAGGTGGACAAGATTTGAGATTCAATCACCGACACATGCAGGAGAGAAGAAAACAAGGAAACAAGTGGCAGCCATTGTTGGGGCGAATTTGCGCAGGTTTTATTGTCTAGGTCATGATGGTTTTTGCTGCGTACAATTGAGTATCTCTGGTAAATTTTTGGCGGAGTACTTTCTAAGCCGTTCAACTTCTTCTGGAAACGTCGCCCTTTTTGCCGAACCGCCGACGGCGCACCCTGATTGGGCTCTTACATGGGAAAGCCGAGGCAAGCTGGAATCTCAGGTACCGTGCTTCTATTATGTAAACTTCGCCATCGCCACCAGTGCGCAAAGTGCCAATAGGAGCAGGGTTGCTTCGGCTCCCATAAGCGACACTAAGGCTACTGTAGGTATTATTCATTTATGTAGAGATGTCATCCCGAAGACGGAACAGGATCATGAAGCTGGTCACAAGACCCCAGATCGTAAGGGGATCGCCAGGCTCTTCGAGTCTTAACAAAGTCTCTAAACAATACTCTACGCTAAACTTGAAAGCGAAGGCTCAAAGACGGATTCGGTACCACATCTCCCCAGTCTCCACCAGTATTCCGTGCTCCGTAGGTTGTCGGCTGCCCACGTGATCTCTGGCGTGCCGTTTCCATGTCTGTCTCCACAGGTTGGGTACCTTTGTAGTTAGGCAGTTTGTTCCATGCTATCAGCTTATCATGCAGTTCCAGCCCAGCGACTTGTGACACCTGGAGACTCCCGTCCTTTGCCATTTACAACACTCTCTCATGTTAGATTTCCCGCCCCTTCCATAACAGCAACACCTCAAACACAACTACGGCGAACAAGACTTCGATACTGCAACTCTTGCGACCCTGCAATCCACACACATCTCGATTCGCGTTGTGCCGACCAATTCACAGTCCCACGCAGTCCGAAGTCTGAAGTCCGATACTCGCCCTGTGACGACATCCTTAAGAACCCTCACCCCTTTCTGGCTCTGCACCACAATCAGGTCGCCAAAACCAACGACACTACAGCGGGCCCAACCAAAGCAAGCCCTATCCGCCTACCGGTATTAATACCCAGCCATCAGTCGCGATCGCCCTAGACATCCTGCCAAAATGAGTTCGCCCCGCCGCCGCATCGAGACTGACGTAAGTTCCCCTCACTCAACGCATGTTGTGGCTGTTTGTTCTTGCTAGGCTGACCCTCTCTTTGGCATTACAGGTCATGAAGATGTACTGCTTCCCGATCCATGGCATCGTGAGGATTGCAAGCTGACAAGGGTAGGCTCATGAGCGACTATGAGGTCACTCTGGTGAATGACAATAGTATGTTCGAGGCGCGCCACAGCTTTGGATAGAGAACAGCCGCAACTGACAGCCGACTAGTGTAAGGTGTAGCAATGCGAAGCATCGTCTCCAGCCCGCCATTAACTCGCAGCAAGGCAAGAGTTCTACGTGCGCTTTAAGGGACCCGCCGAAAGTCTGTCTACCCGAAATTGCCCAGTCATAAAGTCATGATTCGAGTCGCTGACAGGAGGATCCAGCTCCCTTCGAAGGCGGCGTCTGGAAAGTCCATGTCGAGCTCCCCGATCAATACCCCTACAAGTCGCCGAGCATCGGCTTCGTGAACCGAATCTTCCACCCCAACATCGACGAACTGTAAGTGGATGTGGCAAAGAAAACGACGAGGATATTCTGTCCCTGGGTAAAGAGAGAGGAACGAAGGAACGAAGGCTAAGAGCATCTGGGACTAGGTCTGGATCAGTCTGCCTGGATGTCATCAACCAGACGTGGTCGCCCATGTTTGATATGATCAACATCTTCGAGGTTTTCCTGCCGCAACTTCTACGTTATCCGAATCCTACCGATCCCCTCAACGGCGAGGCCGCTGCCCTGTTGATGCGGGAGCCTAAGAGCTACGATTCGAAAGTAAAGGGTACGGCGCCCGCCCCCTCTACACCCCCCGAAACGCCTTACTGGTGGCTTGAATTTGCGAGACTGACGTTTCGCTTGAATACAGAATACGTCCAGAAATATGCTAGCAAGGATGCAGCGGATGACGCCGGCGAAGAGACTGAGGATGATGACGACATGTCGTCTGTGGCAAGCTTTGGGGACGAAGATGACGAGCCTGCCGGACAGATGGACGACGTATAGCTGAACGCTGCCCTTTCTTTCGCTGCATTTTCAGGGTTAAGGGAGTTCATGCGGTTAACGGTCGGTCATCATTTACGGGCAGTCGTTGCTCGCCGGAGTTGCACAGGATTAAGCGCCCCTGGGTTGGTTTTCGCTGACCTCCGTTGGGAATGGAGTCAGTTGGCTTCTGAAGACAGATGCACGAGGAGGAGAGAAGGCGGAGATGTGATCACGAAAGAGTTGATGATGTACACCTATGGATCGTGACCAATCAACCTCAAACAACACATGAGCCAGCCCTGCGGATCGAGTCCCCTGGTTTGGCAAATGATAGATAGTGAGAGCTTTCGGGCCATTGCCAGCTCAAGAGAGCAACAGCCCCTCAAGCCCCGTCGTCCGTGACAAAACGGTCTTTGTAGTCCATGTTCTATGTGCCATGATGTGCATGTTCCTAGGTATCATTTTCGAAAATGCTCGAACTAAACAGCTGAACGCATATGGGACCCTCTCTTTCAATCCGAATCATAACTGACCAGACTTGACGTTGCCATTTTCATCATCGGCGGCTCGCCTTCCGGAGGGTCAGGTCCGTCTTCGGCCCGCCGTTTCCTGATGATTCCCGGGAGACGGGTCGGCGTCTTGGAAACCTCCTTACTGCCAAAAGCCAGGAACGGATCCTTTGCGGCCCGCGTGTTACCGACGACCTCAGAAACGAGGCTCTCCCGCCTCTTCGACGCTGCCAGCTCGGATTTCAGTTTTCCTTTCATCTTCGCCATCGGCCGCTCAGGCTCCCTCCCGCGGCCCAACTCGGCCTCGCCAGCCCTCACCCCAAACAGAGGCCTCGCCAGAGCCTCGTCTACGCGTCCCCTGCCGGCCCCGTCCCCGATCACGGTCCCGTCCCCCTCCTCCTCCTCCTCCGGAACGGTGCCAAAATCGACCAACCTAGCCCTCACGGTGTCCTCCTCCCGCGCAGCCACGAGCTCGATGCCGAGGCTCATCCGGTCCCTCAGGTCCTCCGCCCGCGCGGCCTCGCCCTCCCTCGCGCGCCTGCCCTCGCGGAACGCCCGCCTCAGGCGCCGGTTGCGCGCGTACGGGTCCTCCCACTGGCGGGCGGCGGCGTCCCGCAGCTCGCCGATGCGCTCCGTCGCCACGGCGACGCGGGCGCGGTCCTCGATCGTCCGCTCCAGCTTGGCGAAGGCGCGCTCGCGCCCGTCGCGCCGCTCGGCCTCGGTCACGATGGCTCCGGCTCCAGCCCCCCCCTCGCCGACGCCGAAGCTGGAGTCGCCGACGAGGGAGTCCCCGGGCTCGGGGCGCGCGTCCTCGCGGCGGCGGGCGCCCGAGACGACCTCGTAGGCGGTGTTGCGCGGGTCGGTGCGGATCTCGATGTCCGCGCCGCAGTCGGCGTGGCGCATGCGGAAGGAGAAGATCGGGGTGGAGTGGTAGGAGCCGACGCGGCGCTTGGCGGCGTTGAAGCGCACGCCCTGGCCGATCAGGGTCGGCTTCGGGCAGCCGGCGCACCAGATGGCGAAGGGCATTTCGAACCGCACCGTCAGGGAGCCGTCGGCCGGCAGCCGCGACGCCCGCGAGCCGAGCGGGTGCTTGCCGTGCAGCCGGTTGCCGGACATGACGCCCTCCTGGTCCGGCGGGACGTACCGCCCCATGTTGAAGCCCTGCATCCTGGCGGCGGTTTCTGGCTAGTGGGTTGTCTGCTTTAACGGGACGAGCCCAGGGTTCGGAAGAAGGCGATTCGTCCTTCCGCCGTCCTATCAATCGGCGGATGATTGTTGCGTTGGCCTCATTGGTAAAGTGCTGTCGCAAATTCCGGTGGTCAAGTTTTGTTTTGTGATAGTCGGATGTCGATAAGGCAACGTGGGGTTTGATATCAGAAGCCAGTACGTACCTGTGGCGAGACGCGACACCGGAAAGTAAAACTCAACGAAAAATAGTACCCAATAAAAATTAAAAATAGTCTTTTTAAAACCGCAGTTTACATGCGCTCTTTTTCAATGTGTTGTCAATCAAATATAGCCTAGAGAGTGTGGTGGTGCAAGGCCTATAGTAGAGACATAGATGGACTAGACACCTACATAAGCTTGTAGCTTGTTTACCATTACAGGATTCTTGTCGATTGAAATCAAGCTGGCCAATCTGCGACTATTGACCAGATAAAAAAATAGTTGTAGAATGGTCAGGTTCATCTCAATTGACAAGAACCGTTTAATGGTAAAGTGGTTTAGGTCTTGGGATGAGAAGTTCATGCGGGGATCCTGGTCCTGGAGTTGGTGGAAGGGTGCATGGAACATTTGATTGCTCAGTAGTTACACCAAGGTATGCTGCAATTAACCTGTTGCTGTTCCAGCGGTCCAGCTAGGCGGGCGGTCCTCCACCCTGGTGCCCCAGTCTGATTCCTCGCCGCCTAGCTCCAGCTCGAGCACGCCCCCCTCGGTGAAGAAGTCATGGGTGATCCAGCTCTTCTTCCACGGCTTCCCGTTCAGCGTAGCGGATTCGACATACAGGTTCTTATAGCTCGGGTCAAACCCGATATTCCTCACCGTGGCAGTCTTCCCCGTCTGCGGGTTGGTCACGCTGACCTCCTCGAAGAAGGGCGGCGAGATGAGATAGACGTTCTGGCCCGCTACGGGGAACAGACCGATCATGCTGAAGAAGAGGAAGCTCCCCATTGTCCCCGAATCGTCATTCCCGGGCAGCCCGCCAGTGCCGGTGTTGAAGGAGGACGGGATATAGTCGTGGATCCGCTTGGTGGAGAGAGCCGGGCGGCCTGCGTAGTGGTACAGGTAGACGGTCAGGAAGACTGGTTCATTGGAGATGTCCGCCAGCCCCGAGGTATGGAAGAAGTCCAGACGGCGGAGGAACGACTCCTCACCGCCGAGGAGGGTGATCAGCGTCGATATCGACTGTGGGACGATGCTGCTCGGGGTTAGTTTGCATCCCTCAGAGACATAGCAATAGCAGCGGCGCTGCTGGCTCACTCACAATTGATACTGCCAGATACTCGCCTCAAATGTCTCGCTGGGATTCGACGTCAGGGAGCAGAAACCAGCCAGAGCTGAACAAGCGATCGGATCCTGGTATCCCCATGTGCCATTGAGATACTTCGGCTGGAAGAATCCCGTGAAGCCCGTGTCGTTTCCGTTGATTAGCGACTTCTGATCAGCTCTCCACAGGTTCTGCCAGTTCGCGCTCCTCGCGATGTACTTGTCGTAGACATCCATTCTCCCGAGCCCCTCGCCGAGCGTTGCTAGACAGAAGTCATTGTAGGAGTATTCCAACGTGCGTGAAATACTGCGGGAGTTCGTCCCAAAGCCGACCGGGTCGAAATCGAGGTACGGGATATAATCCAGCTTCTTCCAGCTCTGCAGCCCACCTCGGCCCTCATGGCTCCACTCCAACGGCTCGTTCTCTGCGTCGTTGATGATGGCTTCCAGCGCTAGATTCCAGTCAATCTTGGTCGTGAGATTCTTGACGAAGGAGTCGACGAGGACCACATCAGCATTACTTCCCCCCTGAGTCCAACCCTGGCAGAGGGACATGCGGCAGTCCGGAAGCCAACCTTCGTGCTTGTATATGTCCAGCAAAGAGGCCAGCATCTGGACCTGCGCTTCTGGGTCGATAACGGTAAGGAGTGGGTGTTGGACCCTGAAAGTATCCCAGATGCTGAGGTCGGTCAGCACTCCACAAATCATATCTCTCGTCTGACGAGAATTCTTACCAGTAAAACGAGTCGAAATACGGAATTCCACTATCCCAATACGGGTTCTCGCCAGTGTAGTTCTGCGGCGACATCATGGCGCGGTACAGCCCGCTGTAGAGGCTCACCCTGAGATCGTCACTGGCGCCCCCCGGAACAACAGAAACCGGGCTGAGTTTCTGTCTCCAGGCATCTTCGGCTGACTGCACAAGACCCGAGAAGCCAGCGATGGGATCGGGCACCTCCTTCTCAGCGTTGCTGCAGGCTTGGTCCACGCTGATGAAGCTCACCCCGACTCGGGCGGTGACCGAGTTGTTGACCAGGTTTTGGAACCTCACAAAGCCGCCCGCTTCGGCGTAGAACAGGTTGAAGCCTCGGGTTACGAATAACTCCTTGGGCTCGGTCCCAGCGCGGCTGTTGACCCACACTCCCGAGTCGAACAGCTCGGCACCGAAGAAGTCAACGCAGTAATGCAGTACATACGAGCCCGCTCCGAAGCTGGGAAGAAATGTCCCGTTGCCCTTCATCCGTCCCGTCTTAGCGTCGACACTGACCGACGCATTCTGCCTGCTCTGCCATAGATCCGTCAGGTCAAGAAGGATCAGGGGGCGCTGTTCAGCGGCGGCGCCCGTCTCCGCCCCGGCCGACCCGTTGCCGGGCGCATATCCTCCCCCTCCACCGCCAAGCGGGAACTCGAACCTCATAACGGCGGTCCGGTCCGCCACCGCCATCTCCGCGACGACCCCGGTCCGCAGCCCGAGCTTGAAGTACCCCGGCCGGGCGACCAGCGAGTCGTTCAGGTAGGGGACCTTCCTGTCGCCGATCCTGAAGGAGCAGGCGTTGAGCTCGTCGCCGGGGCAGAGCTGGGGGAAGAGCGGAAAATTGCCCAGGCTGGGGTTCCCGCCGGTGCCCGAGTCGTGCATGGTGCTGAATCCCGTCACGTTGCTGCCGTCGGTGGCGAAGCCGCCCGTGTTCTGCCCGTCGACGTCAGCGACCGCCTTGGCGAGGCCGTACGGCTGCGACGCCCCCGCAAAGACGTTGCCCTCGTTGCTCGTGCCTATGAGGGGGTCCACGAACGCGAGGGGGTCGAAGGAGGAGGCGACGGCCGGGGTGATGAGGGCCGACAGCGTCGGTAGGACCGTCAGAGGGGCGAGGCGGAGGGCGGTTGTTATGGCCATGGCCAAAACAGAGGATGCCATAGTTTTTGCCTACCTGGCTGTCCGATCTCTGCTGGTGCACTCGTCCACAAGAGGAGGAGACGGCAAGATATATTGAGAGATACAACCACCCGGAAATCACAGAGCGGGGTCCCGGATGATATTGAAGCGGGAGGACCAAGTGACGGGAAATACCTACCTTCCATGCTTACCTGGTAAATATCTGATGGATGGTAGCTTCCTGTTCAGCAATATCTTGCCCGGAACGGTGGCTATACCTGCAGTTGCTAGAAACTCTATCGCCATATGTCTTGCTTGCATTCGTCGTGATCGACGGCGACCCCGCGCTGTATGCGCCCTGAAGGGGCAGGTGGTTTTGAGATTCCACAAGGTAAGACGTAGGTACCTACCTCTATGTATATACATACCACTGTAATCCGTACGGATCCGTACATTATCAAGGTTGATGATTGAGCGGGGTGGAAGCAACCTACTACCCCTGTGTTTAGAGAGGCTGCTCTCAAATCACCGTCTTCAATGTAGGTGGGCTCCACGATGATGTCACACATTTGGTTGGCTCATGGAAGCTACAACTGAGGTTTATGTGTATGTTCAATTCGGTTCAGGAGTTTTGTGGCCAAATATCATATATTATGGTGATATAATCTCAATAATTAGAGCCACGGAAGATGTCAAGTTGTCAAGAGTTCAAACTATGTACTGCAAATCCATCGACGTTGGCAACCCCCAGAACTTGAAACGTCGCAACCACTCTTCGTCTCGGGTAATTGCAAAGGCCAGGTGGTTGCTTTTCCAATAACAACTACCTTACCAAAAGAGAGAAAAAGAGACAAAGATGATTTACCTGTCCAGCAAATTTAGTTATCGGAGTGTTTAATCTAAAGAGCAACTAGACGCGGTTGATGATGATGATGGACATCTACCAGCTCAACTTCGCCGGCCTCCTGGGTCTCTGCGCAGTCTTGTCTCTCGCGGGGAGAAAACCGGCCCAATCCGCGGGACAGAGGAAACAGTGCAAGGAGAGTTCTAAAGTATCACAATCGCCTTTCCTGGTGGTGTATTCGCTGGTGATGGGAGCAGACTGGCTGCAGGTATACCAGGGCATTCATTGTCTCCTGCTGAATCGCCCAAGACGCTAATTCCGAATCCAGGGCCCTTTCTTGTTCTCTCTGTATAGGGACGAACATGGTGTCAGCTCGAGTCTAGTTTCAGCCCTTTTCACGGCGGGGTTCCTTTCCGGTGCGGCCAGCGGTTACTTCGTCGGCTCTGTGGCCGACAGGCACGGTCGGAAAGCGGCCTGCCTGTTCTTCTGCCTGGCATACTCGGCCTCGTGTCTCCTGACCATGATACCCAATGTGCCCTTGCTGTTCCTGGGCCGGGCGCTGGGTGGGCTCAGCACGAGCCTCTTGTTCAGCGTGTTTGAGGGCTGGATGGTGACCGACTTCCACAATCAAGCGCTGGGGGAGAAGGGGGGCGATATATCACGTACCTTCGGCCTCATGAGTACCTTGAACAGCATCATGGGGATCCTCAGCGGAGTCCTCAGCGAGTGGTTGGTTTCCGTGACCGGCACACGGAAGTCGCCATTTGCCGCCAGCATCGCGCTGCTCGGCCTTGCCTTTTGGGTAATTTGGTCGCAATGGGTATGTCCCCACCCCTTTCCCTTCCACTTCCCTCGGGGATGGGCTAGCGCCACTTACCGGCCACATATAGGATGAAAACTATGGCGATGCTGCGGTGAAAGAGAAGCGGCCAGAGAAACAACCAGCCGAACCCAGACGGCTCTGGTCCATCTTGACCGATTCCCAAGTCATATCCCTCGGCCTCGCGTGCACCACGTTCGAAGGCTCCATGTATCTCTTCGTCTTCTTCTGGACACCTGCCCTGAAGTCGGTGCACGCCTCGAGCGGCGGGCTCCCCTACGGCATCATATTCGCCAGCTTCATGGCTTCCATCCTCGCCTCTTCTCTGGCATTCAACATGGCCATGGAGCGAAGGCTGCTGAAGTACTCGAGTCTCCTGCTCGTGATATTTGGCGTCGCCGGCCTCTGCTTTTTCCTCGCAGCTCGCCCTGGGTCGGAACAGTCGACGTTCTGGATATTCTGCCTCTTCGAAGCCGCAGTGGGACTGTATTGGCCATGTATGGGGTATCTGAAGGGGAAACTGGTCGACGACGGGATCCGAGCCCAGGTCTACTCGATTCTGAGGATCCCTCTGAACGTCTTTGTTGTCATGTCTTTGATATTCACAGGGGACGGGGATTCCTTCGGGTCGGTGTTTTCTACCTGTTCGACCCTTCTCCTGGCGTCTTGTGGCATGTTGGCGATCGGCTTTCTCAACAAGGAAGCCCCATAGGACCCGACATGCTAGCTGTAATACCGCCCATCGTTGTAGGCGACCCAACACAAGAACTCCGGAGCGAAGACGCGAGCATCGCATCACAGATAGAATGCATTGTCAGGACCTCGGTCGATCGGCGGGGTAATAGGTAGATCATATTATACCATGCATTCAATGCTATAAAACGATAGCTTTCCCCAGAAATGGTTCCGCACAGGGATCGACCGGCTGTAATGTCAATCATTGCAAGTCGCATAAGCTCCAAGAGTGTGGCTGGCGTCGATCACTTCGCTTCGTGAGCTGTCAAGTACAGCTTCCATTGATATATGGTCGTGGAACGATCAAAAGTCTGCCTTTGATTAACGGAGTACTCTCTGACATAGCTCAAAACAGCTCGGCCACCCTTCACTCCTCAAACGTCCCATCGCCCCTCATCCTCCCAATAACCGGCTCCAGCAGCCGCGGCAGCAGCTCCGCCGCGTCCCCCGCGAACGCAAAGTCGAGCGGGTCCAACTCCCCGAGGTTCTCGGGCAGCTCCGCGTCGAGGTTGACCGTCGCGACGCACGTGCGCTCCCCCTGCGCGAGTCCCACGTACGACGCGGCCGGGTGCACGACGGCGCTGGTGCCGACCACCAGCACGAGGTCGACCTCGTCCGCCTCGATCCACGCGCCCACGCCCGCCAGCATCTCGCCGTCCAGCGCCTCGCCGAACCACACCACCCCGGGCCGCTGCAGGCCCGTCCCGCACCGCGGACACGGCGGCAGCTCCGACGCCGGGATGCGCGCCAGCTCGTGCGCCGGGTCCAGCAGCGGCAAGGGCCCGTCCGGGTCCACCGGGTCTTCGGCCGCCGCCGCCAGGGCCGGGCAGAACGGGTCGGCGTAGTTGCCGCGCTCGACCCAGCCGCATCGCCCGTTGGAGCACTTGACGTCGAAGAGCGAGCCGTGCAGGGCCCATAGCCGGTCGGGCGGGTGGTTGGCGCGCTGGGAGAGCCCGTCGACGTTCTGCGTCAGGCAGAGGAAGCCGCTGTGCTTCCTCGCCAGGGCGGCCAGCGCGTAGTGGCCGGCGTTGGGCCTCGCCTTCAGGGCCATGTGGCGCCTGTAGGCGTAGAAGAGCCAGACTAGGCCTGGATCCGCCTGGAAGGCCTCCGGGGTGGCTAGTCTGGTGGCCTCGTGGTTCCTCCACAGGCCGCCGGCGCCGCGAAAGGTTGGGAGGCCAGACGCTGCCGACAGGCCGGCGCCACAGAGTGCGAGGATGCGCCTGCTCCTGACGAGGACCCTGTGGAAAGCCTCGATGTCGTTGAAGGCGTGAGTTGCCATGATGCGGGTCAAAAACCGGAAGCCAGAAGAAGAACACGGGAATTTGGAAAAGTTGACTTGGAGGCGAGGCCCCGCATTCCCGTCACAGGGACTTGCCTGTATGTAATCTGTATGTATTATGTACTACTTGGATCTGCATGCATCCATGCCCGCTTGGAGGGGCTCTGCGGAACCGGCCGCATACGACGAGACTAGGAGAAAAGGTTGGGCATGGACATAGGGACGTAGGTAAAAACGACCTAGAGCCTGGTAATGCCGTCCCCAAACGGGGACAACTGTCGAAAATGGCAAGCAAGGGCAGCAGGCAGGTTCAGGATCACTGCGAAGGCACTGGAGTCTTGTTTTAACAATAGCTAGTTCTCGAGGTACCATCCATACCGAGGCCGTAGTAAGAGGGAATGCTGTCAACCCCTTCTGTCAAGTATATTCAATCCGGAAAACCAACCAGCTATCACCGACACCAAGAGCTCCCAACGCTCGGCCTTGGAGCGGCAATGCCGGTATTCCTTGCGCAATCATCCATTCTATCCCGAGGCATCGTGATTATGCATTGCTAGGGTGTGCCTCTCTCACCCTTGGCAAGACCGAAGATATGTAAGGTATTCAAAGGCCCCGACTGCAACGATACAGTTCTGATGCAAGCAAGAGGGAGTGCAGCCGGGCGAAAAAAAAAAAGAAAGATAAAATCGCGAAGAGGCAAAAAGAGCTCGGTGCGGGAGAGATGCCACGTGAAAATCAACCCAGTCCCGAAAAGCTTAGAGGGCAAGGGAGCCCAGGAACATGGCAGCGCCAAGCGCCGCGACGTTGCCAAGAGTAACAGCGACGTTGCCCGCAGCGTTCGTGGGAACAGTTGTCGGTGTCGTCGACGGAGTGGTGGTCGCGCCAGTAGCGGTGGGGCCAGTTCCGCTGACGGTGCTGCTGGAATCGCCCGCGGTAGCAGTCGAGTTTGACGAGACGGTGGCGCTGGCTGACGGCGAGTGGCTAGTCTTGGAGGAGGTGCTGGTCTTGGAGGTGCTCGACGAGGTGCGGGAAGACGAGGGAGAAGGGTCCACATCCGTGGAGCCCCCGGTCTTGACGATGATGCTCCCAAAGGTGCCGGACGAGTCACCATAGACGTACTCACTGGCGCCCTTGACGCCGTTGCTATAGTTGATGATGGAGACCTGCTTATAGTAACCAATGAACGGACCGTTGGCGTAGTTGGGGTAACCACCAGCCCACTCGACGGTGCCCGGAGCAGCGTCCTTGCGGCCAGCAACCCAGGTGCCCAGCTTGATCTGCATTGGGGTCTGGGGATAGGTAGAGCCGCCCTTGGCATCGGCGTAGTTCAAGACACGGACGACGGCATCGTCAATGAGCCAGGTCAGGGACGAGTTGGTCCAGTCGATCGTGTACTTGTGCCACTCGTTCTGGGGGTTGGAGACGGGGGAGAAGCCGCCCCGGTCGTAGGTGCTGTCGTCGCCCTTGCTGAAATAGTTTGTCTGGACCTGAGCGCTGTCGCCGCCGAGCCACTCCCAATCAATCTCGTCCAAATCATCTGACTGCAGTACGAGGCTAGTGACAATACCATTGCCGGGGGACGCCTTGAGCCAGACGTCGACCTTTCCGAAGAAAATGTATTGCTTGCTCGTGATGGTGGGAGCATTAGAGTCACTCGAGATCTTGAAGTGGGCGCCATTCTGGGCGTCATAGGTGAGGGTCGTGCCGTCCGCGAGGGTGAAGAAGTCGCTCGCGCCCTTAGTGAAGTCGACCTCGGCAGTTGGAGCGACGGCCTTATCCGCAGGGCACTCTGGTAGCGAGTTAGCCGGTCGGGTCCTCAAACCACTGTGAACATGAACATTAAACTTACTGTCACCCTTGACTGGGTTGCAGAGAGACGAGGTCTGGGCAGAGACGAGGCTCGTGGCCGCAAGAGCCACGGCCGTAGCCGAGATCAGTCTGGAAAACATTGTTGCCTGGGGTGTGCTGGTGTGGTGTATTTGGATCAATAGATGTTCCGAGCGAGCAGAAAGTATGTTCGCGATGACTCTAGTGCGTCCAAAAAGGCGAGGTGAAGAAACGAGTTTAAGGTAGCTGTTTGGAATGGAGAGTGAGACGGCTGTGCAAGGTAAACAGCTGGGGGTTGTGGCATATAAATAGGTACCTACCTAGGCAGCTGATGATAGTTGGGCGAGGAAGGTGCGTGGAGGTGACTTCCTCCAGCTATTACAAGGCTGGCAAACGGCAGGAAATAAAGTCGGGACTACAACACGGAGCGAGCGTCGGGTGTAGTTCGAGAAGCTGTAAACGAGAGACAGAAGCAACCAAAGAGGATTAGACAGAATGAGAAGGAGGTGGTGCAGGAGGGTGGAAACTAGAAGAGTCAGGAGAGATGGGGAGAGTCGTGTGTTTTTATTTGCTTGTTAGTGGCAACGTCCTGACAGGATGACCCAGTCACCGAGTGACCCAGCTTACCCAGCCTCGCTGCAAGCTAGTGGTACCTACCCTCGACTGGCACTAGCCAAGGCAACAAACACTCAGATGAGGGCTGGGCAGCGATGGGCCGTTGGAGGGATGGTGCCTGTTTCTAGATTGTGGCGCTGCTTGTTGGTGAGTTTATCCCTGGTTAGAAACGCAGACCCATGTCACTTGCCCACTTTGCCCAGATCCCCAATTTCACCAATTTCTAAACGAGGCATGGGGGCCAATTGGCTTTGAATACGAAATGCCACTTCTGGCACCCTATCCTGCCATCTCGCAGGCGCCACCGACCCTCGATGTTGAGCGACCTTGAGCTGACAGATTCTGACGGCAGCACGGCAGCACGGCAGCCCACGGCAGCATCATCTGGGTATCTCGTGTTCCCACCTTGGACCCCTTCACCTTCTCCACAGTAATGGAGAACGTACCTGGCGTGTTTTGGAGGAGGGAACTAGGGGGCTTTTAGTGGACCTAGGGGCGGTTGCCCTGGCTGCCCCTGTAACAGAGCGCCGAATGCGTCGAATCAGTCGTGATGCTCATTCGCCAAGGGTCTTGGGGGGGCCTGAGTAAAATGTGTTTGAATTTCGACGTGTCTTTGGATTTTCCATCTTGCCAAGGCCCAAGCACGGAGCTGAATCCTGGCTCACGGTTGGGGGACCCTGCGTGGATCCCGCGGGTCATACAGGGGAAGAATAGGGGACGGCGGGACCATATTGAATGCAGCCAATCGGACGAACAGCCTTCTCATATGAATTATGCCGTTGATGCGTCGGCGCTACCGCTAGAGGCGTACAATTTACCACAAATTATTATGGACAAAGGTGAGGTAACACCAGCAGATTGGTACGTTGTATTCCGTATTTGGTCAGGAATGCGGGCAACCACACAGGTCACGCTTCTAGGTGGGGCGAGGGTCTGCAGGTCAGTTGCACCCAACGGCGCCAAATTTAGCATTCGTCTGACTCGTCCCTGCTTTGACCGTCATTTGGCGTGGTTCGTGTTCTGGACTGCGCCTTTGTCAACAATGTTGCCAAGAACCTCTCTTCTGACTGTCAGGCTGGAATGGGATGGCAGTCACCTTGTTCATCCTCGTATGAAAAGTTGAGTCATCGCTGTCCTATGGGAATTCGAAATAGCAGGGTATATTTCCGCATTCAACTACCTATTGGCGCTGCCCTATGCATATTATATTATCCCTTGCGCCGATGCACGAGATGTCCGTGCTAGCATGGCCGCACCCCAAGCTCCATTGCTCATCCACTGAAACCCCGTTTCGAAACAGAGCTGCGTTCCCAGCATGGTCCCCAAAACCCGGTCGGCTCTGGAGGTCAGCATTGTGACATCCCTAAAGAAGGTTTGAAGATGATGACTTGACTCCATGGTCGTAAGAATTGTCGGACCAGGCTGAATGAAGTCGTCGGGAGATTCCGCATTGACGCTGGACGGGGCTCCGTATCGTCAACAGAAGCAGGTGCTCTCGCACTCGATACCTTTACGATCGAGGCCGAGGCCCCAGCTGCATGTAAGACGGGTAAATGTACATACGGGCTTGTAGACTAGTCGAGGGCGACAGGAGGCTAAATCCCCCAAGGCCTCCAACCACCTTCACTATGTAGACAGAAACAGGGCAAATCCCCTATATTTCCTATATCCGAGATCACGCCTCGTTTACCACGGGTAACGAGCTGCGAATGATTGGGGAGAGCATGCGCAGTAGGGGTTCGAATCGACAGAGCTGGTTGGCCACAGACCTCTGCGGCTGAGACCTAGACATCCCAATTTCACACGCCGTATACAGCCGAGGGGCGCATTCAAGAAATCATGATAGGCTCACGCGGGTAAGGAGAATATACTCTTCTCTCGACAATGTTGAGAAGAGAGGGGTCAACCTTGCGGTTGTTGTTAAGAGGGGGCTCGGATCGCGGGAAAGGCTACATGTAGGCGTGAGGGAAACCAAGCATCATAAAACGTCGTGGGCAAAACGCCGTGGCAAGCTAGACTCACGGGTGTATGATGGTGGCCGGAAGTCAAATCTCTGGTGTCATATGCCTTGACACCACTTCCACTTCAAACACAGACCTGTTGCGTGTCTGTCAACGCAGCTCGCAACTTCGATGTCTGAGTCAGACTGTCAATTATAGGCAGCATTGAAAGACAGCAACCAAGCACGACGTCTCTCAAGAATACGATATCGTCTGCAAATTCTGCCATAGTGGACGCCTTGCCATCCAAGCCAGGTTAATCTGGTAATAGATATACATCGTACTAAGCCGCGTGACCAAGCTCCGGCCTCGGTACTCATGCTGGAGAACCTCGTTTGCTAGTGTCATCAGTAGGCTTGTCCCAAGCTTCCCGTAACCTTCGCATCGAACAGCCGCAAGGGCTCTGTGGTCCAGCCATCCATATATCTGTGATGACACTGTTGGGTCAACTCCACCATGCAGAAGTGGACAAGTTGAGCAAGCGCCTTTGATGACGGCAATTATCCAATCTTCAGTTACGTGGTGCAGCAGAGTGTTCTGCTGAGATGCCCTGAAACACCCAAGATGCTTCTTCAAGCGCGCGAAGAGAGTGTAATAGAACTACCTACCTAGGTATTTCCTAGCCAAGGTACAGCCATCGCCGGAACTATATCGAAAGTAGGTAGTAAAGCGGGGGCGGGGGAGGAGCCAACAGTGAACCGTATAAAACCTACGATCCAGAAACCTTAGCTTGAACAACCAACAAGTTCGCCCTAAGCTTGGCTGAAATAATAGACTGTGCAGTAGGGCCTAAGCACTCCTGCATCTCGTTCCCAGCATCTGCATTTGCGGCACTGCGCCGGCCAAGGACAATGAGATTATGCCATGTAATTCCTCCCGAATCCAGATGAATCTCCGATTTCGAGTAGCTCAGAACTGCCTGTCCGATGTTGCTGACAGGCGCCGATTTAAACTCGACCCGCGGGGCCACTGCGGCCGGGACATGTGTAGAGACGTAGCCGAAGTAATCAGTGTCGTCAGTCGGGGGTCCGTCCGTAGAGAGATGGACCACCGTAGCGGTGGCATCTTGTTTCTCGCAGAGCTGAAGGACAAGCGTAAGGGCGAACCTATCATCCTTGCCGCCAATGAATGGCATAAAGATGTGATGGGCCTGGTTCGTCACTGGTAGGGGTGCAATTTCGCGGTGTATGTCATTGAACGAGTATGCTCGCATCAGTTTGTTGCGCTCCTGGGCCTGGTCACTACCTGGCCAACTGCGGCTGCCGTTGGGGAAGAAGATGGCGATGTTGTGGTCGACCGATGCGAAAACCGACTTGGCAAAGTTTGTGTATGACGACGCAAGCTTGCTATCGGACGAGGAGGCCTGCGGGTCGCTCAAGTTCCCCGTCTCGCTCCAGGGGAGAAGAATAAGGTCCGACGAGATATCCGAGGACTTGGCCAGGAGCGCCTCGGCGAAGCGGCTTTCCGGCATGACGGCTACTTCGGCGGAGACGGCAACCTTGAGGAATTGGCCGACGGTTCGGAAAAGATTGACTATCGGGTCATTTCGGGTGTGCTCGTCCACCTCCGACACGGTCATGACCGACGAGTCACGGTCGGTCAGCTGGATCAAACGGAGGCCATGAGCTCTGACGGCCTTGGCCCGGTCGGTCAAGCCTGTGGCGAGTCTCTCGAGGGCGGTTGAGCCCTCGTCTTTGGCAGGGTGCTCTCGAGGCTCCGAGATGGTTGAACTGCCAAACAGGGACACGAGATTCAGCATAGCAGGCATGTTGTCCAGCCTCAGGTACACCAGCAGGTTTCGAACGCGATTGCTGGCCGGCTTCGCCAGATCCGCAACTTCGCCAATGCTGTTGGGGCCTGAAATCTGCTCCCCACTGTCCCAGTCAATCTCGCCGCGTTTCCAGGCCTCGAGCTTCTTCTGGTACCACGGGGGATACAACACAGACACAAGTGGTGTGGTTGCGAAGGTGGTCAGAAGGGCCATGACGACGAAGATGGTAAAGGTTCTTGTGCTCAGGATCCTAGCTTGCAGCCCGATATTCTTCGGAGCAGTTAGCGACGGGTCACTCGACGGGACGGGTAGTATAAGTTCCATACCAGCACAATCAGTTCGACGAGACCCTTGCAGCTCATCAGGGCGCCGATAGTGAGCGACTCCCTCCAAACCAGACCGTTCAGTCGAGCAGCAACGGAGGCGCCGATTATCTTGGTGAGGAAAGCGGTGAAGGTGACGGCAAAGACGTAGGCCCAGGTAATCCCGCTATCGAGCAGCCCCAGGTTGGTGTTGAGGCCGGAGAGGGTGAAATACAGCGGCAGGAACAGGGCGCCAATTAAATCCTCCAACTTTTCAGTCACTTTGATAGCGAAGTGGTTTTCACGAGGTAGGATCAAGCCGACCGTGAAGCCGCCAAAGATGGCGTGGACGCCAATGACGTCGGTGAAGAAGGCCGATGCGAGGGTAATCAGGAGGATCAGAGCAATCATGCTCTGCGATGGTCCGTTGTCAATGTTGCCCGTCCGACGCAACAGCCACAGGAGGCACGGCTTAACAGCGAAGAACAGAAAGATCATGTAGCCAAGGCAGACCAGCAGGATCCAGAGGGCAAGTATGCCACTTGAGGCATTCGCGAGGGCGACGCAGAGGGCGAGCAGAATCCACCCTGGGTGCCCGTCAGCATTGCTTGGGAAGAGTTCAAGTGGAGGGACAATCATACCAACGACATCATTCGCGACACCGGCCGACAGGGTAACGACACCGGCGGAAGTGCCAAGCAAGTTCAGCTCCGTCAAGATTCTGCACAAGACCGGAAACGCCTGTACAAGTATTGTGTTAAAACCAACCCCTGATGCGATAGGATAGGCACGGGGGCCGGAGGGCCGGGGAAGTTACCGTGATAGCAATGGCGACGCCGATGAAGAGCATGTACACGCTGAAATTGATATCTATGATGCCCTCGTCATCGGAAAACTGGCGATGCAACCCCCAGGCCAGAGCACAGCCCAGGGCAAACGGCAGGGCCAGGCCGGCAAAGGCGACAGAGGAAGCGACTCGCCAGTTGCTTACGAGGAATCGAACGTCCGTCTCCAGTCCGATGAGGAAAAGATACAAGACAAGTCCGAGATTGGCAACGAGAGTGAGGTTCGCAATGGACTCTTGCGGAAAGATGGTAGCTCGAAAGTTCGGGATCCGGCCCATCACTGAAGGACCGAGTATGATACCGCCCACAACCTCGGCGACGACGCGGGGTTGGCGAATCTTGGAGAGGGGCCAGTGCAGCAGGTGGCATATGATGATGATCAAGCCGGCCTGTCATGACAGCGTCTCGTCAGCTCAACGCTCGCGAGACCGGGAGACGGCGAGACCACAAGACTGGGGCAGCGATAAGAAACAGACCTGGATGATGAACATGGGGATCGGGTCCTTCGGGTTGTATACCGCAGGGTTTAATCCGCCGATAATGCCTCCCTGCGAGGGAGCTCTCGCAGCCCCCGCCACAGGCGGTGCTGTGGTGTTTGTCGACATGATTTCTACTCCCAGTCGGGAGGGTCGAAGTGCAACTGGAAGCAGCAATTGACGACGGACATACCTATTTAATACGGGTTTAAGGTTGAGCTTCCAACTGGGTAGCGGTCAAGGTGGGATGGTGGGAGATCACCACAGCTGACCCCACTTAATGAGCCGTTAGGGTGTGGGCTGGGGAATGGAAGGAATCGCGCTACTGCAGAGCTGTGCAGCTGGGCACATGCTTGCTTGAAGCAACCCCTCATGGGCTGAAATCTCCAATGGCGTGCTTGACCATTGCATGTGAAGAGAGAGCAGTTCGGGGAAGAAACAAGGGAGCAAGCACGCTAAAATGGGCCGCCTGACAATTTCCATGTTGTCGAAGGTGTTCTAGCCCTCCACTTCCAATCCTTCCCCTCAAGTGGTGATTGTGATTGGGAGACCGCATTGACTCCATTGACTCCCGTCAATGGCCCTCTCCTCTCTGCTAAAGCTTGGGGATGAGCTGGTGATCAAAAGGAGAAACGTTTTCGATCGTTTATATATGAGTCACCCACACACTCTCCCCCTCTTTGCTTTCCTGTTTTCTTCCCTTGTTGAAGCTCCATCCCATCGCCTCTCTACCTCTCCCGGATCAGTTGTAGAACCTTGTCGATGTCTAAAACATGGAAAGTTGTTTTGCTCGCCAAGACGACCACGACAGGGCTCGTTTGCTTCAGCACCATCCTAATACCATGGATTGCGATCACAAAGGTGCCGGCTTCGAACTGATTACGCCAGAGCTCTCGTCTCCGTTGCTCAGTGTTCATCAAGCATTCCTAGGAGCTCGCGTCGTGCTGGCCATGGTGGGACATAGATATGGTGCTATGAGTTGGAGATTAGAAATCAGGACTCCGGATCTCTATCACATGGAAACCCTAAAGGGTGCCTCGTGGGAATCTGGGAAGTAGGTATCTTGGCCATTGACTCGCAGTTGAAACCGCCAGCAAAAAGCGACGGTGCGGAAACAATGGTCCGAGGATGAGCTCTCGACCGAGAATCTCTAGCAGGACCAGCATCCAGCATCCCGAAGCACCGTATTTTTTGAGCAGCCTCTTTCAGAGACAGGAACCCAGTCAACTTACCGAACTCCCCTAATATAACTGATATATTCAAGTTCCGTTCGGCGGGGAGAGGCAAGTCACCCAAAGCTGTTCACTCCGTTAAACCAGGAGGGAGGCAACAACTAAAGGGCCGGCATCGACTGGAAGGGGGCATTCTCGGTATTGGCGTCTGTCGCAAACATCCCACCGTGGGTGGCTTTCTATGTCTAGGGGACGTCGATCTGTGCCGGATTTGACTTCTTTGTCGCCTTGCTGACGGCACCGCTCAATAGGTAGAGAAGAGGCGGCTTGAGGAGGCCTAGAACGAAGTAGCCGAGACAAGAGGGCGGCGATCCAAGGGGTCATAACAGCACGGGCCGAATGGCATGGAAGTCAACCCTGGGTGTCGGTATATGCTTTGATTCGCTAATGTGAAAAATGGGTGTGTCCGGCCTGATGTCCTATCCCTTGTCCGGAGCCGATTCGAACTCCGGGTGCTCCGTCCGTCCTGGAATTTGTACCGTAGTTGATGAGCCTTGCATGACTGAGACATTGACAACCAACCATGTCACCGTGGCCTTCAAGACGACATTTGGTGGTTCTGAAATCCAGCCACTTGGCTGTATGGATAAGGTAGTTCCATTCGTCAACCGGACAATAGACAGCTGCATAGGTATTGTCTCACCCATCCTCGTCTTAACCAATTATTCAAGGAAGCTGGCCACGGGGCGCGCCTTCCGAGTTCTTTTCAGCCCTGTCACTCAAGATAAAAGGCTGTGGCACCCGACGGCACAGTATTATGGTGTTGCACCAACAAACCAAATGGCACTGGCTCCTTCAAGGGCAGAGCTGTGTTGCACAAACAGATGGCGGCAGATGCTCGAGATGGGATGAACATGAAAGATGTTACGTGGGCCGTGTCATCCCAAGCAGGCCTGAGGAAGATCGAAACACAAGCGTGCTATAAAGAGGAGCAAGGCTACCCGCGGAACCAGAGACCTGGGCACGGCAAAAATCCTGCCACATACCGGAGACTCTTCCAGGACGGCGGATCAGGCTAGCCTCCAGCTTTGCCTAATGAATAAATGGCCCTCTGAGCCACCTGAGCCATCTTTGAGGGGCCCATAACCTTAGGGTAATCGGATTCGCAAGGAGCCGACCAAGCCACCGCATATCATTTTAGCCAGCTCGAAATTAAGGAGCAGAAAATGGACGGCCATAACATGATCTACCAACTGGTCGACCAGCAGTAGAAGTCGACGGTTGTCATTCCCGCAGAACGGCGCGGCGACGGGGATTCAAGAGGCTGGTTGGGGAAAGAAATCTATTCAGCAAGCAAAGGCGGGCCAGGGGCAAGTTGTAATACTATACGGATACTGGCTGCTTTGGTTGCATCGGGTTACATCGAACCAGCCATCTGGGCAAGAAAGAGGAGGCTCATCATAGCTCCATTTATGCTACCTACTTTTGGCTGGCCCCCGCATTGGGTGCTTGTTTCCGTGGGGGAACTCCCCCCCCCACCACCACCACTCAACGATGAACTTCATGCGGTCGCAGGTTTTCGCCCAGCTCAGCCTCCCAAATGGTGATCAAAAGGGTGATGGCCCCCATTTCTTATCGCCGTTGGCATCCATGCGACCCATGGGATTCCCTCTGGACTGTCCCTGCCATTAAGCCATTTATTTCCCACAGCGATCAGTCTTTTCAACCAGCTTCTTGCCTGTTCGCGTCTCACGCTGGCCAACACCTGCACCCAGCCGTCTGATTCTTTGGTTCCGTGCTTGGGGGTATTAGCAAGCGAAAAAACCCTGCTTCTTGCGTCTTGTTTTCTGCGGCTTTAGTCGAGCCGTTTACCTCTTTTTATGGCACCTAGCAGATCGTCCTGTCCGCCTTTCCACCGCCTCTTCCCGAGGATCTCATCTCTCCTCGATTCAAGCACCTGATTTTGATATCTTTGGTCCATATCGTGTCATCTGTAACTTGTCTCGGAGCCAAGTCCCGCTTCACCGTCAATCCCCCCTTATCGTCCCCCCGTCCCCCCTCCAGAGCTGCGAATGCAATGGCACGGCTGATTGTATATAATCTGTCCTGGCCCCTACGTCCGACAGTGGAGAAATATCGAGCTCCCCATTCCCATTTCGCCAACCCCACACCCCATTAAAAACCACCCTCGCATGTTCTACTATCGCTGAACTGCCACCTCCCCTCTAGTTCGTGTCTAGCATGGCGGGAGACATGCCGAACCACAAGGCCCTGGTCTCCGGTCTGCCGAGGCCAGTCACCGCGGCGTTTCTGTCGAACCAAACAAAGCTAGGGCCGATGCCGAGGTATTCCAGTTGTTGGCTCGTCGACAACAAATTCGTGGTCAAGACCGGCAAGGGTGTCACGAGGAGCGAGGCAGAAACACTACGACTGCTCGGGGAGAAAGGGCTGCAAGTGCCCGAAGTCATCGACCACTACGCCGACCCGGCGACCGGCAACCATGTGATTGTCATGGAATACATCGAGGGCCGTTCGCTGGACCAGGCCATAGACTCGTACGGACCCGAGGAGAAGAAGTCAATAATATCACAGCTGCAACGGTTCATGACAACAATGCGGCAGGAGCTGAGGACCACCAAATTCATCGGCTCCGTCGACTCGACGGACGTGAAGGACCTCCTGTTCGTCCCGGCACTTTCGGGCCCCTTCGATTCCGAGAAGGAGTTCGTCGACGGCCTGGCCGGCTCTCTCGAGGCGCGGGCCGAAGGGTCGTGGATCAAGCTCGTCACGGTCCTTCTGAACCATCTGCCGGACCACGGGAGTAACTTCGTCCTGACTCACGGAGACATCAACCCGCGGAACATCCTCGTGAGGGGCTCTCAGATCGTGGCCATCCTTGACTGGGGCCAGGCTGGCTATTACCCGGAATACTGGGAGTCTGTAAAGTCATGCTTCTGGGACCTAGATCTCGATTTCTTTCATAAGGCCATCGTCGAGGAAGTTTTGCGGCCGTACCCGCTGGAATTGAGTGTTCTGCTGCATGCGCGGGATATTGTGTGGTGATGTTTGTTGTTGGGGGGGTGGGTGGCAGGGGAAGAACCGATCCGCCTAGGGGGGTTGTCTTGTTTATGTTGTTCTATGCCACTGCTTCATGTCACGGCTTCATGTATATATATACATATAATTGTTTTCGCCTCGTTTTGTAGATATTACTAGTAGACAATGGACGTTTTGTTACATTTAGGCTTTGTCCAAGGTCAAGTGTCTGGTTTCTGGGCATTCCGGAGTAGTGCATCTCATACTAACAAAGCTACTTTAATTAGTGATGCACCTGCTTACTGCATAAGGTTTCTACGGTTAAGGGTCTCTCTCCAGTGCCGGGGCCGTGCGACAAGGGAAAGATTAAAAAAAGAATTTTCCCGGGCGCCGGGTTGAACTAGGATCGCATCATCCATTTTTTAAGGGACTGATGGGATGTGACGGGGGACTCCAAACAAAACAAAGCCAACATGATTTTCTAGCCAGCCTTTATCAGGGCCAACCTCCCCCCCCCTACTCTGTCCATCTCCTTCCAACCCTCGCCAGATTTCCTCTGGGAACTGATCGGGTCGACTCGATATTGCCGCCTATCCTCGGCATTGACGTTGACAAGTGACGTCGGCTGAAATTGAGGCTCTCGCAAGTCACAAGGCGACAAATTTGCGGAAATTTTTCGTTTGCCGGCTAATGCGCTACGGCTGCTCAGCTTGCCCTATCCGGCAAAGAATCTCAGCAGTTGGAAACTCGCCCATCGTACAGCAGCAGAACTAGCCTTTCTGCTCGACATCTCCAGCATCTACCCTGTGGGAACGGTTTTGGCACGGCTTTGCCGACTGCTTATCTACCGAGAGAGGGTCAGAAACCCTTGGTTTTCGCAGATTGGGCCGTGCACTTTCGAAGCGCGCTGCCAACATGGTTCGCAACATCATTGTCCTCGGCGGCAACTCCCATCCCCAGCTGGTCGACAGCGTTTGCAATATTCTCGCCATCTCGCCTTGCAGTCGTATCCTGTCAAAGTTTTCCGTTGGGGAGACTCGCTGTGAAATCAAGGACTCTGTCCGTGGAAAGGATGTATACATCATCCAGACCGGCTCAGGCATGGTCAACGATGCCTTGATGGATTTGTTGATCATGATCTCGGCCTTGAAGACGGGTGAGAAAACTCACAAGATAGCGGACTCAAGGTGGCGAGACTGATTGTAAAACAGGATCTGCAAGGAGAGTCACTGCTGTCCTCCCACTCTTTCCCTACTCTCGGCAGCCTGATGCTCCATACAAGAAGGCTGGAGCTCCCTTGTCAAAACGCGCAACGGGAACCGCCAAGGGAGACTACACTTTTGAAAGTGTTCCCCCCACTCCTGGGCCCGGGCTGCCCAAGAGCGCTGGGATAGTGGACGGCGACGATGTCACGGATCTGATGAACAGAACCTCGCTGTCTAACGGGAACGGGGTTGCATCCCAGCAGGCAAACGGTGAAGGTTCTTCCAGGCACGGAGACTGCAATGGCGTCAACGGTGCCGGCGGCAATGGAAGCCAATCGGGGTCCGTTTCGCGTCTGCCGGGAAATTACACGACTCACGACTTCGAGAATCCCTCTCACATTGCTTCTTTCGAGGCTAAGCCTGGGTATAAGCAATGGGTCGCCCAGGCGGGAACTCTGGTTGCAGATCTCTTGACCTGCGCCGGCGCCGACCACATCGTATGTATTGCACACTCTCGGCCTCTCGGCCCTTTGGTCCCCCTTTTGTTTCTTTTCCCTCCAGTTCCGCATCCCGATCTTGTCATAAACCGCCTTTCTGCCTAACTTCTCAAAGTGCATACTAACGTTTACTAGATTACTCTGTACGTCTTGCAGAATGGGCCCATGCCCCGAGGTTGGTAGTTAGCCTAGTAATGCACTTGCTAACCCTTACCCACAGAGATCTCCACGATAGCCAGTACCAAGGTAAGGCAGTATGATCGTAATTGCTTTGCCACCCGTAGCTGACTTGTACCTTAGGCTACTTCGATGTCCCCGTGGACAATCTCTACGCTCGACCTCTGTTGCAGCGCTACATCACGCTGAACATTCCCAACCACAAGGAGGCCGTTATCGTCAGCCCGGACGCTGGAGGAGCGAAGAGAGCAACGGCCATTGCGGATTCTCTTGGTACCTTTTGACCCTGTCCCTCTTCCTACAAGCCCGTTCGGCAATGCTCAGGGCTGACTTGTTGTGATTCAAGGCCTGAGTTTCTCCCTAATACACAAGGTGAGCGGAGCGGACTCTTCCCCTTGACCATAACCTCTAAGCCTTTATAGGAACGACGTCCGACCAAGATCAGCCAGCGGCAAAACGCGAGCATGATGCTCGTCGGCGATGTGACCGACCGTGTCTGTATCTTGATCGATGACCTGGTGGATACCGGGAATACCGTGAGATCATCTTCCAGCTCTTCACCACACTGCCTCGCAACTGACCATATCAGATCACCCGAGCCGCCAAGCTTCTCAAGAAGGAAGGCGCCACGATGGTATACGCGCTGGTAACTCACGGTGTGTTCAGCGGAGACGCTCTCGATCGTATAAAGCAGAGCGCCATCGACAAGATCATCACAACAAACAGCGTGCCGCAAGACGAGCACAAGGCTCGCCTTGGTGCGCAGCTGGACGTCCTAGACGTCTGCCATATCCTGGCTGAAGCCATTCGCCGCTCCCACCACGGCGAGTCCCTCAGCTCACTCTTCCAATACGTCTGAAAAAATGGCTCGATTCATCAACCCTGGAGTTCTGGGAGTATTTGCCATTTATCAGCATGAAACAAACAAGATCATCATCGCATAGACTCGCCCGCATCGGAGGTCGCAGTACATTTTGCCATAGCAACAACATAAGTGCAATACCCAGTCCGGTATTACATGTTCTCTTAGTTTCGGTTCGAATAGGTCTGAGGTAGATACAGTTGGCTACCGATTTTTTGGCATCAACTTTCATTCCCTTCCCCCTTTTTTTTTGGTGATGAGAAGCTAGCGGCAAAAGAAAGAAGAAGAAAAGGGGACAGGACAGCGCAAACATCGATTCACCTATCGGGACTCGGGGACCTCTTGTTTCGTAGACGGTTAGGGCTTGTAGCGAGGTTGGAGAAGACTGGTTTTGGGCCACCTCTCAAAAGGGCTTCCCCGGCTTCGCCAACGTGAACCTACCGACCCCTAATCAAGTCCTACTAGTTCCGCTGGATGCGAGATGCGTTTGTGCTCCGTCCCTCTGTCCCCCTTCCCCGGGGGGGGGGGGGGGCGCGGGCGTCTCGAGGCCTTATTCCCAGCGTGCGTCGGGAGCTCTCTGGATGGATGGCCAGGCAAGTTGCCCCAGTTGAATCGCGCGGGACAACTCGTGCTCACAGCTCCGTGGACTTTTTGTTTTGATTACGCTACTTCTCTTCGGTTTTCCTCCTCCATCTCCCACTCGTTCTCTTACTGTATTCATCCACGAGCGTCTTTCTAGCTTACGATCATATCGGGTTAGGCACGAATAGAGAGATCTGATCGGCGACACGCCGTGGCATTCGAAATCGGGCAACGACGCACTCCTGATTGGGCGGGTTCTATCCTGGGTCAGACTGAGCAAGGGCTGCCGCTTAAGGCGCTTTGCCCGGCAGGACCTTGGAGTATAGACTGTTCCCTACCTTGCCTCGTGGCCCTCCTCTTCTCCTCGCTATGTTAGCTCCAAGGAGGTGCCAGGGCAGCCACAAACTATGAGAGCCTTCATGGTTACCGGGCGCCCGACCTCCACCCAGAGTAAACTACGGTCACCGAGGGCTTTTGCCGTGTCGCCCTCCTTCGGAAGCTCCACTAGCTTTATGGTTGGCCTCCCAGGCTGAGTTACGGGTGGCCGAGCCTGACCGGATGTCACTCTTCGAATTCCAGAAGAAATGCAGGAAAGGCCATGTGTCCCTTGCCGCAAGACTTTGCGAAACACTCGCGACGCCATCTCGTTCAGGTGGTTTTGTTGGGGCGGGAGTCGGGGACGGGAAGAGAGACAAGGCCCGGGCTTGTGTGATGTGACGTGGACCGCATATGGAACTCCGTTCGGCAGGCCCCAGCGAATATCTGCAGCGCCGCCCTCGCTCGCTCTTGTGGTCGCACGCAACCAGGAAGTGGAACCTCCGGCATCGGGTTCTTCCTAACTCTGAGGTTGCCCCACCCGCTCGCGTGTGCGGCAAGCCCCTCGTTTCTGGTGTGTGCCTGAGTAGGTATGTACATACAACTAGGTACGGAATACTGCGTAGTAAAGCAACTACGGGATTGGGCTTGCTCAAGTGGCTGTTGATGTCTGGATACCACCGAATAAATCCCCGGTTTAGCGCCCTTGGCGCCGGAGGTGCCTGGGCATTTCGTGTGTTACTGTGACATTCCTGTCTGCGGAGATGGGGTTCCAGATTCGGACGAGCCGCCGACTGCCGTGCAAGTCCATGATGCACGCTGGCATGTAAGTCTGTACAGATTCGTCCTAGGTCCAAGTCGGGGTAATGGCTCAGACGTAGGGGCGGGTTGTTTTGGATGCATTTCTCTTCGTTTCTTCACTGTGGTACGGGAGGACGTGGATCCATGCGTGGTGCATAAGTACCTAACCACTTTTGCAGTCTTGTGACGTGCCACTTGCAGAATCCACGATACGGTTATTGGCTGACGGGATGGCCAGGCCTGGTATTTCCAGGCGATAACTGACTGCAACCCGAGGACAGTCAAGCTGCAGCAGCGTGGGCTGCGGGTGTGGCTCCCTCAGACACTCTCTGGTCAAGCACAATGGTCTGCAAGCCCTCATGTCTAAAAATAATTATCTAGCTTTCTTCAACCGAGCGGGACTGGGACACTCAAGCTGGACCTGAGGCAATTCTGGGTTCTGCCAGATTTGAGGAACCCCTGAAGAGGCAATGCCGAGAGCTCTGGCGGTTTGACAGGCCAAATATTTGCTTTCTAGGGACGATAAAAAAAAACCTCAGTCACTGCGAGAGGCATATATGATCGACACTTCACGCATGGTGCTTCGTGAGTTAGTGATCGATGCCTAACCAAGATCCCTCTGACAGACAGGAAGAATGTCGGTCGGACTCGAAAAATAATGGATGAACAGAAAAGGGAAAGGACGGTGCGTGCTTACTTGCCTACCTGAGAATAGGATTCAAGCCTGCATGAGGCCTCTCGATACGACCCATCAGCCAGTTTGCATCCAACTTGAGGGGAGGACTGCCTAGCGTCGACGCCACCATGGACGAATCTCGCTGTGAATATATTCGGCTTTCGGCTTTCCGGCTTCTTGTTATGTTGCTGGCAAGACAAGGGAAACAGTAATCAGTATCGGGATTATTCTCCACCAAGTCGTATAGCTGGAGACAAGGGGGAGAATTGCCACTGAGTAAGCCTTTAGCTGCCAAGGCCCATCGGCGTATCCCGTCCATGTGGCAAACAGTGGAGTGACCATCATCGCCAGGGGAGTATGTTAGTTGAATATCATGTTGCTGACTGCCAGGGGTAGCTTCACCGACCGGAAGTGTCATAGATAGACCGGTCGAGACGTGCGGCTCTTTTTCGACCAATGAAGTAGGTCGAAATGGTAATGGTGTCCTGACCCCTATATATGCACGACACGTGGGCAAAGGCCCTTTGGGATAGACAAGATCCTTGGAGGCTTGGATATCCACCACTACATCACATGAGGCCCTTTCACGCAAGAAAGCTATTGGGGGAATATCTTGAGGAGCTAGTTCGCCCAGTCAAGCTTATCCTCTTCCCCGCATCGGCATAGACCAATGGAAGAGCACGAAGGCATAGTTATCAGGGGTTGGAGGTTGCGGAGGTTGCGTCGTGTCGCCGTAGTGTCAAAGACTCCCTGCAGTCAGTGGGGGAGGCTCATCGATGTTAGGGTGCTCCGCGGAGCTGATCTGTGATGCGGGTGGTGCCGTAAGGGGTTCCGACAGGGAATGGCCCTAAGGAGGCCGAGGTGAGATAGGACCAACCGGCTTCCGGGGGGAGCCACGCCACGACCTATGTATGACATCTTTATAATCCCCCATTGGCCGAGACATGCGGTAGTGACAAGTAAGGCAAAATGTATATCAACGTAAGCATTGAAAGACGCAAATGCTCATCTAGAATAGCGGAATAAGTGGCCAGGCCCGAGGGCTTGATCAAGGAGGCCAGTGGAGACCTACCGGCTTGGTTTTCCGGATTCGAGGACACCGGATTCTCCGTCAATCATCTTATGCCCTCCCCGCACCGACCACGCATATAAGCAGCAGGAGCAGGAGCAGGAGCAGGAGCAAAAGCAAGTCGGTTAAGAAGAGGAACTTGTCCAACATAGTGTGAGGAACAATGCAAGACGGTGAAGTTGAGATCGGGGAGATTGCGGGGAAACCCTGGCGACCTCGCGACCTTGCGCAGGATCGGACGATGGCTTGCATTTGGATGGGGTGGGTAGCCGGACGGTGCTACACCACACCATGTGCTACCTCCTCGGCTCCAGATGCTAAAAAGAAAGCAGAGGCGTAAACAAGCGGGGAGACGGGCGAGACGAATGCAATGCGACCTGGGCGGGCTCGTAGTTTGGTAATGGAATTGGGACGCCCAACCCAACTCCGCGCATCTTTGATATGCCGTGTTGCGGTTGGGCATCCAGGCAGCTGTCTGCTGACAACAGCAACAGCAACAGCAGCAGAAGCAGAAGCAAGATCTAGATGATGATCACTCGTCTGGCTGCAGGGAACTTGTCAGGGGCTGGAAAGTTGAGATGAGAAAATGGGATGGTTCATTTTCTGGGAGCTGCTTGGAAAATCTTGGTGCTTTCCCCGTCGCTCTTTCCCATCGTGTGGGGTCGGCGCATGCGGTACCTAGGTACCGTATTTTATTAGTATTGGGGTGGCCCGATTTTTAGGGATTCCCTGTCCCTGCCCTCCTGACCGGGCGACTGAAATCCGAGCTTGGCGGTCCCGAGCCAAAATAGTGTGGGGGTTAGTCTGTCGATCAATTTGCGATCTGACAGCGTAAAATGTCGAAACTAGGAGAAAAGTGAGATTACCAATTAGGGCAGTTCTTCCTCGCCATGCCCATCTTTTCGCTCATATTTCCTCTCCGAAGAGAATTGACGGGCGTAGAAGCGATATTTTTTACAGGCAGGAGCTACAAACATGGAAAACAGCAACAAATACCAAGCATACTCCGTCCATACCTACCTACCTGAGTTACTAGTGTACCTGCAGGGATACGAAAGTCATGGAGCTATGGGCTAGTTCGCTGCTCGTTTCAACACACCAGCTGGGGTCTGGATCGTGAATGCTACCACGGCAAATCCTGCGGGGAGCTGGCGGGTGTGTTGTTGTCTGTTGTCTGTTGTCTTGCTGGTTGCTGGAGACAGAATATGCGCGTTTCTGTTGGTGCTCATTCATAAACAGGGTGGAGAGGCGGAGGTGGTAGCCAGGCGGGCAAGAATAGCATGGTAATAATGCCAGCCAAGGATAAAATATTTTACAGGGGACGGGACAGCATGGAAGGGAATATCATGGATCTCTTCTCATTACTTTTCTCATCTGCAAGGTTGAAAATGGTGATCACACGGCACAGTGTGGACTCGGGCTCTAAACCCCCACCAAACTCCTGGCGACGTTGATCCAGAACCATGTTCCTGGGCCCGGATTTTAGGCTAGACATGCCCACCCCAGACGCTGAAGGTGGGAGAATCACAAGGACAAGTTCCGAGACTCTGGAATGTTTCGCCACTGGGCAGTAAGGGAGAGGCTTGTCGATAAAACCATGTCTATTTCTGCCAATTCACTAGCTTTAATCCTGGAGGGAATTTTCTGTTCTCCTCGGGCAAGCTTGTCAGCTCGACACTGGAAATCGCTGCATGCATCGAAGTCGGTGCTGCCCATGGGCCATGGTCCAGTGCTACAGTACGTATCACACTGTAGCCAAGTATCCCCAGCTTATGTGTTGACATCCATCCATGCCCCCTTCAAGAGGTGCCCAATATACGAACGTAGGTACCTACCTAGGTACATACCTCTACCTTCCATACCTCTCGGGAGAGGAGATCCAGTCGTGTGCCTCCTTCCGAGGAACACCGAGGGCGCATCTCCTGCCATGGGGTGCGCCTGACTTTTTTCTTGTGAAACGCGACCATGTGTCGATCACCTGAGAACTGGCTCAGATTCACACATTGATCGGTGATACTACGCCGACCAGCGTTGAGACGATCAACATCGCAACACAGCTCAGCTATTTGCGTGACGCTAGCCTGTCCTGATGACCAACTACGTCAGCTCCTGGCAAACCAGGATTGGAGTCACCGGACCCGCTGCTGCTGACTTGCACCTCGATATTTGAAGGCCGGTAAAATCTGGGTTGTAGCTGTCCAGGTAAGTGGTAGATCCGCACGCCCGCCCTGGTGGAATAGGGTGGGCAGTTTAGACGCCAATTGGCCATGACTTGGGCGGCCTTGAGGCTCTCACCCCAAAAGGTTCTCTCAGTGGGAACCCGGATTTTCCATCAGCTTCATGTTTCCCAGGCTTGCATCGTCTGTGCTTGTGAGTTCTGCCCAATCATGCTGTTGGTAATTGACTGTACGTCTGGCCCCGCTTCGATTGCGCGGGTCCGTCAGAGTGGAAAGGCCATCCAAAATCAGGGCGAGACTGGTCGGAGGGAGGGCATGTCTGCACCTCAACACAATAAACCCGGCCTTTGGGTGTGTTTCTTCCCATGTACATACCGTGGTAGTGTACGTACCCCTTGGCGGCAGGCCCTTGGCGGAGGCATCCCTGGAAATTGGCGCTCGAAGTGACAACCCAATTGGAAGGGCGAGATCTAGACCCGTGACAAAAGGGCAATCCGAAAGATGCCGTTCGGATGTGCTCCGTAAGACGACCAGTTGCCTTGTTTGAAGCAGGGAAATCGGGGCTGAATGAAGCGCCACACACCGCCAACGCAGATTCAGCCATCGAGAGCTGCTTCTTCCATCTTAGTCGTTTCTTGCATCGCCAGTGTTAGCCTGTTAGGGATCCATTCAGTCATGGTCCTTGACTCCCAGCCAACCATGGGCAGAAGACCGAGACTCTGTCGACTCTCGTCAATCGACATGGCTCTGGCTCTTCTAGGTACGCATAGAACCATTCTGGATTTCTGGTGCCCGACTTGGGAGCCGCGCCTCTCTCCCCATGGCCATTCCGCTTGACGCATCGTGCAAGTCCTGCCTTGCCATCGGGTATCAGGCTCATCACCACCAAGCTCGCTACACCACCTTCGCAAGGGGCCGAATCGCAATCGGTAATTTCCTTTGCCTCTCTCTGGCGCAGCGCGCGCCCGGGCGCTGGGTCGTCTTGACGTTGGAAGCAAGCACTTCCCGAGTGGGTTAGCCTGGTCTGGCCTTTCTTGTTCCCCCCGCCAAGAAACCCCCACACTCGAGCCCACTCTTTCTCCAGCGATTCTGGGTTCCAGGTTCCTACTCCCGTCGAGATGACATTGGGTAGGTAGGTACCTTGCTTTTTGCCTGGCACTGTGTTCCGGTCCTCGCCCAAGGCTTGCCTACCCTTGTCCTTCGCGCCCAGGAGAAGTGAGTGCTATGAGTCTCATCATGCATCATTAGTGTTTTTCCTGTCATCTGCTCTTGCCGCTTCTCCTATCCGGAACAAGGGGAGCCAGTCCTGTTGTCCCAGTCAAATTTCCTTGGCTGGGAGTCGGGACCTCCCCGAAAAGGAGCCTCCTACGCTACCGAACCGGGGCTGGGGCAATCAATATGTATGTCCTCTTTCTGTTAAAGTACGCTATCAAATCCACATGGTCCGGGGTGTATCGAGCTTGTGCCATTAAAAGCCGAAGTAGTTGGCCTGCTAGTCGCCTGCCTGGCCCCCGTCTCTTCGACTTCTCTCCTTGGCCTTCCCGTCTTTCATACAAATAGGATCCCCTCCCTCGCCTTGTCGTCCGACACTTCCTCCCCTTCACTTCCAGTTCCTCTCATATCTTCCGTCATCCTGTCTCGCAGCACATCATTGTCTCTAGGCTGCAGCCCCTAGTCTATGCTCACGTCACCTTGAACCATGTCTCCCCATAATGATGCCCCATCCCCAGAGGGGAGCTTCACTGCCGGTTTCAACAGGATTCCCTTCCGACCATCTGCCTCGTCTACTCTCGGACTGGGGACCGTCTCCATAGACGAGTTGCACTCGTCGCTCAGCAGCTCCTATGACAGTAGCTCGCTGGACCCATCAGATTTCCACATGACCCGCCCACTCGTTCCTGGCGTCTATGTGCCAACCATGTGCTTCTTCGAGCCTGGTACCGAGGATGTGGATGTAGTCACCATTGCACGCCACGCCGTGAGACTGGCCCGCGCCGGCGTGACAGGCCTTACCACTCAGGGGTCGAACGGCGAGGCCGTACACCTCACCCACTCGGAGAGGCAACTGGTCACGTCTACGACTCGGAAGGCGCTCAACGATGCTGGGTATTCCCACATGCCCATCATCGTCGGCTGCGGCTGCCAGAGCACCCGGGAGACTATTCAGTACTGCGTCGAGGCGTGGGAATCCGGAGGGGACTATGCGCTGGTGCTCCCTCCCTCGTACTACGCCGGTCTCTTCGCCCCGTCCTCGGAGACCATCATCGAGTATTTCAACACCGTGGCAGACGCATCGCCCATCCCCATCCTGATCTACAATTTCCCTGGTGCCGTGGGAGGCATGGATCTATCCTCCGACGTCATTCTCACCCTGGCCGAACACCCGAACATCGTCGGCGTCAAGTTCACATGCGGGAACACCGGCAAGCTCAACCGCGTTGCGGCAGCCACCCGGAGGCTGACCAAGAAGTACGACGCGCGCAACCCCGAGTTTTTGGTGCTTGCTGGCTCGGCCGACTTTGCAACCCAGTCCATGGTCGCTGGCGGCCACGGGATCCTGGCTGGACTGGCCAACATCGCCCCCAAGGCCTGCGTCCAGACCATCAAGCTCTACCAGCAGGGCAGGCTCACCGAGGCGCTGGAGATGCAGGAAATCCTGTCGCACGGGGACTGGACAGCAATCCAGGGGGGCGTGGTAGGCGTAAAGGCCGGCCTACAGGCGTGGATGGGCTATGGCGGATATGCGCGCAGCCCTCTTCCGAAGCCATCGGCCGAGCAAACCCAGAAGTGGAAGGAGGGCTTTAGGGACTTGGTGATGCTGGAAAAGTCCCTATAGCCTGCCCCCCTCCTTTCAATTTCGGGAGTCTGGAGAGCTACAACCATCACGAACGAAGATGGCCCCGGGAGGCCTGCCATAACCGCCATACTAATCATACCAACCATGGCCTACCCATGGCCTACCTACCTGCATCGATAGCTCTGCGTGGAGGGGAGTTTGTGTTCTGGGATGCCACCCAGAGATGAGGCCCGGCCTTGGACGCAAAGGCAGTATCTCGATTTCGCGGGTCGAGCTTTCTTGCGAGTGACTGACTGGTGGAGATGGGTGGACTAGAAGGAAAAGATGGTGTTAGGAGGAACGAGGCGGCTCCCTCCTCGTGTATGCAATCGATATCATCTCGGCTTATCATGCATCGGCAGGAGTGGAAAGGAAGCGACACATCCGTCCCCCCCCCCAAACGACGAGAATGTCCCCTACTCCGGGGACTGTAGATGCGCCACGCATCGCCGCTCTCGACTGCCTCGACATGTTACTCTCTGAGCGGATAAAAAAGCATTTGAACATCGCCTCATGGGGCTTCACGGATTGGGCCAGTCTATATACCATTGTCTTTTTGCAAGGAGTCGGGAATGTTTAGAGCCATGAGGTAGACTGAAATAGATAATGAAGAAGGGTTAGAAAGAAACGGCATCGGGCGTTAACACATTCTCGCTTGCCATGTTCTTCCCCCTGCTGTCATAACCTCATCATGTGCTGGTTTCTCGTTCTGCAGGGCTACATGGGATGGGAATGCCTGCGAATCGCTGCGGCACTGCGACTTTAAAGGAGTGCACATTTGGGAAGACGGAAGAAATTGGCTGCTATTTTCGAGGTCGATGAACCTCGGGGATTTCTTTATGGGCATTCGAAGCTGAACACGATTTTCACCTGCCGAATCGAGCCGCCAGGAGAGAAACAATTCGTCGATGCTGGGAGGTTACCACACAGCAAGGCGCGTGCCTCTGTGGCACTCCAAACTCGACTATGATGGCAGGGCACGGGGAGTGGGTTTCGTCAATGAAGAAGGAAGGCGCCTCTCGCTCTAACCAGCCCTAGGGAGGGGCCCAAAAAGAGAGGCGTGGCTAGGTAATGACGCGACGGGAGTGTGATATGATGGGCCCCGTCACAAACCCCCTGGCCCCCTGACAGATCTGCGCTGGACACCACTTCCGGGAGGCATCATGTGCATATGGCGGAGGCCTCTCGGACAAGGATCCGGCTGACCGAACGGACTAAACTAGCCTCCTCGCCGGGGAGTGATGCCACAACATCCTACAGGCCGACCGTGTCAGGGGCCGTTTGACCGAATGTTGGGCTCATGTTCGAGCGCCAGCCACACATCGGCGGGTATGCCGGAAGGACCTCCCAAGCCAAGCGACGAGCCATCGCCGCGGTCGCGCCCCAAGCATGACCCCCACGCCCGCCGAAATAGGGGAGGAAAGTGGCCTGACGGCTCCGATCTAGGAGCTTTGCGCGATCTTGCCTCAGACCAGTCCATCGTTGGCGTCCGCGTGGTTGCGGCCCTGGTTTTGTGGACTACAACATAATCGCCGGAGTCCTTGAGCAGACAGACACACACGGATCCCCCGATCCTGCCCGGTCAACTTGTCGCCGCCGCACTTATACGGCTTTCGGTTTCATGGCCCAAACATGGAACCCTTCGTACGCACCTACTCACTCGTTCAGCGCCACCCCCCCGAAAGTTCGAAGCTTGTTGCCGTATCCATAGCGTCTTTGGACACCGCCGACGCCATGGTTATCTCGAGGCCGGAAAGGGATTCTGCATGGCCCTCGGCTAAGGAAATGCGCGGACACGTTGGAGAGGAACGTCCAGGCTAGTTGGGGGACATTGAAGAGGAGACGACGTTCATCTCCGCTTCGCGGAATGACTCGTCCTTCCCACTGGCGACTTTTTGCCGACTTCATAGGCGACTGGGAACCGCCTAACTCCCCATACCTGCTTGGGGTGGGTATGCCGACGGGGGTTTCGATGCCAACCAAGTTGGGGACGAGCAGGGCATATATATTATAGGCCATGAGGATGCGGTCCATTGGCACGTCTTGGGACATGCGCCCCTACGCCTGGTCTTAAAGGACTCGACGCCCATGTCTTCGATGAAGGCAGGTCCGGGTAGGGAGGGGTTCCAGCATCACAGTCCTCGTTCCTGAATCATTCCTGAATCATTCCTGAATCATTCCTGAATCAGACCCAACTGCGCATAGGCGTTCACGAAGTCCATTAGTATCTTGGAACGGAAATGCGTAGGTAGTACTCGCCTGGTGCCCCTGCCCAGAAACCGTTCGTTATCCCGCCACCCGTTGCTAACCGCTTTGTATCGCAAAGATACGGCAACGGCGCAGGAAAGGAGAGGGCGGACATGGAAGATCAGGCCCAGTGTAATATGTTCAACGTGACGGCCGCATCCAACGCATGTGCGCTGGTATGGAACCCACCAAGACCTCGGCTGGCCAACCAAGGTCTAATCTGTTGATATGACAGACGTCCGATGTCTCCAACCCTCCATCCGTTATTTCGCATGTTATGAACCTAACGGAACCCATACTCTGTCCCCAACAGCTCAACGACACAAACCTGCTCTACCAACCCACAAGCCGGAGGACATCAAGCAACAACTACCAGAAGGCAGGCCACCGCAACAGCCAGAGTTCAAGCAGCCAGTGAATCTACGACGGAGCTCCCGTTTCACGCACGCACATCGCCGAGCCACCAGGACAACCCAGCCTTGACCAGCCATGCCACAGATGGCGTCGAACAGCCGCGCCACTGCTTCAGTCACTGGCCGCAACCAAAGACACAGCGCCGACAACAATGACAGCCAACACCTCAGCCTCGGCAGGAGACATCCAAACAGCGACGGAGACGAGAAACGCCAGTAATAGTGGCGATTTGCTGCTGCTGTCAATAGCAAGTGATGTCTATTTCCGTCGCTGTTGGTAGCTATTGCCATTGTTTTTGTTGCCTGTTATTATCACCTGTCAATATTTTGAGCGCTACGCCGTTGATTTCGGATCCCAACTTCGCCATTGGTCCATGGGGCTATATCACCTGCCTCGCGGGCGTCCAGAGAGTCATGTCAAAAGTCACGCGATGAGCAGTCGGTGCGGGCAAGCCATCTTCGAGCAAGGCGAGAATGTGGTAACCAATTACCGTCCAGTTACCATCCATGACCATGTCTGTGAGGGCCATTGAGATGAGGTCGATTCCAAGGCATGGCCAAGGATGGGTGGTTGGAAGAAGACACCTTCAATATTCATGCGTCATCTGCAATGGGCCTTCCATGTCGAATCCGAATCGACGTCGAGAGCAGATGTCATCCAGTCTTGATAGAACTGTGATCCCAGCTCCTTTCTTGTCACGAAGTTAAGCAGAGGAGGCACGCCGGCCAGCTCCCCGCAACCACCAGTGGCACTACTTGCTTGCTTCCCAACTTCCGGCTTCATTCCCGATATGTCCGGTGGATCGGCGAGGCTCGTCGGTCCTTGCGGGGACGCTTAGGGCGGTGCCTGAGTCGTTTAATAGTACCCGTCGTGGCTGGCGCGATTACACCCAATTGCCGGTGTGGGAAAGGAAATCATGCGGCAACGGACTGTGCTGTCGAAGCACTGGATTTTAGGATTTGCAATTCGATTGCGACGATTCGAAGGGCGTCGCAATGTACGGGGCATCGGATTTCGTGGGAAGAAAGCTGCTCTACCTCTTAATTGCCTGCTGATGGACGTCTGCACCCATCATACTCTGCAGGGTCAGGACCAGAGTCTTCGAGCTTTGGGGTTCTGGAGAAGGCCAGAGGAGATAATACGCCGGTCATCAACTAGTCCATTTCTCGAGAGCACTTTGTCGCAGTAACGGATTTGAGGTGAGGGTTCATGGAGAGTAGGTATGGAGAGCTTGACGGGAAACACGCGAGAGAGAGCTACTAGTAGGCATGACAGCATGGCCAATTGCTCCCTCGGATGGGCCAAGTCTCTTGGCAGATAAGCCGGGCCCGTAAATACGGGACCTGTTAGGGGCCTGAGAAATCGCACGCCCTTGATTGGCCAGCTTGTTTTCTCAATGGGATGACTGACATCATTTACTTATCTCCGCTGATTCTGCAGGTGTCCGATTTGAGCGCCCTCTGCCGTCAACGCCAGGGTCTCAAGGTAAGATTGGATTGAATTAGTGGGGGACGGCTTGAAGCACTCATTCTGAGCAGTCCGACAGGCTGTCGGTGGCATCCTCTTTGGCTGCTGTGATACCCAGCTTCGTTAAAGTTCGTAATTAAGCCAAGTGTGCTGGCCAGGGATCCCTGATCTTCGGGTGTCGGACCTGACCGGGGATGCAAAGGGTGCAGGAGGAGATGCAGACCTGCCGGATCAAAACGGGATGGAACTGATTGATTGTTCTGTTACGCAGGCTTGCAGGCTCCACGCGCCTGCCAATGGAGAGATTTGATCTGAGAGGCTGCTGTTTCGCGAAAGAGGGCCACTGAATGACTCAGTAATAGGCCGAACGAACGATTACGTCAAATGAATTGGACGGAGCAGGGTAGAAACCGGTATCGATGGTTTTCATTTGGTAATTGGGGCTCTCCATCCGTTCGAAGTTGCCCGGCTAATGTAGCTGAGGTTGCGTAGTAAGCTGCAACCAGCGTCGTACTATCTACTTCCGAGTTACCCCGATGGCTCCTCTATTTCAAACCTTGGATGTTCACTCTGCAGACTGCTAGCAGCCACAAAAGACTGGAGAGCCTGTTAGAGTGACAGGAGACCCAGTCGTGCCGCCGAGGTCTTCCGAGAGTACAGCAGACACCTGGCCGTTATCAAAGCTGGCCTGCCGTTGCCATTATGAATTGAAAACTTAAATCTGTTTTTCTTCGATAAGGCCACCGTCGTTATCAAGTCGCATGCCATGCCTGCTGCTGCCAGCCCTTTTGCGGTCGAGCGGAGATATCACAGACCGAAAGTACCATCGAGCTGCCGCAGTCCACCCATGACAACATGGACGGGTAGTACCGTACAGGACTTGGGAGGGCCCCTTAGGGCGCAAACCGATGCGCCTCCGTCTCCGACGTCCTCATCCGCACTACCTGCGCCGCCAGTTCCTTAAATCTTAACTCGTATTTTCCATCTCATTCTTTTTTTTTTTTTTTTTGCCCCATAGCCTGCCTGCCCAGTCGGTAACTTGGGCTCGTCTTCGTCTCTGATTCATAGTGCTGTAATTCCTCCGCGCAGACCTGGCTATTTTCTCTTCCTCACATCTCAAATACCGGGACCCTTTTTCTCCCGGGCATCTTTTGCTGGGAAGCCGTCCGAGATAGCACCCCTCCCGCCCCAGATGACGCAGATAAGCCTGTCTTATCTCATCCTAGTCTCGATCGTCACCTAGATCCCCCCAATCCGGGCGCACATCGTGCTGTGCGCCTCACCAACCGACCTGCATAACATCTCATCTTTAGCCCCGGCAGCACTTTACACTATCTCTTGAGACGCACGCCCAGACTTTCGTCGTTTCCATCTATCATCACCCAACGACCAGCCATATTGGCGATAAGGTTGTGTCTTGCTCGGTATCACACCAGTGTCTCTTTAATAGGACACGCGATCAGCGGCGTGGGTTGGCCGTCTCTCTCCCCGCTGCCAAGAGGCCGTCTTCCCGCATTATCTTCCGCCAACTACTCCCACGATCTCCAAGCTTATCTTTGAGCGTCGTTTCTTATCGTCCACTAACAAACGGCTTCCTTCTCGCCTGGTCTCCCGAAACTGGGAGGTTGCGAGCTCGACGGGGGGAATCGGGGGAAATCGCCAGTGTAGCCTCCCGTGAACCCTGTTTCTTCCCGTGAAAGGGAGAGGATCTGGTACATCGCACTGCAACCTAGGCCTCGCCTTGCCTTGCCGCCACCATCGAAATCTCCCGAGGTGGGAGCATCCCCGCGTTCCCAGGCACCGGTGGATCAAGATCCCAACAACACCGGCCTTGGTTGGCTCAGGCACCATCCAGCCCGAATCCCACTCACTTGTCTTGGCCCCCCCCATTGCCTCCTACTTACATACGCCATGTCCATTCCTAGTGCCATCCCCAGGACGGCCCCCATTGCCATTGCGCCCAAACCTTCAAGAATGCCACCCAGCCGCCAAGGAAGCATCAACCTTGACTCCTATCGAGACACGCGAAGCTGCTTTGACTCGCCTGACTCGGACTCACCTCTGAATGGGAAGTTGTCAGCACCCTGCGAGGCCTGCATGCTCCATAGGATACAGTGCGTGTTGAGTGACGACGACGACGACAGCTGTATATCGTGCCAGGTTCATGGGACGGAATGCTCCTTTGCCGAGAGCCCGCAGCCGAGAAAAAGAAAGCTTAACAGCCGCACTGCGGCCGGGAGCAGGAGCAAGAGGAGGTGAGACCTTTTTACACCCTGGAAACTGCATCTGCCTTGTCCGTTCGTTCGCCTTGCCTCGTGTCGCTTGTCTGTTGCCTCTTGCCTCTTGCCTGTTGCCTCCTGCCTTGTATCTCGCCGCATGGCAACCCGGGGTGCAGACACCGTTGATATAGACTTGTCTAACGCCTGATTGGTTAATGTAGTTCACCTGGGAGATCGGATAACAGGATACTCAGACACCGTCAGCCAAGCCTCTCCAGCACAGCAGCGAGTAGCTCGTTTATCGAGGAGATGGCCGAAATTGGCGGCCCTACTCTCTTAAAGCGTACCCTGGGCCTCCAACAGGATCGTTATAGCCAGTACATCGGACCCACAACGGATTTTGAACCGTCACTGATCAACCTCTCTCCATTCGACCCTCACGACGAGAGTCTGCTCGCCAGGGGTACCCTCAGAAAGGTCAGCGAACTTGACACCTTCCTCCTCCTCCCGGACCACAACACGGCCGGTTACGAACACGTGGGGGAGGATGTCGACAAGGTCGAGAGAATCGTCGCACCCCACGGCCGCCGCCTCATAGACCTCTACTTCCGCGTCGTCCACCCTGCGTTTCCAATTCTGCAAAAGGCCGTCGTCTACGAGAAGTACGAGCGGTCTTACCGAGAGTTCTCGCCGCCCCTTCTCGCAGCAATTTACATCCTAGCGATCAACTGGTGGGGCCTGTCTGATGAACTGGCGCCGCTTCCGAGGCCAAATGTTCGGGAACTCGAGAGGCTTGTGCGGACGACATTGGCGGACGCAATGTACAGGCCCAAGCTTTCCACCATACAGGCAGGGCTGCTCCTGTCGCAGACACCCGGCGGGGATCAGTGGGCGCCAACCGCCCAGTTGGTCGCCATAGCTCAAGAACTCGGTCTCCATCTGGACTGCTCGGGTTGGAAGATACCACCTTGGGAGAAGGGGCTGAGGAAACGCCTGGCCTGGGCGCTGTACATGCAGGATAAATGGGGTGCCCTTGTCCACGGCCGACCGTCGCATGTCTTCTCCTCCAACTGGGCGGTCCAGGACCTGACGGAAAACGACTTCCCCGACGTTGAGTGGGATGAGAATGACCCGGAGGAGAAGACGGAAGTCGAGCGCGGGCGGACACTGTTTACGCAGATGGTCCAGCTATCGCAGATACTTGCCGACATCCTGGAGACCTTCTATACCTTGCAGGCCATGCGCACGGTCGCCAATGCCGGGGCTGGGGCCCAGGGCACTCACTTAGTCCTGTCTCTCGCGAAGCCAATCCAACTGAAGCTCAAGGAGTGGTATGCGGCCCTCCCCGCGAGCATCAGGATGGATTCAACATACCAGAATGCCAGCAGCACGCAGCCAAGCCGGCTGTCGAGCATTGGATACCTTCACCTTGGCTACTACGCAGCCGAGATCAGTCTGCATCGACGCATCATTCGGTCGCTCGAGGCGCCGGCTGCATCGCCGTCGACAAGTAGCACCCTAGGTACCGCGCCGGCAGCTATAGATCCCTACCTCCAGCACATATGCCGGAATGCGGCCAAGGCACGGCTGATCTCGTCCATGGACTTCGTCAACCGGCTCACGCCGTCCCACCTGCGGGCATTCTGGTACTTCGCCTCCAAGACCAACTTCGCCCTCATCGGCACCTTCGGCTCCCTCCTTTGGGCGACATCGCCGGGCCGCGAGGAGGCAGAATGGTACCGACGGCGGCTCGGCGAGTACCGCTGGACGCTTTCGGTCAGCTCCAGGCCCGGCGAGGACAAGGGTCTCACCGAGTTCGCCATGGGGATGCTGGACATCAGCACAGGCCTGCTCAAGCAGCTGCCGGAGAAGCCGTCCCTGAGCAGGTGCGGCAGCGTCAGCGACATGGAAGCCGCCAGGAGGCAGAGTATCCTCGCCCTCGGCGTCGGGAGCGGCGCCGGGAGCCCGAGCAGCACCGAGCGCTTCAGCGGGCTGCCGAGCGCCGAGGCCAGCGGGCTCCAGAGCCCGCACAGCGAGGCTTCCGATAGCAGCGACGAGGAGGTGTATGCGAGTTTCTCGGCCACTGCGGGCATGGCGAGGATGGCCGACTGAAGAGGGGGACATGGATCTCTCGGTCGGGGAATCTTGGGAGTTGGCATGGACCAACTCGTTCGGACTGGAATAGGTCTCGGGGAGCGGCTATTTAATAAGCTCAAGACTCGGCCGTGGGCTTGGGCGTGTTCTGATGGCGTGCTAGGAAGATATTCTCGGACGATGACATGACGTGATCGGATTTGAGCGTTGCGCGATGGATTTGTTTGTTTCTTTGCGAGGTGGAAAAGGCAAGGAAGGCGTCACGAATTACGGTCTACCATTTTCGACACTAGGAAAGCATTGTAGTGCCGTTCTATTGTCTCTCTCGGATTCTCCAACTGATACCCGCGATATAGAAGAGTCTGGTTGCGCATATAAAGTATCTAGTCTCTGACAAACAAACAAGCGGTTTGGCATGGCAGCAGGGTGACATCTCTCAACGAATCGCAAACCAACATGAGAGACTGGTGCTCAGCCAGACAATAACTAACTCCCAAGGGGTAGAAGCATCAGGACGGGGGGTTGGGAGGAGTACCTCTGGTTGCGGGTGTTGGCAAATCAGAGTATGGTGTGACAAACAGACAGAACACTGTTGATTGGCTCGTTGGTTTGAACTTGACTCCCAGAAACAATTCCCATGCCTGTCGGGTGGCTGCAAACTTTCACCGCCTCACAGTTGGAAGTTTGAACTTTTCGCCTTGTCGACAAAAATAGTCTGTGCACGAGTGGAGCCGAGATTCTCAGATTCCCCCCACCTTATTTCCTCCTACTCAGCAGCGAACCAGCTCTTCGACGCGTCTCCCACTGGTTCTCACTCCCGAACAGAACTCAGCCTTTCAACATCATTCCTTCCCAGTATGGTCGAACCTACTGTTAGATCTTGTCTTGCCCAACCTTGATCCCGACTCTGAGTCACCGTGGCACCCTGCCCAAATTTTGGGTGTACTTGCAATGGCGCCGACCACGCGAATGTCGCGTCGCGAAGCTCCCACCATCAACCGCAAGGCTCCTGCTATCGACTACAACAACTACAACACCGGCGATGATAGCTCAAGCGACGAGAGTATCCCGGCACCGATGCCATCGAGTCATAGGAGTGGCCCCAATGAAGTTCCAACCTTGAGACCTAAGCATCCTATATCTCCGTCGGTCCGTCGCAAGGCGGTGTTGAGGGAGAAAGGCAGATTATCCACCAAGCGTGTGGCGGATTCTAGCCCCCCAATCGCAGAACGCCACATCAAGAGACAGCGCAGAAACCCGTCGGGTACCGCCACGAACGGCGGCAGCAGAGCCGATAAAGACGTGATGCGTGGCGCCAAGGGTGTGAATCAGGCAGCCCTGGATGCCATCAACGCCTTCAACCGGAAAAGTCGAGGTGTCGAGCCGTTTCAGGGGTCGGATATCGAGGTCCGTATCCCGTCTACTAGGAGCAGGTCTGGGCTGGAAAGCGATTGGGACCCCGAACAACAGCTCCAGAGAGAGACGGCGGCCCACCAGGAACTCCGTCGCGCGGCGACGAGAGGTGTCGCACAGAGTGGCGGCAATGGGTACTCTGTCGAATCGTCACATGGCGACGTTGACCGGCGTGGTCATGTCCCCTCTGAGGAAACCAAGGACCCGGATCAAGTTTCAAATGTGGCCGATCCAGATTTCGAGATGGACGGCGATGAGAGTAGCGAACTTGACGCTAGCTCTGAGGGGCGTGAGGAGCAAGCTGTCGAATCCAAAGTCGACAGTCCCCCGGGATACGAGGCTATCTACGATGCTGGCAGCCCAGAGCTCAGCTCAACATCGCCTTATATGTCGGCGGGACAGGCCGAGTCCAGGCCGATCGGCCCTTTGCCCGGAGTCCATATGACGAAGAAGTTAGCTCAGGCTCCGAAGATTGGTTCTCAGGGCACCTTGCCCACCGCAGGACTAGAGAAAGCCCAGAGGAAGAGCAAACCGCGGGTCGTAAAGCCTGCCTACGGGGAACGTCCTCCCTCCGACAAGGTGGCTGGACGCATGTCCGGCACTCAAGAAAATGCCCCACGGTCTCGACGTTCCAAACAGGCTCAGGATCCCCCTCGTCAAGCTTTCGAGCCTGTCTCGGGCCGGACAGCGACCTCGGCACACCTTCCAGCGGATCGGAGCGGAAGGGAGCATTTATCCAGTATTGCCAGAGCTGCTAAGCCCTCCCCGGTCCCAGATACGCAACGCGCCGTTCAGGCCTTGATGGATGACTATGGTCAATTTTCGGATGAAGAATCCTTACGTCCGGTTCCCCGCCGTAATCCTCTCTCCACCCAGGAACCCACGGCTGGTGAATCGTCTTTAACGGTCACGTTGAAGAGCAAATTAGTACGTAGGATGCGAAGGCTGTTGGGTGGGCGCGGATGGACTGGCTTGGGTTGGGATTGGCCTTTTGAGCTGTCCGATCCTAAACTCTACGGCAAACCTGCCGGGACAATGCCACACAATGCACCGCCCAGGACCAAGCTGGGCAGGGGTTGTTGGAAGTTCCTCATCTACCTCCAATCACTCTTTGAAGATGCGCCGAGAGCGGGTGACTTGACTGAGCAAAACAAATGGCTGAGCGAGAAGAGTTCACAAATCGACAAGACCTTCAAGTCGATCGATACAATGGTCAGAAAGATCAGCGAGGAGTATCTGGCGGTTGTTGGCGATTCCGACAACCTGATCAACGACAACATGGAGCTGCGTCTCGCCATGGTGAAAGACCTGATGGAGTACATCATTCCGATGCTCGTCAGTGTTCTGCAGACCATCTTCTTCCTAGGTGGTGCCGATACTGACGAGGATTTCAAGCCCGCATTCCGGGAAGAGGGCACATTCACGGATTCCACTCTCGGCTGCCTGGCAAAGGCCGTGGGCTGGATTTTTAGTCTTGAACGAGCGCTCTCGGAAGAACTCAAACGCCGGCCGCTGGATCCTTCTTCGGACGAGGAGAGCAGCGATGGCGAAGGCCGGCGTGAGAAGAAGGCGAAGGACGGACGACAGAAGGCCAAAGCGAACCTACGGAAGCGTCGGCTGCGGCTTGGCGCCTATGTTGGAGAGTTCCGTCGCAACATCGCAACGGCATATGATTCACTGGATGCAACGGCAACAAAAGAAGAGCGCCGACGGCAGACAACCGCGCGGCAGAAGGAACTTGACGAGACGAGGCTGAAGGAGGAGAAGGCGGAGGAGGAAGAGAGGCAGCGGAGATGGCAGGCCATGTGTCAATCCACGCAGCGGATGAGACACGCCCCGAACCCCCTCAGCGAGAAGTGGAGGAAGACGGAGGCGTTCGACGCGGGAACCGCCGCCTATCGACTGGCGTCTCAGAAGGCCGCCTCGCAAACCGTTGCACGTCACAACGGAAGCAGCCAGCCTACCGCGCGACCACTAACACGCGTCGACCGGGAACCCCCAAGACCTGCCAGCGGTCGCTGGCCCCCATGGCGGGAGGAGGACAGCCTGTGGGTGCTCACGCAACTCCGGTCCCGCGAGCGCAGGCCCGACTTGAGAGTGTGGGCGGATGTGCTTGAACGTGATGTGGAGGACGTCTGGCAGGAAGTCGAGGTGTTGAAGCAGTCCTGGAGATCGCTTGCGCGGGAGAGGGGTGTCGAGGTCGAACCCTGGGCACGTGCATAGGAGGGCACGAGGCTTAACGGGGGCGGGCCGGGATATTAACGCCGATGCGAATGAATATGATGATAATGAGATTGGGAGTCTGGCTTCTGACGTCGGGTCTGGCGATGCAAGGAAGCAAGGGTGTCGGGGGGTGGGGGAAGGGGGGGGGTGGGGGGGGGAGGGGAGGAGGGAAAAGATGGAATACAGTAATTAGCTACGGTCAGATATGACCGCTGACCGGGACTGATGAAATACGACGTGAATATACCCAACGAGCTGTGTACCGAGAGATACCCCCGAGATAGCTTCTCTTTGCTCATGTCTCTTCACCCCCTAGCTAGATGCAGCGTCTGTCAGCTGTGTGGTTGCAGACTGCACGACAGACATGGTTGGTGAAGGCTATATATTGCGCAGCGAGCTTGTCTATGCCTTGGCCTTTGCATGTCGAGAGATTTGAGAGCGGAAGGCTGAGTGTCTGAATAATCCGGGCACAATAATCCGTATTAACAGTATCGGAGTCTTGTCTTTGCTTACAGGAACATGGCATACTAACTCCATCCCCAGATCACTGTTACTACCTTTGCAAAGGGCACCGCCTGGGTTGTCCATATGCTCATCCGCCTTTCCGATGAACCCAACAGCGCACTCTGATCTCGATGTCGTCTGTCTCGACACGCCGCTAGAGAAGATGGTTGGCACCACTAAAGAAGCGGTGGAAAACTGGTAAGACATCCTCAGGCAAATGTTCTTCGGCGGATCAACAACACCCAACACCCCAGAACTGCAGCTACCCAGAAGCAGAAAGGAAGGGCGGGGCCAGATGCCATTGAGCGGAGCAGGCAGGCACATATCCGGGCAGTTGTTCGAATCTACGGCTGCGACTGAGACTGACGGCAACAGTTCCCAGTCATCAGGCAGCCCACCCTGCGTCTGGCATGGACCATGAGGTGTATTTGTATCTGTATTTATCCTAGTTGTAACAGAGATAGATACATGTACTTGTATTGGACCCTCAAAAACACAACTGCGACTGCGTTGCGTTAAATGAAGATATCAAGTCACTTGAAGTCACATGCTCGTGGACACCAAATGATCACCTGTCGTGGAAATCCATTCGATAGGCGACCCAGCCCGACAGAGGCTCGTGGACGCTGCTCGTGGATGCGCCATGGAACTTGAGAATTGTGCCGACTATAGGCACCAGAGACATGTGAGTGTTGACTTAAGCGGCCTTTCCCTCTGTGGAAAACGGTGTAGCGTGACACAGCCACTACTCCCGCGAAAGGATAGAGAAGTTTGGACTGCGTTGTTCCGACAGGCCATCAGCATCGCCGAGTTCGGCGGCCGACTTGGCGACCCCAGGAGAATATCCTCGAGGTCGAGACTAGAGATTGCTCCCCAATCGAGACCATAGTTGAAACGCCTTCCATTCATGCCCAAGACCACCATCCTCCTCCATCCCCCCATGTACTGAGACCGGGAGGATCAAATATCGCCCAATACCACCACCACTGGCTTCGAGTCTTCTTCGACCTGCGACCGGCAATGCTGTAGTATATCTTCTGCCTCCTTCAGACACTAACTGTTCGTTTTAATCAGCAAGATACCTTGACCCTTGGCAAAAGACCATGAGGACACTTACAGGAGACAAGCTGAGGAGTAATTTGCCTTAGTTTTGATATGCTCCAGGATCGTAACCATAGGGGTGGCATAGGTGACATCGTGCTGGCCATTCTGTCCACCGCTACCTCCATCCAATATGCCTCCAATTCTGCCTTGGATATCACAGATACACGATCCAGAATCGCCTAGAGTAGAGAAGAATGAACTATCCAGAGACCTTATAAGCCACTGTAAACATTCGCGGTTCTCCTCATTGACGTTTATCCGGGTGATGCTGTGAATCTCGTTGCTGACTCCCTAGGTCAGCCCCGTAGACCTTCCACGTTTTCCTACTCTCAGTTGGAATTCGTCAATGAGCTCATCTTTGGACGTTGGGTACTTGATTTCGTCGATAGGAGTGACATGTTCCAGTTGCAGCAGTCCGTCTCTCGGTGGGATAAATTGAGACTCCCGGACGAAAAATCCATGGTTGAGCTTTCCCAACGTTGCCCTTCCAATATCGCCTATGTAGACAACATTGGTGAGGTTGTCATAGTTATCTCCAAACTGAGTAGCATCAAGCTTGACAAGAGCATAGTCAGGCAAGAAGTTGGGGCTGCCATGTGGATTATCGGGTGTCCGAGCAGGGGACCAGAGAATGTGCCCAAGCCTTCGAGAAGTAGGTGTCTTGAGCGTTTTGAGATAGGAATTGAAGTCCTTGACTCGTTGTTTTTCTATCGGATTCTGCCCATAGCTTTCCCAAAACTGTATCGTCTTTTTGACTTGTTCACAGACATTGCCCAACGATGTCTCCCCTGGCATTAAGACATATTGCTTAGGCGCTCCTGTGCCAGCCTTGTAGTTGTCTTGCCAAGAGTCTCCCTTCAAAGCCACATGGCGTGACATCAAGCCGGCCTTGACTTTCTGCTGGCCTCTCTCTTTGATCAGGCCCAGAAAGCATGTCAGGGTGCCTTTCCGCCCTCTCGTCTTCTCTGCAGCCACACTCTGCCCCAATGTCGATGTCAAGGTAAGATGGTCCTCACCTCCAACGTGGCAATCGTGGAGTGCTTTTGTGGGGATAGCAGAGCAGGTGACATTCGCCGAACGAGTCTCACAGTGGACATCGATAACGCCAGCCTTGACCAGCTCAGCCTGGCAGCCATTGGCAATCTCAAGGCCCTTCTCTGAAGTCAAAGACCCCGGTTCGACTCCTCCCTAAAGGACAACAGGCATCCGATTGTCGAGAGAGCTCAGAGGGTCGAAGTAGCCAATTCGGACTACGTCGATTATTCCAATTGGCCGGGATGAGGACAGCCTTGATCTTGTCGGCGAGGTTGAAATGTTCATCTTCGATTCTGAACTGCCAAGGCGCAACTAGCGAGTTGCTTCTTGCGACAAGCTTGGGCTGACTGGGGAGACCGAAATAGTAGAAATTTCTCTCATCGTCAGAAGGATATGAGATATGACAGTAGCATCTGACAGAAAGAAACCATTAGCTAGGAACCTAATTAATTATATGCTGAATGGGAATGATGCCTCTTACCTTGGCAGTTACTGCAGCTTGCTCAATGTTGACATGGCTAAACAAAATCAGCATGATGTGCCAAATCGTGTTAAAGAATGCCGCCAGACCCCCGAGGACAGACGTACTTCACTCTACAGAGGTACCTAATTCACTTTACAGACGTAATTCACTACCTATACAGACGTACTTACAGATAAATTAGCGTCTAACACCTGATTTGCTCACAGCGCTGCTCAACAATAGGTACCCTCCCATGCCATTTTTGGTTGACAAATACTCACGAAACTATGGTGGCATACGTAGGTTCCACCCTACCGGGACAAGGGACTGTTCTTGCCGGTCATATGGTCCGCCAAATGGGAAGGGACGTGGCACTCCACATCAGACAAGCTATACTCCGGGTGTCCCCCTGGGTCCGTCGCTCGCTTTCGGATCCACTTGTAAGTTCTGGCCCAGACTTCCGACCAGGCACCGGGTCTTGGGGACATCCGGCTTGCCTTGTCAGCTCCCTCCCTCCAATGCCGTGGTCTTTTTTGTTATGAGTTAGCCAGTTTCCCTTATTATGACTCCAATATGCTGCCACATACATTCTTGATCAATCACAATCCCGCCCTCCTTCTATGATGGTGTACCCACCGTAGGTCCGTAGATGTGAGCTGCGTGTCGCCGCATTGGAATGAAAGTTATCATTGAGGCGGCTTATCTTAAGTGGCTCTCTGAATTGCAGCCGCTTGAAATCAGACTCTTCTGATCTTCACGGGGGGACGGAGGCTACATCGAGTGGAAATGGAACAAATCATTTCAGCTTCATCAAAAGCACATACATTCTCCCCCGGTCCTTTGAAGAATCTGCCTCGACTTATGTTGGGGGAGGGGAGATGGTGGGTTTCCGAGCTCAAAGCGGGAAGAGTCCCCGGGGCCAGAATCCACACCTAGCCCCGCACCCCCGCACTCGGCCCCATATCCGGCCCCACTTCGCGGAGCCCCAGCCAACACCGACCACCGATTAAGCCATCAGCCACCCTGCCTCCAAGACCCTTCCTTCGAGCGGTGCGTCAACCGGACCAATTACGAGACCTCCACGTCAGAGGAGCCTGCTCCCATCCAGACAGCTCTGAGCGCACTGGCAATGGCACTTCCTTCAATGCAGAACATGGTGTCTTCCTTTTCTTTCCAGATTTCCGTTCGAGTTGGTTCTTCGTGGAAGTTTTTCAGCCTTGGTGATTAATCGGTTCCCTCTTCCGGTTAGAACCGCAGCCTAGGTTACGCCGAGGCTTTACTGCAATTTAAGCGGAGGGCCAAGTATAGACCTTGGTGTGAAGAGGAAATCCCAAGAAGGAGTCAATGGTTTGATGCTCTCTCTCTCGATAATTTCAATGCCGTGAAGCGGGTCTTGAGCATCTCCAGCAAACCACCTCATCGACCATGGTCTGGATATGATCTTTGACGCAGCAAAATAATGACATTCCGCACCTCAACCTGCGCATTGGTTTAGTAAGCAGCAACCTTCCAGGTACCTACCCCCCTCCCTATCATCGACCTCGACAGCATCGCCACTCCCATTGAGTCCCATACCTTCCTTCGCAAGAACTCGGCCACCTCAAGGGAACATTGCAGCGCCGGCTACTCTGACCCATGCGCTGCCAATCTGGGCACCGCAAACACCATGCTCTTGAGGAAGCCAAAGGAGAGACACCAGCCGATGAGTTGCCATTGGAGGCTGATTTTTGAGGCGCAAGGAGGACTGTCAACAGGAGAAGTAAACTAGGAGATACCCGGCAGCAACCTTCGATGCCGCCATTTCACAGTCCAACTAACTATCCGCTCCCTACCTAATACGCTCCCAACATACTCATTCCAAACCTTTGTGCCCACGTGGGTGGAGGTAATATCCAGGCACTTAAGCTAGTAAGTTGCGAGTCTCATCCTCCTTTAACCCAACCCACCCGGATAAAAAAAAACCCCTGGTGTAGATAATGGGTTTCGACCTCACAAACACTCCCGTCGGTGGCCGTGACGATGGCACGGCGTCCGAGATGAGGAATACGTTGTCCCCGGTCAGGGCCTGGAGGTAGCCTAGCCTGAGGGCAAATGTGCCGGCAGGATAGGGTTCCAAAGGGAAGCTTGCGTTCCTAAGGGAAGATTGAGACGGGTTGTAAAGTCTATGACCGACCTAGCCCACTGCGAGGGTGGAGAAAAAGAGTTACTCTATGGTTAGTGGTTGCTATTGCTAGACATAGGGCTGCGGGCTCGAAACCGCTATAGGTGCAGGTTGTTGTTGCTGTTCAGGATGTCAATCCGGAACCGTCCGGAGGAGGCCCGGGGAAGAGTACGTTCGTCGGTCTTGCCATTTGAGTCCTCCCGGGAAGGCCGTCCCTGCAGACGCTACCACCCTCCGGTTTATGGCCTCGAAGGTGTTGTTGGACACGTCCAATGTTTTGGGATAGGTGGGTGAGGAACTCGTCGATCTTGGGCTTGCTGTCGAGACAGTTCTTGACGAGGTTGGGAGATGTGAGCATAACTTTTGATCTTGCCGAAGGTAGAGCGCTTCCAGACACAACCTCTCAGAGCCAGAACGCTGTTCTGTAATCCATGTATAGTACGTTAACTATCCGTCCAATGTTTTCTTCATGGCTTGGTCCTAATCCAGGCATTTTGAGGGGCTGGGAAACTTAGACCCTCGAAATCCCTGGCTTGATCCTGAAATGGGGCTGTGATTGGAGAAGCACATGGGATGGATGACTAAATAGTAGTGAGCAACGTGGCAAGCGGTGGAAAAAATAACTGTATTAGAGGTTACCCTACGTACTAACGCTTGGAAAGTATCCACTAACAGTTGAGCTTTACTTTATCTTTTTGCTGACCTTGTTAAGGAGTGATCTAGGGTAGTTAGTACGTGGGGTTAATCGTACAACAGTTTTTTTTTCCACCGCTTGCGTGGCTACTGTCGTAACTCCGGCCGATGTTTTAGATCGGCCAGCGAAACTGGGATCTGTGACGAAAAAGCAGGGCAGGCAGGCAATGCGTCGCTGTCTGATTGTCACGTGGTTTCCCTCAAGGATCCACAGACAACGGTACGTACCGTACCAGTAGATTTAGACCTCGGCCGAAACGGCCCAGTTAGACAATTCAAGCTTTTTCCACCGAATAACCTGACAAATTGGTGCACCATCGCCAGAAGTCGAACTGCCTTGACAACACCTTTTCCTTGCGAACCTTTGTTGTTAACCATCTCCTTGTCGTTGATATCGAGACCAATGAGCCTACAGGCTCGCCAACTACTTCGTTTTGCTACGTCAGGCCATCCCTTCGCCTCCCAAATCTCAGACGCCGATCTCCAGTACGCCAAGGAATTGGAGCCTAGCCTTGACGACGACGCCCTGTCGTTTCACGAGGATATCTGGCCCACCGATTGGTGCGAACGACGCCACGCATTTCCCAACTTTCTGACCCAGTGGCGACAGCAATACCAGCCGCCCGGCACGCCAACCCTGGTTGGAGCGTTTCCTCACTCTACGACAACACGACCAACCGACGCCCCAAACACACCCCTACCTGATCTCTCTACGCTCTCGCTTGCGTCGTTCGCCACACCACAGAACCGCGTTGTTAGACCTCAGGATTTCGACCTCCTGCCTTCTGTCAGCAACCGTCCACCCTGACAATCTAACCCTAACCTTAACGACGAGACTCACGCGTTTGGACGCTATCTACCCTCCATTCAGTACGATAGCCCTATCCAGTACGACAGTCCCGAGACAGGCAGGAACAACACACAACGCCAACCAGAACTAGATATGGCTGCCTCATTTACACAAGAGGCAGCAGCTAACCTTATTGCTGCTGCGTTTGAAAACGTCTGTGCACAGCAACACAACGACATGGCAAAGCTGCTTGCAGCTGCGTTTGCACGGCAGGCACTGCCTAACAACCCCCCTGCAGGCAACGGCGGCAACCTACACTCCCTGGCAGCCTTAGACGTGGGATACTTCAATCCTTTAGCCTAGGACCCTTCAGGTAGCGGCATTGTTGTGGACAGAAAACACAACAAATACATAGATGTTTACGCCTTCTGCGACTGTTTGAAGCACCTAGAGACAGCTAGAGGCGCAGCTGACGTCTGTCAAGTGTAGACCATATGTCTCCAAGGCCTAGCACTGGTGTGGCACTCCTACATTTTGACAGATGCAGACAGGGACCTATTGGCAATAGCTACAATTGACGCCATTTGCGCTAAGCTAAAGGAATGTTTCTGCACTGACTATTCCATAGCTATAAACAACATCAAAGCGGCTTCCTTTACCCTCTAGGACGTGGCATTAGGCAAGGATATCCTAGCGTTTGTGCAAACAACGATACGCAATGCTAAAGCATGCAATATAAACCTGTGTTCCCAGCTTATTGCTATATTCGAAGCATTTGACAGAGACATCTAGTCTAAACTTCCAAAGCCAAAGGAGACAACAACGTTAGACAACTTCATAACCAGCATCTAGGACTAAGCAAGTGTACTGCAATAGCATGCATTACAACAGTACCTAGGCATATTCCCTCGCTGCACCTAGCCATTGCTGCCTTATGGCTAGAGAGTCCCACAGCTATACCAATCCAACAACTACAGGCTACCTAACATACAAGGACTTCTACCCTAAAGACCAAGGCCTTTCCTAAACAATTGCTATCGTTTAGGCTTACTAAACAGCTGCCTGTAGATGCAGCGCTTGTTTCAACCATAGCAAGCGCAACGCCTACCCTAGCCATTTCAGCTATATAATCAGAATATAGACAACTGTCTGCAAAGACTACCTTAGCAGAATATCCCTTAGACAAACAACAACTGTTATTATAGTTTAGCATAAGACTAATACCTACAAAACCAGCAGTTAGTACTAGAAAATTGTCGCCTTTCTACCCTACTGTACAAACTATATGCAGCACAAGCTTTACTAGTGCTAGCCAAAGCATACTATAGCGATAACAACAACTTATACCAACTGTTAGTTAAAGACGTTGTTGATAAAAAGTTTACGCATGACTAGGTCAAGAATGCATC